ATGGATGTTCAAAAGCATTATATAATATATAGAATAAGAAAACATAAGAACACAACAAGGCAAGATAGTTGTAGAATATTCCATGTTCTCAATAAGAGAGTTACTGGACAGGTATCTACAGGTCTTAGAATTAGCGAAGCACTTTCTATAACAAGCAGTGAACGTGAATCAAAATACGCGTTGGAAACCCCTGAAAAAAAAAAAAAAACATCCAAACCGCCATGGTAAACCCCACATTTACTTTAAAGATTCTTTAAATTCATGTTATTAATCACATTTGTTCAGACGTTAAAGTGGTTCGATCCGCATAAGATCACGGATTGAATTCAAATCCGGCCATGGGATATATTCCCAACTATGGCTACTTACTAGGTGTTGTTTTTCTAAACCATGGGATTTTTGAGAGGGTTTGTCTAATTTGTTCAGGTCCAAACCCATAGTCCACTTTTCTTGAGGCCTTTTCCGCTTGGTGCGCTCAAAGTCGCGGGGGCCCTGCGGAAGTCTTCAGGCGCGCAGGAAAAAAAGCACCACTCATGGTGGATATGGCAGCATTGAATCAGTGGTTTTGAGCATCCAACATGCATGATATGCATAGGGATATTTATGGTTTCTAGTTTACATACTTGATATGGTTTCAGCAATGATGATTGGTTGACAATGCTAAATATGAGATTTGAATCGGATTTGAATGGGATTTTTCGCATTCCTTTTTCTCCCAGTATCTCCAAGCGGTGGACCCAGACGCCCCATGCAACAAGCCCCGTGCCTGGCACATCAGCAACATCTTCGAACTGCCAGGGAAATCGATCATGATGGATCCAACTCCGTCAAGAAACACGAGCCTCTTGGCGAAAATCCATGCGATCCGTCAGTGGATGAAGCAATTGCTGGCTTAACCACCAATTTTTGGAGGAACCTTTGGAATCCTGTTGACAGAAAGATGTAGTCAAAACCATCATTCAATCCAACCAACGATAGAGTCCCCTTTGGGAGTTGATAGTCCCGGGTGCCCAATCCAATTCATTTCCACAATCCTTAATCAAACATGGCAATGGCAAAATGAGACAATGGCCTCTGTAAAATATGAATTTACCCATTGAACATGTTGATGATGTTCCATGGTTTTTGGTATGTTTACTGTTACTGTTTCGGATCACAACAAATCACCGTTGGAGTTCTCCACGCCAAGGGTAACTCATCTCAGGTTCTTGGCCGGCTTGCAAGTGCGATCCTAAGGGGAGAATCATCTGTGAAATGATTTTAAATGCAGGTTTCTAGCTGGGAAAGATCTTCCAGGTCACCAGCTAATATTTGCATTTGATGTGCATGTAGGCAATGGTAGCTGGTTGGTGGTTTGGAATATGACTTTTATGTTCCATTTCATATATGTATGTCATCCTTCCCATTGACTTTCACTCCATCATCTTTCAAGATGGGCACATTGCACCACCAACCAGATCCCATATTCCATCATTTACCACATATCTCCATATATATATATATAGATATTCCCATAGATATTCCCATAGCTATCCATACATATTCACATTACCCTCTGGTAATTTAACGTAGCTATGGAAAATCACCATTTTGAATGGGAAAATCCATTATGTCTATGGCCATTTTCAATAGCTATGTTAGTTTACCAGAGGGTAAACCATAGATCTCTTGATGTTTTTGGTCAATCATCGATGCTGTCAACGGTGGCAGGCCATGGGGGTCTTTGCGGACCCCAAGTTGCCAACCGGTTTGCGTAGCCAGGACGGGACGGGTGTTAAACGGCGGCGGTATGTGTCGTTTTAACGACGACGACGTGGCTGGTGGTACCCTCTGGTGAACTAACATAGCTATTGAAAATCACCATTTTCAATGGGAAAATCCACTATTACTATGGTCATGTTCAATAGCTATTTTGACATAACCAGAGGGTATCTTCAATTTGGGAACCCAAAAAGCAATGGGTTTTCATGGGTTTTCCTTGTAAAGATCCAGCTTTTGGGATGAAGTTCCTTTCCCAATATCCATCAGCCCCTTGGTTTAGCATGGTCCCCGCAGGTGTCACGAGTTGTTCCTCCGCAGATGATTCCAAGTGCAGTTCTTTCATATCTCCGTTTTCTTTGGCAAGGCAAGCAATTTCATGATCCCTATTCTCCATTATTCTCCTATATCCTCCCAGTAAATGAACATAAATCATCATAAATCTGGTGTTTACCTACATGAACCCACCATTTAAGTAGATGATGTTCCTTGAAAAGCCTTGGCTTTTCCACCCTCGTTGGATTAAAAAGAGGGGTTCTGTGGCGAAGGAGCTGTTCGCCAAGAACTTGTACCCATTGCTGGCCACAGGCGCTCCATGGAACTGGGATAGATACTGAAAGTAATATCGAGACATTATATACAGTGTACACTGATATATATATATATATCCCATAGGATCCATGTATGGTATATATGCTAACATTGGGGGTATATTGATGGTAAATGTTACCATATATCGCATACATGGATCCTATGGGATATATATATAACTATATATATATAGATATAGCTATTGACACTGAACATGGGTACATGATGATACAAGGAGAAAATATAACTCATGCTAGTGCATCTTATGTGTTTTTGTTTTAATGGAGACAGATGTTAGACTAGCGAAGATCCATTTCGAGATGGCATGAAGTGCTGGCGGGTGACTACCCATGACCCATGACCACTTTTTCTTGGTGAGTCCAGCAGCAACCAGTTGTCGTTCAGGCCTTTCTTCCCCCGGTCATCCAAGGAACCTTGGTTTAGTACATATAGCAATCCCCAAAAAGATACTGTGGTTAAAGGTGATTTATCCCCCTATTTTACAGTGATATATTTTATTGGAATTTTACTTTTCTATCTTTTTTGGGGTTACTTTCCTTGGATCTATTCCTTTTGGGTCCATACGAGGGATGTGATTGTAAGTTCAGTTGACACAGTTGTGCACGCCTCCGTAGGCAACTGTGTGAACATCGACGACCTCTTGTTCTTGGAGAAGGATCAGCCACAGGGCTACAACTACCCCAAGAAAAAACAGAAAAAACAACATCAAACAACATAATATAATGATTGATGGCTGAGCAGTTCTTGACAGCTCCAAACTGCCACTATTTTGGACATTTAGTGGGGCGAGTCTCCCCAGCGATTTGCAGATCTCGAAAGCTGCGTTTGCAACCCAGCTGATGCCCTGTTGGTCATATTCCAATGGGACTGGACATGTCCTTGGCGTCCCTTGCAAAACATGGTCGTCGATAACAAGCATGTTTCCCCAAGAATCTGTGCTTTTTGTTTTCCAAACGAAATCTATTGAATATGTTTCTCAAAAGGGGCGTGCCTCTTTTTTTCAGGTATATCTACGGCTGAAAATCATTGAGCTCCATTTTGAATGCTCAAAACCCCATTGAACCATTGGCCTTTTGTGGGTCCCCCATAGTTCCTACCAGTCCCTGACCATAGGCCGCCGAGCTGCTAGGACCTGGAGAAGAGGAATCGCATCATTCAGGAGCTTCAGCGGATTCGCGACTACGGCGTGCAGGCGCGGGTGCCTGAGAAACGTTGGAACATGTGTGGCCCCCCAAGGGTTGGAGAATCACTGGGATTTCACATGATTTAACCATCAAAATATTTGATCAACAATTTTGGATATTGGATGTTGACTATCTTGGAGGATCAAATCATTTAATTATATAGATCCCTTTAGGACCTGATGAGTATATAAGTGGAGTTAAAAGCCACTTATATCCATATATACATACGTATGTATCCATATATACGTGTATATATATATATATATACGTATATATATATAGACACGTATATATGGATACATACGTATATATATATATATATATATCATTATATATCTAGATAGATACATGCGTTATATGTACCCCTTACGATGCCTGGGATGTTTCTGAAGCTGAGACCCCAACTGAATCCCTGGGTTTGGAGTTGTTCCTTGGTTTCTAGCACATGGGATCAGTAAAACGGACCTATAGATCTATAGGAACATATATATATATATATATCATTATATATATATGAACTCTCAAAAGATACTTTAAGACTCGATTCCTACTAACTACCCTCTGGATCCTCCGGTAATTTAACATAGCTATGGAAAATGGACCATTTACAGATGATTTAGCTATTAAAAATGCTGATTTTCCAGTTCGCTATGTTAGTTTACCAGAGGGTACCTAGTGATGACACCGGGCGCATCTCGAGGCGGGTCCAGGACCTTTACCCAACGAGGGACAGCACATGCTCTTCAGGCGCGCGCGCGCGCGCACAGCAGGGGCTGGTGAATCTCCCCAAGAGTTGGGTGATGTTACCAATCCCATTTATAATGATTTCATAAAAGACTTGTTTTATGATTACTATTTTTGGAAACATGTACATGTATTGTACATAGTAAATTACTTTCGACGTGGAGGACGTTTGATACCACTTGTATGGGGGTCAACTGAGGGTCAAGTTATCTAGAATCATGTGCAGTTGAACATTAAGGTGTGCTACGTTTGCTACTACATTTGTTCTTCTGCGTTCCAGGACGTTCTATGTGTAGACTATATAGCTTTTGAGTCACAGCAGCAGCTGCACTCTCTGCCGCTCACCGCATGATGTTTCACCTCAGCTGCAGTAGTTTTCCCGCCTTCACAGATTTGTGCAGAAAGCGGCAAATCACATTTTTGGACAACTTCACATGATCAGCTTGGCAGTGAACTCAGTATAAAAATTGGGAAGTGGATACTTCCTTCAGTGCTAGAGTTTGCTAGAGAGATACTGCAGAAATACCAGGGCAATAGCCCTGGGATAAGTCATCCAGAATGCATGTTTCTCAAGCTTGGGGGAAATCCAGGATCCATTGCTCTGTGGAGAGTCTCAACCAATCCACGCTTGGGATGCCCACAAAAAACGGTGCTTTCCGGTCAAATGTCCAAAGTCAATCCAGGGGTGATATAGTGGGCCAATTAGACAGCGGTTTGCTGACCTTCACCCCACATCTTCCGCTTTGGCGCCATGCCCACCACGGCGGCTGGGAAGAAGATTGAAGTGGCAGCTCGGCTGGCACTCGCGTGAGTCTTGTTGGGGAGAGAAGTGCCTCGCTTGTGGATCCGTGTGTACAAGTGAGGGGCTGACTGGTTGGGGATGTTGGGGATGTGGAGGGTTCCTATATGTAAACTGAGGGACCCCAAAACCATGGGTTTGAATATCAAAATTCTATAACATTGACATACATTGACATATTTTTGGTGGTAGCCACAATTTAAACAGCCTTCATTTGGGTTGGGTACACTGACTGGTGGAGGTTAAAACTAGTTAGTTTATGGTCATAGACTGGGGAACCTGCCGGGTTGGAGGGCACGCCGTCTTCAAGTTGGCATGACATCAGGGGATACCATTGGGGAGGAGATGATTATACGTGGGCCAAAATTCGCCGATCAGATTGGATGGTCAATATTGGTTCATACTAAACATATCATAAAAATTGGATGGTTTATACTAAGCATCTTCACAGAATCTGTGTTTTCTTTGCCCTTTTTGTTATGGCTTGACCTTTTGGGTCCTGGCGGTTCTGCCATGGGGAAATCCTCCAGCCAAATTGGGGGTTTCTAGCTGGGACAATGACACAACGGAGGATTCCCATAGGATCCACGTATGGTATATTTACCTACATTTGGGTCATTTATGGGGTAAATGTTGGTAAGTATTCCATACATGGATCCTATGGGATTGCTCAGCTGAGGTGCATGATGTTTGCTTCTCGGTCGCGGAAATCGATAGGGATTTCCGATGAAACCAGCGTCCCAAGTGATGGGAGACCTCCACATGGTGTGGTGTTCCTATGGCTTGTTCGTTGTTTCGTTTGGGGACTGCCAAAATGGCTTTGAGACGCGCCAGGATGATGTGGGGTTGTGTGGAAACAAGGTACCTAAATCATCATCAGCCAAGGGTGTTGTTTTTCTACTCGTGTGTGATGTTGATTTATTTTCGACCCCTAAAATTTGATTCAATTTGATTGTTCATCACAATGTTTGCCCAAAGCGGCTACCTTTTGGTGTATACCGTCATTTTTAGGCACACCATGTTTATAAGAATGGGACAAACTGGGATCGCATGATCCATGAATATCACCATCAAATCCCCATCATCAAATCCCCATAGACCACCACTAACCGACTAACCTGTGTTTTTTGGTAAAACCATAGAATCCAATTTCAGTATGGTTATATTACAACATGGTTAAAAAAAACATAGACTACAATCCAATCATCATTAAAAAGAAAGAAAAAACATAACAAACACAACCATTACACAACCCATGTCATCAAATCACTATAGAAATCATAGACATCACTACCCATATGCTCCATGTATGGTATATTTACCTACATTTGGGTCATTTATGGGGTAAATCTTAGTAAATATTCCATACATGGAGCATATGGGCTATAGAAATCACCAGACCATTCCCCAAACAAAATCCCCCAAAAACTGCGATCCAAGGCTACCACCCCTTGGGCCCCGCCGTGGCGTCCTCGGCGCAGTTCCTGGACGTCTACGTGCCGCCGGAGGCGAAGTCCTGGGCCCCTGGGGGGATCCGAGGGCGAAACAAAAGGATGAAAAAACGCTGAAAACATGGTGAACACATGGAGATTTCACCATGGATAGGGGATTTCTGTTGGATTTCTGATGATTTTTCCATGGATTTCTGATTGAAAAATGGGGATTTTGATGGTGATTTGTCGATTTACATGGATTTATCCTTGACAGATATGGACAATTCAGAATATTATCATGATCTATTCATGATTTATGGTGATTTTTGGCTAGGGATGTGTGGTGATTGACAAAAATCGAAGATGGCATGAGACAAAATTCTCCCTTCATTAGTTCCTTTTACCAATAGCAGGGGCAAGGGATCGTGATTTTGTGTACGACTTCTCAGAATATGTCTTCAATATGGGCCTCACCAGGATGTCACCGGAAGACTTGCCGTGGGTTGCCGGGAAAATTGCTGGCCTTATTTCAGGTTAGATGTTGTAATTTGTCTCGAAATGTCCTACCCAGGATTATAACATATAACAACCCTCTGGCAATCAAGCGTGGCAATTGAAAATCCCCCAGGAAATGGAGATATTCCATGATATTCCCACATTTCTTTACCGCTGGCCATGCGGCCCGGGCGCAATGCATCCTTCGTCCCCAAGCGACCGAGGCAAAGGAGGAAAATGCTTCCTTGCCAGTCACTCGCGACCGGGGTGGCATGGGGGGAACAACAAATGGGGAAAAAGAATGAAAAAGGCACAAGAAGGTGGTGGTTGAACCACCAACGTTTTGTTTTTTAAGTGTTTTTTTCTCAATGATACAAAGAGATCAATAAGACACGGATGGTTTACCGTTACCCAACTGAAGTCCAGCGCGGAATCCCCAGAAATTTGAGTTGGAGTCCGATTATTAGACCATCTTCAAGTGTTCAATGATAATTGCGTGTTTTTTTGGTGGCATGTCAAGACTCAAAGGTGTGTGCATCCAGGCTCAGATATTGGAGTTGACTTTGAAGACGCATAATTATACCCAAGTTGGTGATCTCAAACAGGGTGAATCTGATATGAATCTGATATAATATTATTATATATATATAATTATATATATATATATGATTCCATTCAAGTACCTAAATGAATTGGAGGTACATACCATATATAAGGCCTATCTAAGTGCTATTTAAGGGCTTTATATAGCTCTATATGGTATAGTACCTCTGTTTTAGGGTCCTGAAATTCCCATTTTTTGATATTGGCAGTGTCTCCAAAAGTTATGACTTACGCAGCGATGATGTGTTGGGCCGACTGGAACCCATCTATTTGAGCTTCACATGGGTTTTAGATGTTTTAGTGGGGGTTGGATGGGGTTGGATTACTTTCGACTTCTGGACATGGAATGACCTGGATACATACCCGAGTTTTTTTTGTTCCTCTCGATTTTTGGACATGAAGCTCAACAAGTCTCCGTTTTGGTCATCACTGTTTGGATCTTGGTCATCAGATGTCCTTTTCCCACTGGTTGATTTTCATGGATTATTCACTCATTCTTCATAATCATTGAACGCAAAATTCAGTATCTATACATATCATATCCCATAGGATCCATGTATGCTTTGTATGGTAACATTTACCATCAATATACCCCAAATGTTAGCATATATACCATACATGGATCCTATGGGTATGGATACAACAAAAAATGACATATTCTAACTCTTTCGCTGATATAGCCGCTAATAGCCCCCCACAAACATCCCAGCTGACATCCCGTGGGATTTTCTTCAGAGGTCGTAGTGTTTCTACACGGCGGAGGTTGGCGGCGAGGCCGGAGAAGTGATGAGAAATGCGGGATTTTCCAGCCATGGTTGATTGCCAGAGGATGTTTGTTTGCGCTAGTTTTGGGGGGGGTAAGTTTATATATATATATATATATTATATATTATAATATATTTGTGTGTGTGTACTCCGTTTCACGAAGTTTCTGTGAGTACTCTCAGGGTGTGCATAAGTTGGACTTTGACAGGTAGCCGGCGCTCCAACATCTTCCATTTCTTCCAAAACGTGGGATTGGTGTTTGGGGCCTCGGTTGACTGACTCTACTTGTGGATGACAAGAAGCTACGCTCTTATAACCATGGAAAATCACCATTTTTAATAGGTATGTATGTTAAATTACCAGAGGGGTACCATTTGATAGAAGCTGGATGGATTCCCCAGTGTTCAATTCACACATACAAATGTCACTGGATGATTCAATGATGGATGATATTGAAAGATTTGTTTGTTCCAGTGCTGCCACTGCGAGAAAAAACCGCCACACATGTCGTCGGGATTCTGGGTATCGAATGTATGCTGCCCCAAGTCCCCAAAGCCTGAGGGTAAATCCGAATGGCGACAAACTTGAATGGGTGAAAACACCAACAGTCGGCACCAAAAATGGAGTCTCCGTGTCAATATATCAACTTGCAGTTCCCCCATCCGTGTCCCCACTTTCGGAAAAGAATGGAGGCTTCCCATAGCGATGTTCAGTGAGAAGTCAAGGTTCAAAAATTCCAGAAGTGGTGAAATGGTCAAATGTCAAACCAAGACCGTGGTTGCATGAGAAAAAAACTATCATTGAAATTCATGAGCAAAATTGTGTCACTAAGGTTGGCAGATCAGGGCTTTGTTGCGGTGCTTCCTTCCTACAGGTGCCTGGTTATGTTCAACGGCTGGTGACTGGTTATGGCTGAAGATGAACATGTGGAATTTCACCGGCAAAAAAATGAAACACATGTGGTTTTGACCAGGAAAAAACTGAAAAAAACATGTGGGCTACCACCAAAAAGGTCTAAGAGATATGTATTGGAATGGAATATAGGTCAAAATCCACAAAAACGAAGGCGAAGGAAAAATAGATATTCCGTTTTGGGGCGAGGTTTGGAGGTAACTCGATTTCACCAGCTGATTTAAGCAGCCAGAATAAGGACTTGACCAGCGGATGAAAATGATGGAAATGGGCTTGCGCAAGCGGGGATTCAGCCTGGCTACGGGGGTAGCCAACGAATTTATCTGGGTATTGTGGGATATACTGGGATGAATATATATGATAATATGATATGTATTTATGCAAGAATGAGACATACCTCAAAATGGCAATCTTGACAGTGAACATGATATCAACCATACATGTTTTTGTGGCTGATCTGAATAAGTTGATACGTGTTAAAAGTGAGTGAATTTGTTTTGACATGCTTTGACATATATACATGTTGATGGAAGTGATGGAAGGATGCTTGATTTCCGACCGTGGATCTACTGCTGTGGATGAACATCATCAACCACCAAGCATTAATTATATATATATTAGTATCTATTATTTGCAAATCTATTGTAGTAGCAACTGGTGAGCATTGATTATTTATATATAATCTATTATTTGCATTATTTACAACTTTTTAGCAGTTTCACCATCTACTTCTCTCTCTGACATTGCTTGAGCATGTCATTCCAGAATTCTTCATCAATGCATTGAGGAGATGTGCAAGCGATCATGAATGGTGGAACATGTCATCCCATCCACAACTCAAAACGAACATGGTGTTTATTGTTTGCACGGTTAAGGTACCCTCTTGTCATTTCACACGGCTATGGAACCATTGTTTATAGGTAAATCATCAAACTGAACGGGGAATGGTTGCCATAGCTATTTTGAATTACCGGGGGGTAAACAATAGGATTCTACCTCCACGTCCTTCTCCCTTTAACCACCTAATATCTAATGATTATAATCATCATCCCAGTAATAATCCCAATGATGAAAACCTGTGACCATCCCAATGATGAAAACCTGTGACCATCCCGCAATTACTCATCATCTCGATGGTCTGAAAAATCGGATTATGGATTATGAGATGCTGAATGAAATTATTCATGCTTATGTATACCCTCTGGTAATTTAACATAGCAATGGAAAATCACCATTTTTAATGGGAAAATCAACTATAAATGACCATTTTCAATAGCTATGTTAAATTACCAGAGGGTAAATATATTCATGGAATATTCATGGCTAGCATCCCACAAGAATGACATTTCCGGTCGCCAGGAAGAGCCTGCCATACGCTCCCTGGCTGCTGGGCATGCTGGGTGCCACGGCGCTCACCCTGACGGCGCTGCCGCTGTTGTTTCGCCGGCAAAGCACGAGGTGAGAGGGGGTTCCTATGTGTTTTTTCCTGTTTTAAACCTCTATATATATATATCTAATAATCAATTTTCCCATGATTCTCCCATGGTTTTCCACACTTCCCCATGATTTTTCCATGTTTTTCTCCATTAAAACCTCCCTTTGGGATGGATGTTACGACATGTTCCCAGGATTTTCCCGGGAACGTTCCTATGATTTTCCTATTTTTAATTCCCATTCCCAGTGCCAGGTCCACTTCCAGCTCTGTGGGCGCTCTCGCGGGCGTCTGGGGCGGGCTCGCCTTGATCTTGCGGCAGCTCATCCGCTGGGTGCGCATTCCGTTCAAATCTACGGTGTTTCGTTGGTTTTACCCTCTGGTAAACTAACATAGCTATGGAAAATCACAATTTTTAATGGGTAAATCAACTATAAATGACCATTTTCAATAGCTATGTAACAGACTACCAGAGGGTATCCCTTTAAAATCACTATAAAAGTGAAGTTTTCTTACCATAGAAGCACCATAAAATCATAAAATCACCATCAAATCACCATCAAATATTGGGGTCGATTCTTTCATGAGATCCCTTCCCCCCAGGGTGTTTCACGCTGGAGGTTTCTCCAGGCGTCCGGCACCCGGCGCACCTGGAGGACTGTGCGCGGGCAGTCGGCTGGGTGCAGCAGGGCGGCACGCGGGCCTTCGGAGGCTATGGGACATCATCCATTGGATCTAAATTTGGATATGTCTGGATCTGATTGTTGGTTTGGAACATGGCTGTTATTTTCCAATATTTTCCATAATATAATTGGGAATTTCATGATCCCAACTGACGAACTCTATCATTTTTCAGAGGGGTAGGTTGAAACCACCAACCAGGGATGGTATACCAAATTTTGGTGACATCAAAATACAGACTAATCATGCCATGATGATCTCATCTTAATACTGTTCTGCTGTTTTTTTTCCTTTCTCCACGATCTCCCAGGTTTTTTTGCCCCATTTGGCATCCGGAAACGCGGGAGGCGATCCGGGCAAAGTGGTGCTGCTGGGCAACTCCGCCGGCGCCCACCTGGCTTCGCTGCTGGCCTTAGACGCTTCGAAGGCTTCGACGGAGATTCCGTCGCCCTTGCGAGGTGTGGCAGGAGATGTCCCCATGACATGGTGAGAATGTCATGGGGAAATCATTTTAGGATGATGGGTAAATCATGGGAAAACATGGGTAAATCATCTATAAATTGTAGATAAACCATGATAAACCATCTATTTTCCCATATTTTTTTTTGCCCATTCTAGATGACTTATAGAGAATGTAATGGGAGAATCATCTAGAAAACCATCGATGCTCAAATGGGTTCAATATTTCAATCATCTAGATTAAACCATCTAGAAATTGGAAGTTTAGGTTTTGTATGGAAAGAATTTCCTATAAAATGGAGGAGTTTCCCATGGCCATGTTTGATTACCAGAGGGTGAGTCCCTGGAAAACAAAGAACAATTGCCCACTTAAATGGTTGAATGGGAATAGATATGATTAGATCATCCCCTGGGATACATTTTTTGGTTAAGAATGGTTGTTTTTTTGGGTGAAGAGTGGATGTATCATTAAGTGGATAGTGAATTGTGGAAGAGTTGGATGAAGAGTATGATACAACAATGATTGTATGATACAACAATGGTGAATTGGGATTCATTCCAACTGTCCACATGATTGCAACAACAATTTGGATGAAGAGTGGACAGTTGGAATCATGTGGCATTCACCCAATGCCATGAAAGGGAACATGACTGGGGTAATCATAGCAAGCATAAACATGGTGATGACTGAGGGATAGTCTATGTCATTGGGTAGAAACACCAGGGGATTCAACGGGTGACTCAATGGTTGGTTGATAAAGCCGGATCACAAGATGCTTTGCAAATTACCCTCTGGTAAACTAACATAGCTATGGAAAATCACCATTTTTAATGGGAAAATCAACTATTTCTATTGCCATTTTCAATAGCTATGTTAGTTTACCAGAGGGTAGTCCTTTGTTGGCAAATATCTTGTTTTCTGGGGACTTACCCGCTGGATATTTAAACGTGGCAACGGATTTGTTTTCCATTTGTAGGTCATGTACCAGGTCTCATTGCCATCAGTGGCATCTACTGCGGTCAACGCTTCTACCAGAGCTGGCTCATGAGACGCTTGGAAATCAGGAATTTATGATAATTTATGTGGAAAATATCGGTTCAAGCAACACAATTTGGTGATATTTGGTGTATATAATATCCCATAGGATCCATGTATGTTGTACATGGTAACATTTACCATCAATATACCCCCAATGTTAGCATATATACCATACATCGATCCTATGGGTATTGATATTATACACGCATCATGTGTGTTTTCTAAAGTGTTTTCCAATACATCGCACCATTGAATGGATTGGTTTTAGGGAAAATCTTAACCGGAAACCATGTTTTTGTTACCATGCAAATATGGATTCAAATATGGATTCAAATTTAATTGAACCAATCCAGTCACTAACCCATCATCACTGGTTGGTGCTTTGGAACATGACTTTTTTTTTCCATATATTGGGAATGTCATCATCCCAACTGTTACTCACTCCATCATTTTTCAGAGGGGTTGGAAGATGTTGGAACCACCAAGCAGATGAGATCTGGCTGAGGACACATGTTTGGATACGTTTTTGATGACCATCCAAGCTGGGACGACTGCTTTCCCTTGGGTCGATGCCCTGATCCCTCGGATCCCTCGCGACCGGATTCCTCCTCGTGACCCGGCGAAGCGGGCGGCACGGCGTTGAAGGCATTTTTTCCCCCCGGGTGCATGGTGCATGGTGCATGCATGGAATATGTAGTTCTACTATGTTCTACTCATTTGTAAACTAGATAAGATATATACTATAAGATATGATAGAATATGGCCATTTAGCAAAAGGACTGTCACTAGCATGATAGTAGTTTTGAACATATACTTACGCATGATGATGACACACATTTCAGGGGATATCAAGAGTGGCCGGTATCTAAGGACCCATGTTTTTGAAACAACTGAAAAAGCCAACGGCTCCACTGAGGCAACTGGAGGCATCTTGGCTCATCACGACAGTTTGGCCAGTGTTTTAATGCGGGATCACAAGCAAACATGGGCATTGAAACAGCGAACAAAATATGAAAAAGTATGAACAAGTAATCTAAACATAGTATTACTGTTGGTATTTATTCGGAATCAATCAATGGGGGATGGACATACATTGGTTAACAGGGTTATTAGGGATGCTAATGCATATTGCTCCTTGCAACTGTCCGACTTATAGCATTGTGCCCTTTGAATCCCTTTGTTACTTTGATATATAATGATACATATATATATATATATTTATTATGGGAATGGCTCTATGTCCATATCGCACATTAACCCATCGCAACCACAAGTGAACAACAATGTTTCAGCCTTACACCAAGGCCATTATTATACATAGTCATCCCCCAAAAGGTCAGACAACTATATCTGTCGGGTGTTACAATAACCTGACTAAGGTAAAAATTCCTGACAACATTGGCTATCAGCATCCGATATATCTATAATATAGTTATCATTATCAGAACTATCATCTATGATATAATAGTTAATCATCAACCATTATTATAACTATCATTACTGACCATTATGACTATCATTTGTGGATTCACCATTAATTACAATATAGACTATTGTTCATGGATGATTACCTGCATAATAATCATCCAGTTCACCATTGATCATTAATTATACTTTTATGAGTATTAATTATTATAGTTATCACTAACCATTATCATCATATTATTTGGATCTATCATAAATACTCACAAGTATCATTCATGATCAATACAACAAATGCTTATTCTATTTGTGAACATGATTGAAATATATAGCACGGTGTATCTATCTAAAATGATACTTTTACTGATACTTTTAGTGATAATTATATTTGATCTAGTATGTTTTATGATAGCTATAATGGCAGTTGTAATATAGTTAATATATTAATGACAGTCATTAACGACTATATTGATATAAACTATGTATATTATACATAGTCTAGACATTAACAGTCATTAACTATATTACTATATCATGTTTATAGTAATAATATTAATCATCTTACTATAAATTACTATATATTATTATATGCCATTACATACAGCACTATTTAACACACAAATATATATTATACATAAGTATATCATACAGTATAGTCATTAACACTCATATATAGTCATTATATGTATCTATATAATACATATGTATTGTTTTATTATATATTACTACTATATAAGTCATAAACAGTCATTAAAAATATCAATATGATATTATATAATGAACAGTTGGTGATGATTACTATATATATATAACTATCAGTATATAAACCCTAGAATTAACAGTTAGTAACTAACATGATGATTACTATATATTGATATCACTATATATCACTATAGCCATTAACTATATTACCAGATATCACTATATCACTATATCTTACTATATTATTTAACATATTATGGTTGGTGGTTTGGAACATGTTTTATTTTTCCATATATTGGAAATGTAATCATCCCAACTGACTTTCATATTTTTCAGAGGGGTAGGTATACCACCAACCAGATACTGTTTAACATTTTAATATATCATAATATATCATAATATATCTATACATATATATCTATACATATATCACTATATCAATATATCACTATATCACTATATCACTATATTACTATATCACTATATATATATATATTATTACTATAGTAGTACATCATATAGTAATAATAGTGATAAACATGTGATCACTATCAGATCGCTGTATCACTCCCTATGGATCCATACACTGTCTGAGAAGGTACTTAACCCTCCAAATTATAGTAAATTATACCCCAGTCCCACTTCCTAAGAAGATACGACTGGATCCTATGAAATCCTATTGAAACCATCTGCCAGGGCCTTTGTCCCGTGCTGTTGATCAACGCGGCCTTCGATGTGGGTCTCCAGCCGCACGCCGAGGACTTCGCCAAGCGACTTCGGCAGTGCGGCGCCCAGGCAAGGATCCGGCTATATATGGGGATGCAACTTATTGGGATATATAGGGATATTGTATGGTTAACTATGGAAAATATATGGAAAATATGAGAAATCCTATGGAAATATATGGAAATCATGGGGTTTAACTATGGATTTATAGGATTTACCCTCTGGTAAACTAACGTAACTATGGGAAATCACAATTTTTAATGGGAAAACTCACTATCAATGGGGATTTGAGTGGATTTATTAGTTGAATTATGGGGATGTTAGTGGAGATTTAGTGGAATTATAGGGGAAACTTATAGTGGATTTAGGGAATTGTTCAGGGAATGTTCACGGGATTTTAGAGTTTTTTGGTGATTTGACTTGATTCGCTTATATATTATATATATATGTAAATATTAGATGATTGTTTGAGGGAATTTTAGTGGATTTTAGGGGAATTCATAGGATTTCATAGGATTTTCTTGATGCTCACTTTTTTTGCGTGTTCAGTGGATTTTATTTGAATCTCTCAATGGCTTCCAAACCATGTTGCTGAAGTTTTTTGAGATTGTTGTATGTTTTTTTTGTGGATGTTTATAAAGTTTCAGTTTTTGATCGGTTTTGATGGGGGTATGGATCATCTATTAATACCATTTTTAGGGGGATGAACACCCATTTACCAGCTATTTTGATGTTCACCAGGGGTACAAGGTTTTGACACACTGCCATGGAATCTTCATGGATTTTGTGTATTTTGATCAACAGACATGGGATGATTTCGGGGACGGGGACAGGTGAGTGGTCCTGTGGTCCTGCCTGGCACGGACCACTTTCGCATGCTGCCCCTGCTGGGGCGGACACAGCGCTCGGGTGGCCGCGTCAGCAGCCGAGAGGATCGACTCCTGGATCTTTCGATGACCCTGTGGTAAACGACATACCCTCTGGTAAACATACAAAAAACTATGGAAAGATCCACCATTTTTAATGGGAAAATCCACTATTTCTATGGCCATTTTCAATAGCTATGTTAAATTACCAGAGGGTAATTATGGAACATCACCATGTTTAATGGGTCAATCAACGAACTGTCTATGGCCATGTTCAATAGCTATGTTAGTTGGACAAGAGGGTAATATTTGTAAAGCAATGTCATAAACCACCCATACGGATTGATGGTTTATCAGTTTATCCCACATGAAAAGATAGTAAATTTGGGGATTGGTTTCAGGACCCGTAATACAGTTTAGCCAAGGTGAATTGGGGATATATAGCCAAAACAATTATTCCCCACAAACAGATATAATTGCATGAAATTGCCAATTTACTGGGTAGTAGACCTTACTTGTCTCATTTTACGAGAAGTCGTCTCGCAACCGTTGTGCCTATGGGAAGTGCTGTTAGTCATATGATGTCATATGTTTTGGCATGTTGAGTCTTTGATGCAAATCGCAGTGGCACGATGCTTTGGACTTGGACCTGTGTTCATTTACTAGGAACAGCTTGATAATCACCCAGACATTTGTGGGTTTTCGACTATGTAAGTTTAACAATAAAGTAATCAAATATGACGATTTGCCTCACGCAGCCATGGCCATATCTAACTGGAACTTGTTATTCAGTGGGTTTTTTTTGTATGGCCGGTGCTGCCGAGCCAAGGAGAATTGTTGCCGCTGATCTCTGACTTTGTGCGCAGAGTTTGCCAATGAAAAAGGTCCTGGGGATGGAGACTTACTGAAAGATGGACAAACCATGACAAACCGTAAGGTTGGGAAGGTTAAATAGCAGCTGCAAAAAATCCACTGCACATGGCAAAATACAGTATACGGAACTTCCACAACAAAGATCAACGAAGACGGAGTGAACCAAGTTGAACTCCTGTGTTTGTTGGTAATTCCATGTAATTCCCCATATGCGGTGAATTACGCAGTCATAAACTGGCTTTTGGTCTTAGATACTGTATTCATTTTTGTCCATCCCACTACTAGTCTTTGTTTTCAGAGTCAAGATCTTTTCAAAAATCCCACATGGTTTCTGTTGGCTAGATCCACAACATGATAATCATTAGCGCTACATCCCATTGTATTAGCCTTATTTTTAGTTCCACCCCTATATTTGTTGGAGGTTACGGTTGATGTTTGGTGCGAGGCTCTCCATGTCAACTACACAACTTGGAGGTTTGGACGGGGAATCGGTCGGGGGACCGTTGTTGCAAAATGGTTCACCACAGGTCACAGGTCTCTTTTTTACGCGCCAGACAACACTCAGTAATGAGCTACAACTACCAGATGGACCCTAGAGATCCCTAGAGTAAATGAATATACGGAAAATTCACCCTTGATCTCATTTCCTGGGGAGACCATGGGTTTTCCGCATTACTGACAAACCAGGCCCCATCCAGTCATGATCAATACTCTCCACGGTTCACTGAAACCACAAAGCCAACATCCACGGAACCAAGATTTCAATGGATTTAGTAGGTTTGTGACTATGATGGACAAATAGTTGTGGACAAATTGGTTGGACCGATATTGAATTGAGGCGCAAATCAGTTTCTTGATGTTTCTTGATGTTTCTTGATGTTTCTTGTATCACCTCAGTCTCTCTTTGTGTATCCAGGGCTTATTCCCAGCCGTGTCGCCACTTGGTGGCTGCCCTTCTCTGAGGGAAGCATTGGAAGACGGTGAAGAGTAAGATGGCCCGAGGAGATGGTGAAATGCCCTACTCGCCCAACTTCCGTCCCTGGGCGGAAGTCTTTGACGGGAGGATACCAGGTTGGTTGGTTGGTCAAACAAGACTTGGGATGCTGCCCAACATGTTCCAACAGCTGAAAGCAGCTTTCAAAGTTCCGGCAAAGGGGTGCGTCCCTATGTTGGCAGGTCATGCCAAGTCGATTCAATGAACTTGGCAGATATATCTCCATGGTGGATCGGTGAAATCGAACTGATTTGTGTGATTTTGTATGTATATCTTAAATTTACTGTACATATAACAGTGACATGCAGCCATTATTTCAGCCCAGTTCCATTGGAACATGTGGAGTGAGTCGCTATTTCCTTTTCCTAGACTTTGACTTGGATGAGGGGACAAATACCACCGGAAAGGCACATGATTTGATAAAACTGATGCAGAAACGAATCCGACAAACAAACAAAAAAACATATGAAAATCCATTGAAGTGAACATAAGTGAACATATAATCCACATATAATCCTTATTCACCCCACAATTTTCAAACGTTGTCCCCACGTTGCGTTGCGCCCCTGGCCCCGCAACGGGCCGAGGTCCCAACACCAGCTGGTTGGAGCAGATCGCCCTGAGTCGCTTGCAGGATCGGACAGGCCCCGGTTTTTCGCGCAGGGAAGTCCACCATTGATGCGATGGAAACATCATTTTAATGGTATTTTAATGTTATTTTAATGGTATATGATGGTGATAATGGTTATGGTGATGATGATGATGATGATGATGATGATGATGATTTTAGTGGTACCATCTGGTTATGACTAACAGTTTGCCATGGAAAGATCCACCATGCTATTAATAGGTAAACCATCTATTTCTATGGGCCATCTATACCATGGCTATGTTAGTCATAACCAGAGGGTATATTAATGTTGGTATATATCATGATGATATGTTTTGTGATGATGATGTATCTGATATTATCTGATGATTATATTTGGTGATGATTTATATTTAAGTTGTTTTTTAGTATATTGTTTGGTGGAATTTAGTAGTTTATACTACGATTCTGTATATTATAGATACAAATGGTTGGTGCTGTCAACATGTTTCAAATCCTTCTGATCCTTCTGAGAAGATCAACCCCAGAATCCTAGAAATGGGGGGGATGATCCCTGATGATCCCAAGTGACATTTGCACTTTTTCTTTGGTTTTGGTGGAAGTATCTTCAAGTCCCTTCTAAAACGGCGTCGCGCGTAGGTCTCGGGAGTTCAAGTCTGCCGAGACTGAAGAGGTGCGGTACTATCGGGTTGTACTCGTCACAACATATAGGGATGTCATGAAGAAATCTGAGGGAATATGTGTGTCAATAGTTTGCAGATATGGGCCATATGGCTTTGATTTTGCGCAAGGGATGATGATACCCAACGACACAGCAGATATTTGCAGTCTTTTTTGTGCGCATACCCACTGGCAGGCCAGATTCCCCAATGTTATCAAACGATAGGATCCACCACTCCCAAATTTACCATATTTATGGGTGGTCTGTGACATTGCAAACGTTACACCCACCTCCAAATGGTTGTCATTTTTGTTGACGGACCTAATTTGTTGACTTTTTATGGGAGAAAGGATACAGGCATCTGACAAAGTCGTACCTAAAAACATTTAGGCATGACTTAGGCATGACTTCTTGGATACAGCGTTTACAATGGTAAATGCCATTCAAAAACATGCTAGGCATGACTTAGGCGTGACATTGTCGCTTCCCTGTAGAACCCCCATGTTCACGGCCTGGCCTCAAGGTCAGCAAAGGCAAGAGGCCTGGCCCGCCTGCCGCAATAAATCGTTGTTTGTGAATGGGCGATGTTTATGCCACCGGACCGAAAACCGCGCTCGTAAATCAACATTCTTTTAATGGGGTGTGGTTGCGGTGGAGTTCATAACTCTCCAAACCTTTAGCATTCATGGTGATGTTTTCCCATTGCTCCACAAAGCAGGGAGATTCAAAACGAAATGATTTGTTCAATCTTCACTGCATACATGTCATAGATTTCATACCAAGTTAAATTCGTCATTGAAAAACCTATGTTTATGTTTGTTTGCAAGCTGCATCCCTATATTTAGTTTCACATCACATTGGAAACCATATCTTCTGCTTAGCCCTGCTCAAAGGGGCGCAATAGCGGGGCTGCCACGAGTTGTTCGGCATGGTGCTGCAACTAACTACCTTCTTTAAATGCTGTGCAACGAACTTGCTCATAGAACTTCCACTATGTTCTTGATGAATCTTGATGCTACAAATTGTCAGAGGTACAGCCTTCCTGCCAACTTGCAAAAGAGTTTACCAGAGACACTGTTTCCTTCATGAAACAATGTTTCAAAGATGAGGTTTCACAAATTTGACTCACGCATTAACGCAAAATATCTGTCCGTTCCAAAGGATGACTGGAACATGAATGGCATCCTCTGAGAAAATGTTCTTCTGCAGCACAACTAAATGGGCTGATGAAAATGAGCTGGCACAGTCTTGGCACAGTGGTACAAGGCGAATTACATCAAATTGTGGAATCCATAAATTGTGCTCAATATTAAGAAGACAATTACGTAGCATTTCGCAGCTACCAATTTCATTTTAAAAGAAGCACGTGCTGTGGTGAGCACTGATATTGTCCATACCCGAAAGAATTTCAAATGGGGTACAAAGATAGATCGATATGTACATATATATATATATATGATATATGTGTATTTCATTGTATTTCATCGTCCATGCTAGCACAGAGTTCCAATAAGGTACACACGTATATATATATATGTGTGTATAATATATATATATATACAGATAGATATTTATTTTTCTATTTAGTTTTAGTCATATTGCAGCACGTCCAATGAATTATCATTCTCCACCGTCAAGTGGCTATTTGGATCTATTTCGACGCTATACCCCGTGTTCAAACACATTCAAATTTGTATATATAGTTAATTATATATATATATACTATCCATGCTCATACACTATACTTGTTTTTTCTTTTTTACATTTAGTGTTCTATATGTGTTTTATATAGATATAGAAATCAATATATTGTTTTTACATATTGTCATTTATTTTGATGTTGTTTATTGTGTATCATGCACTGTACTGTAATTTAATGTAGTGCAATTGAGTACAACAATATATGTATACATATAATATAATATATATATACAATATATATATATACATTATAGAGTGTGTATATATATATATACATTATAGAGTGTGTATATATATATATATATTATATTCATTATACATGAATATTATGTATATTTGAATATTATTTTTGAGTTTGACATAAGAAATATTGATGGTTCCGGACGATTTCTTCACGTGATTCTCACACACAAACAACTGCCTCAGGCAAGAAGGTGAAGCCGCTGCCTCCGCCCGTCAGTGTCGGGGGTCCGTGTTGACCGAAACGGAGACGTTGGCATTGTTGAGGATACCTATACCTCTTCTGGGGGATGGGTTACTGTATCCAGATTCTGCAAACAAACATGTTTTGTTTTAGTCTGTTGTTGGAGATTTCGAATGAGAATGAATGAGATATGTGATCCCCATTGGTTGCAACATGATTTATTCGCAGATAGACAGGTTGTGTTTGTTCGGACTTCAGGAAACCACACATTCGAAGAGTGCCCTAAAATCGCAGAACCGTGCGTGAGGATTTTTTCTGAATGCCCAAGCGCCATGGGGATTCACATAAACCATACCCAATTTTGGATTTATGAACGCGTCTATTTTTGGAATCATGGGATGATGAATATCACAACCCCTAACCTGAATGTTTTGTGTTTTCTTCTTTTTCTATTTTGTTCTGGTTTATTTTGCGTCATGTATACAAGGGTCCAAAATGGTCCAAATTTTGAGTGATATGTGTTTTTCATCCTCACTTCAGTTTGTGTCACCGCAAACTTTACATCAGTTGATCCAGTCCCAAAATTGCGTCTGTAGCACAGGCAGGCATGAAGCCTTGACCGTCAAAATGCCAATAATCAGCTCAAAATAAACCAACCACAGTGTGCAAAGGCATCAACTTGAGACATGACGTTAACATGTCCATTCCAATACTTCCGAATCCAGATAAATCATGATAAATCCACCCAAAAATAGGGATTTGTCACAAAAAAATAGTAATTTTTACTACATGGCCAGTTCAGGAATCTAAACCGGAGGTATTGTACCATGTAATTAAGGCGGTGGGAATGTATCCCTTTACGCCTTAGAAAATGGGAAACTTCAACGAAAATCCTGGATCTCAGGCCTCGGAAGTGTCCCTGCCACTTCTGAGTAGCGGCACCTTGGTGAAGATAAAAAAACACGCCTGGGGAGATATTTGGGGGGTTCCTAAGTCAAGGGAGTACCCCCTTCTTCATGGATGGTTTATAGTGGAAAATATCTCTTTTTTTTAAATAATAATCCCTTGACTGGAACATATGAATTAATGGAATTTAAATCATCCCTGAGTCATAGGGCTACCCCCTTCTTCAAGGGATTAATCATGGATGATTTGAATTTGGGGTAGCCCTATGACTCAGGACACCTCCAGCCCGGTTTTTCGCTGGTTTTTCGTGGGCAAATCTGATATCTTTGGAGAATTTAAGATATCATATTATACAGGATCCCCATAGTTAGCTAAGTTGGTGTTAAACTATAAGAACCATAGTGTATGATATAACCAACAATGGGATTGTAAACCATAGTGTATAACTATATGGAGCAAGTATAGTAACCCCATACGCTATGATATTTATTACATTTTATAACCAACTCCATCATGACAATATGTGGATGGGGCCCCATAAACCAAGAAACATAACTGGAGGGCCCTGTACCCAATATGAACACAAAATTTTAATCCCATTGAAGGGATGTCACTTGACTGGACATCCCCCCGAAAAACGACGTCGAAAAGTAAGAAACACCCGTTTTCGATGGAGTTCACAGTTTTCTATCTTGAGTTGGGGGGTTGTATGGGTTGCTATAAATGTATATTTCTTGTAATTAAGCAAACATGGCACTGGAAAATCCGCCACTACTAGTACTGTAGATTTTCCCAGCTCTAACTTCCATTTCGTCCGTGGAATTTCCCAGCCATTAATTAGTTCGTGGATGTTCCCATTTAAAAAAAAACTCAATGTTTCAGTGAATTTGCCATTCCAGTACCGCTTCTAGTGGATTTTCCTAGCCAAACTTCCCACAACTTCCAGCCATTGTGGATTCATGGCTAGGTATGGAAGCCTGGGCCAAAAAGGTCAAGGAACAGCCCTGTCGTTGCTGGCCCTCCTGGCCCTTCGATGAGGTTTCCTTCGAGCACCTCGGAAGGTGGAATCCCCCAAAAAGTGTTTGTGTTGCATCCCTCAACATGAGACAATTCCTGGTTGGTGGTTTGGAACATTTTTTATTTTTCCAAATATTGGGAATAATACTCCCATTTGACTAATATTTTTCAGAGGGGTTGAAACCACCAACCAGATTCAATGGGACAATATCCCATATGCTCCATGTATGGAATATGAATCCCAACATTTACCCCATTTTTATGACCCAGTCATGTAGGTAAATATACCATACATGGAGCATATGGGATTGGGACAATATGAGAAACTTCACCGAACTAAATGGAAAACAATTGTGAACTTAATTTTCCCATCCTTTCAGGGAAGATTTCATGGTAAAGTCATGAGACAACTCGTGAAGAAATCAACTAAAAGGATGATAAAAAAGCTGGGAAAATCATTGAACTGAACGGGAAAATCATTGCTTGCATCAGATTGATTACCAGAGGGTGCGACTGAATGTTTTTGGAGAAGCTGGAGAAGTTGGAGAAGTTGGGAAATCACAGGGGATTCATCAATAATTAGTTGGATAGGGATATAAATCATCAATAATTAGATCATCAATAATTAGTTGACATCCCTATCCAACAATTAAATCATCAATAATTAGTTGGATTCCAATTGGATAGGGATGTCATCAGCAAAAAAGTGGCCAAACAGATGGGGGATCCGAGGGGGAGTCATGTCGATGGGCCCCTCGGTTGTTTGGAGAATCAACCAGGTTCGGATTTCCCATGGATGCCATCCATGGTGGTTTAATCATGGGGAAAACCCCTTCCCCCGTTATTAAACACTCCCCGCAGAACCATGGTTTAGTAAGGGATTTACACATCTTTGGGACCATAGAAAAGGGGTGTTTTTTATACGAACGGAGGATGGGACTGTTGATTATTTCTAAGCCTAAGCATTTCCGGGCAGTATCAGGTTCCAAGCTATTGTTCCAAGGGCCTTAGACTTTTTGTTGTCAGATCTGAACCCATATGTGTTGCACCTTTGGATTGCTATTTAGGAGGACGCAATCTATACATCACCTTTCCTATGTTCCCCAGCAAAATTAATTGAATATGAGGGAAGAAGAAACCATCAGAGAATTGTCTTTATTGTTGAGAAGTGATTTCCGCAACTTTCTTGTGTTTGAAACATACCCAGCAGAAGGCTGAGACTCCACAATGCCTCTAAGGACGTCGGTGACATTGGACGGCAGAAGAATTGTTTCTTGATTTCGGGGGTGCGGTGTTCTCACCTCCAGTGCTCATGGTTTCATAGATTTTGGGGGGCGATGCCAAATGCCCTGAGGTAAATGAACATAGATTCGCACGACAACCATGGGTTCCCTAAAGAATGATCTATAAGGTGATTGAGTGTCATGTAGGGTGATTCCATGATTGGAATTTCCACCCTGAATTTTCATTTTGGAACATACCCTTGCGGCTAAAAACAAATGATTCTCAAATATCTAAGTTCATTATCCAAGTTCATTACCATTTACAATTATATATATAATATTATATACTGTATATAATATATATATATATTGAAATTAGACATATCTGAGTTCAACATCCAATTGTGGACAAAATCCCCATCAGTCAGTCTCTCATCATGTTTGTTCCACTTGCTGGGGTGGTGCAGTTGGGGTGATTGATGGTTATAACATGGTATAACGGCAAGAACTACTTGGTCATTATGGAGGTTTCCTAAAATAGGGGTAAACCCAAATCATCCATGTTCATAGGATTTTCCATGATTTTCCACTATCAACCATCCAGCTATTGGGGTACCCCCATGGCTTACGAAACCTCCATTAGTTATGGCTATTGACATATCGGACACCCCGAAGATGCTTGGATCCTCATAGGGACTGGAAATCATGCACAGTCGCAGAATCTGAAAAATCCATGTTTTTGGTGATTATAGGGATACTATATAGGGATTGATCTCTTTAGTATATGGGAATTTGATCTCCACCACTCAAAGTGATGCTCCGGGTGATGGATGCGGCTGCGGTCTATCACCTAACCCCCCATTGGAATCCATCAACTGGGGATCCCTTCGACTGGTGGTGAAAATCCCAGGAATCGCAAGTGGCTTAGGAGTAGGAATCGCTTGCTCCAGTTTTAAGAGGGGTTATCCGGGTGTGAACCATCAAGTAGTATATTCCATTCCTGTAATATCCCACTATACATACATACATACATACGTACGTACGTACGTACGTACGTACGTACATACATACATACATAGATACATACATACATACATACATACATACATACATACATACATACATACATACATACATAACATATAACCATATATATATATATATATACATATTATTTCTAAATTCCCATGATAAACGCCATTCTTTTGCGGGTGAAATCACCATTTGTTCATAGCAAACATGCTTTGTCTTGGTGAAGTCAGCGCCCCAAGGCCTTCATCTCCCTGGCCGCCAGCGCCCACGAAGCCTCGCAGCGGCTTCCCGCAGCGCTGCTGCAGACGCAGCAAGGGTGGCTGCAACTGCTGCGACCTGGCGGAACGTTGGGGTTGAACGGTTGGGATATTGATGATATGGTAGATATAACTATAGTTAATGGGGGTTTATCATGGTTTATAAATCAATTAGTGTGTATATATATATGTATGTATATACATATATATATATATATATATATGGGTAAATTATAACGACCTCACTGTTCTCCCTCACTGGAATCATGGTTAATAAGGGGAATCATCCCCAAATGGCCTTAATTCAGATTAGTGAAATATTATAATGTACCCAGATATATAACTGGTTGGTGGTTTGGAACATTTTTTATTTTTCCATATTTTAGGGAAAATAATCCCAATTGATTAATATTTTTTCAGAGGGGTTGAAACCACCAACCAGTATATGTTTATGGTACAGGTAATATCAGGTAATATTATATCATATTATATCATTAACAAGATTTATGGTAGATATAACTATAGTTAATGGGGGTTTATCATGGTTTATAAATCAATTAGTGTATATATACATATATATATATATGGGTAAATTATAACGACCTCACTGTTCCCCCTCACTGGAATCATGGTTAATAAGGGGAATCATCCCCAAATTGTTTTATTTCACGTTAGTGAAATATTATAATTTATATACCCAGACATAGATACGATTATTACTTGTACCAGATTATGCTTAATGATTTTATGGTGAATAATGATATTATACCAGGTTATACCAGAAATAATGATATTATAATATGTGTTTACCCTCTGATAATTTTAACATAGCTATGGAAAACAACCATCTATAGTAGGTAAGTCAACTATAAATGGACCATTTTCAATAGCAATTCAATAGTTTTGTTAAATTACCAGATTGTATTGATAACATTTATACATGGATACACATGGTATGATTAATGATGCAATGACCCATGATAATTGGTATAATTGATAATGATTCCATAGCAATCTGGAATATAATTATGATATATAATAATAATTAATAATATGGTTCTAGTGGCATATTGTACCATATTATACCAATAGTCCATCGTATAAAGTGGCATTTTTAATTTATGTATATATATATACATATATATATGGCATATGATCATGGATTTGTAATATGGCTTTGTCTGAAAATAGGAGATACCCACAAGCATTCAAATCATTAGCCATTTTAACAGGGGAAATGATGATGATCTGTTAGAATTGGGGGGATACCTACCTTCAGACAAACCTGTATATATATACATATCTACATGTATGATGGTTGTTTGTGTGGCTTTCTTCGCGTATCATTTCTTTTGGTATTGTTGTTGATTTTATTGTGTGTTCATAGCATTATCATGGTGATTATTGTTGTTATCGTTGTTATCATTGTCATTGTTACATTGTGTTTTATGTTTGTTGGTATCAGTATTGCTTGAATTACTGTTCTTTTTGCTGTCACACGTGGTATTTTTGTTTACATATTCATAATAGTGTTTTGTTATTACAATCTGTATATATATATATATACATACATGTATACGTATAGTGAACCATATTATCATTATGGTGAACTCATGTTGATACAACGGACAATGAACTTTTTTTTGGGGGTTGGAGTATACATACAGTAAGATAAACACAGCCAATCTGAGAGTTGTGTTAAATGATGGTGACACAACTGGATCACCAAGCTTGTACAGTAGTGTTTAATGGTTCAAGATTGGATCAACATGGTCTACTAATTTGAAAAAATGGATTAGCATGTATATTGTAACGAGATTGGATTTGTCGTAAACAATATTGCGGGATATTGTATATGTATGTATATGTTCTATGATGATATAATATGATATTTCATGGCAATGGGATTACCTATATATATATATATATAAAATATGAATTAATAAACCATATTGATTTAGTAAGGTTCTAGAATGGGATATTAATAGAACCAGCGGACCCAGCGGATGGTCGATAACCGTGCTGAAATCTTGTTTGTATAAACCACTGACATGGGAAAGAAATCAGGATTGATCCGTTCAAAACGTCTGTAAGTATTATATGATATAATAGTTCCTAAATTTTAGGAAATAGTTTCTGGATTTAACAGACACCCCTCAACAAACAGGCTGATGCAGGTCCTAATTTATATCCATATTTTGTGTAGGCTGTTTGGCAGTTTGGCAGATAGGAAATCTGATATCAGTGCTGCACCATGCTTTTTACGTGATATCAGTTGATCATGGAGAGAAGCACCTCCCATTCTGGGCATATGGCAACTTGTAGCACCCAAATCCACCCCAGAAAGTTTGATCCCGGTTTGAGGGCATCACTGAAAGTCCAAAAATCAGAATCGCAGGGAAGAAGCGCGGCATACCAACTTACCCTCTTGTTATGACTAACATAGCCATGGGAAATGGCCCATAGAAATAGATGGTTTACCTATTAATAGCATGGTGATGTTCCATGGCTATGTTAAATAACCAGAGGGTAATACCAAACATCATTTGGGTATATCCATTTCAGAAAGTCCCCTGTTTGTTTCTTGAGACTTCCAGAGTGTGGTGACGCTGTGTCAATGCCGTCAACAGCCATACCTACCAGCTAGTTTGACGTGAAATACATAGGATCCCATGGTCCTTTGAGAAGACGTGCAGCGCCGGTTGTGATTCAGGTGGGCGTCGGAAGTGTTGCCATTGCCTGCGATGTTCCTGTTGTTGAGCCCAAGACTCTCTGTGACTCGATGAAAAGTCGGGGGTCAACCGGGTTTCTCTGAAACACCCGAAATCCAATCGATGATTATATGATTATCATATGGAGGTTACCTAAAATGGGGGGAACCTAAAATGGATGGTAAAAAAAGTGGAAAATCCTATTACAACGGATGATTTGGAGGTACCCTTTCTTTTTAGAAACCTCCATATGTTCATTTGTGCAGTATACCACAGGACAAACCCAGCCCTGGATGGATGTCATAAAGATTTACACGGCAGGGAACTCCGGAACAACATACGACAGGCAAGGCATGCTTTGTTTCGGACAGGGAAGTTCCGGCATGGGCGCGGCATGTGGCAAGTCTTTCTGTCTTTTGGATCATCCATGAAAAGGTTAACTGCCTAAAGTTGACCAGCCGCCTAATTCGAAACACATACCACTGCAGTTGTTGAAAGGAACGGCATGGTTTGGCGGGTCCAAAAAAATTGTGATTCTCGCACCCATGAAGGTTTGGTTTAATTGACTAAAACCTGTTTGCTGCGTTCAAGAATTGCTCAAACCCTGGTTCGGACGTTTTGGACCCACACAATATGTCTTCGCATTTGTTGTTTCGGTGCTTTGAATATGTTTTAATGATGTGTTTCTCTCAAAAGGAACAAACCCGGGCATACCCCAAAATGGCAACTGGACGGGCGGACATGGACGAAGCGATATGTACCGTATCAATCAACTTGAGCAGTGGCCAGTTCCTCATACTGTTTTTGTGGTGCACTTGGACACTTCATGGAATATTCATCAACGTTTCCCCCAACAAAGACTGAAAGGTAGGTTGAACATTCTGTACATGGACTTAGTATGGCAATGTTGGGTGCTTCACTTCATATCTCAGATTCGATCATCATGATTTTCGCTCTGGTAATCAAACGTGGCAATGGAAAATCCCCTAAACAAATAAACATGGAGGTTGCAATGGGACAATCATCTATGAATTGTGGATTTTCCATTGCGATGTTTGATTGCCGGAGGGTATTGGTTAAGTTCAATCCTTATTTTTGCTGGCAAAATCCTGATTTTGTTTGCTTCAACTATGATTTTCGCATATTTTCCCTGACCCAAAGCCGCCTTTTTTCCCCGGCCTTCGTTGGGCCTTCGTTGGGCCCCAACGTTGGGCCTTGCTTCAGGTCCTCCTCTCCGATCCGCTGTACCTTCCCAGCGGCGCCGTCCCAACGATCCTCCCCTGGGACCCTGCGGGCTTCGTGGGGGAGCTGCAGCCCAAACACCAGGAGGATCTCTGGGATCGAGAGGATGTGACGCACGGACGAGTGGCGTTGAGCCTTGGCAAAAAAGATCTGGACGGTGTTTCTTCATCTGTTTTTTTTTCTAGTGTTCAACATGTTCAACCATCAGAATTTGGGGATTGGTGTTCTAATGTGTTTAAGATGATGATAATATTTGGGTTGTTTTTCTCTTGCGATTTGATATTATGCCGATTTCATGGTGATTGAATGATTTAATTGTGCTTGATTGTAATTTCGAGTAATTAAGGATTATCTGGTCTTAAACCATTAAAAATTGGGCGGATCTTATGGGGATATGAATAACACTCTGGGGATCTTTTATGGGAGAAATCAAGATATAAATATATATATATAGATAGATAGATAACTTTATAACATTACAGAACCAACTTGACAATATTTGGGAGTGTCTGAAAGCTGGGGATTTAGTTCAGTGTATGGTCAGTTTTATCGCAAACATGGTGATAGACCATCAAATTTGGGAGACAGACAAACCCAAATGTGTTTTTTTGTTGACGGGTTCTTTCTCGGAAAAAACACGAGGGAAACATCTGGAACACTGGTTTAAATAGGTTGTGGGGGTCCATTTCTTTGCACGAAGCCTTGTGGGTTTAGGTATCCCCAATGTTAAAATACCCTCTGGTAATTTGTTACATAGCTATTGAAAATGGCTCATAGAAGTGTTGATTTACCCATTCAACATGGTGATGTTCCATCGTTTTTTTCTATGTTTACCAGTGGTTCAACTTGTTACACTGCCAGTGTCGACCAGGATGGCGGCCAACACCTTCTTCATCGACTTCCTCTACGAGGTCGATGATTTGGAGTCCGCAGAGGTTTCTCGGCGCCCCATGGGATCTCATGGGAATTCATGGTGGCTGATTGGCGGTTGATATTCAGAATTTCCATGGGGGATGAATGTGGTAATCACTATTTATCACTATTTCACTATTAATGTGGTGTTGAATAAGTACCACTATTAATCACTATTAATCACTGATTTCATGAAATTCACAATCACATGAAAAGCGGCTTTTTTTTCAGGGTCTGTGTTAATTTGCTGGAGGGTAAGCAGTGGTAATTCTATGTAGTTGCAGGTGGGGTATAGCACCCCAAAGATCTTCGGCGAATGAGGGCCTTGGAGATTAGATTTTGGGATTGAAACTGAACCAGATAATTGACCTGACCAGCAAAAGTGACCATGCAACTTCATGCAACCAGCAAAAAGTGTGATTTTAACATATGGGGCTTTCCATAAATGGTGGTACTCCAACAGCTAGATGGTTTATAGTGGAAATTCCTATCAAAATGGATGATTTGGGGGTACCCCCATTTATGGAACCCCCCATATCTCAACCAACACCATCCAAAACTTAGATGGGCCAGGCCTAGCCCACTGGGATAGTCCCTTTCTTTCGCTTATGAATCAAAGCGCAACTAGGTATATTATGAGAGAAGAGGAGCGTTGTCTAAGCAAAGAGAAATGCTCTGTTTATTATACAATGGTTTGTCTTGCCTTTTAAATAGCTCTTTACAATATGTTTGATTGTCATTGTTTGTATATAATATTATTTGGTTTAAAGTAAGGAGTAGATACTAAAGGAAAGGTCCGATTTTCTTTCTAGCCTACATGTGTGAATTGCGAATCCAGAAAATAGTTATCCATTGTGATCATTCGATCAAATCATACCTGATCAAGGTTGTGTTACCCTCTGGTAAACTGACATCACTATGGAAAATCACCATTTTTAATAGATAATTCAGCTATAACTGTGCCATTTTCTACAGTTATGTAACAAATTACCAGAGGGTAACCCATATGTGATCCCAACATTCTGTTTACCCTCTGGTAAACTAACATAACTATACATATATATATATAGAAAATCACCATGTTCAATGGGTAAATCCACTATAAATGGCTTATTTTCCATAGCTATGTAACAGATTACCAGAGGCTATCTATCCCCATGCCTTGGTGGTGACCTCCATGACTTGGCTGATGCCCTTAGTAATGGAAAAAAAATCCCCCAGCCGTGGCCATAAAATTCAACTTAGTGAACTTATGGCCATAAATTACTTATATCATTAATGTTATGATCATTGATCATACCAATCATATTCATAATTTACTCAGATTGGTATGATCAATGATCATAACATTAATGATATACAAGACCCCCTTATATCCCTTGATTGGTATGGGATTGTTATCTCCCAAAAAAAACCCGATGCCTCATGGCACCCATCAGCGAGCGGCGAGCCTGAGGAGTTACTAAGCCTGCCGCCACGGCCAAGGGGGCAGTTCCACAGTTTTCCTACGCAGATCAAGGTGAGGTAAAGGGGTTATTATAAACTGGTGATCAAAAACAAAAGTGGAATTAAAAGGGTGACCATTTAAATAACACCTTTAAATTAATAATGGTGGTAAAATTAAATTAATAAACTGGTGACCAACGCTTTAATCGGCACCACAACTGTGATTTTAACAAAAGGAACTGCCGACGATTTTGACATGCTTATCGGTTGGGTTGGGTCATGCATGGGGTACCCATATACCCCCATGTTTCTTCATTTTTGCTAACAATCCACGTTGAAATTGGCGGGTCCGAACAAATTGACTGTGGGGGGCATCGAATCAGCCAAACAAAAATGTGATTTCAACCACCAAAATATGTGATGTAAAACGTTTTGTTGTGAGCGACTAGAACTGTTTTTTTTGAAACCCAAAATGAAACCCCGCCAAAAAATAATGTACACTCTAGTTTTCTGAGTTCGAAACGGCCAAGTTTGGGTTCCGTGGTGGATTTGGGGAGTGAGGATGTGTGTGGCACCCCCCAGTCTGACCAATGGCCAAAGATAAAAACTCATGACAAAAATGCCTTGCACACCAACACAAATCAACATAAATCCATGACATGCCTGGTAGGTACTGGTAGAATCTTGGTGCAAGAAAGACCAGAAACAAAAACATGGTGTGCCTTCCTCACTCAATCCCGCGAGGGTACTTTAATAAATGCATCTGGAAAATCTAAACACCAAATTCATTATAAGACTCAGGTACCGTGCGGTTGATAGCAGTAAATCCATCTTCCATGTTTCTTGTTTTCTTTGCTTCAAGCCCTATTTCTGTTGCTTGAATCCCTATCCATCACCATTTCAGGGCATATAAAATGTAACCTCCAAAAATGGTGCTAACTACCCAACTGTCAATCTTGCACATCCATGGATACGAAATGAATTGATGTCAACCTGAACTTATACTTATAAATATATATATACATACATTTATGTATGTGTATATATATAATCTCGATGGCATACATAGAATACAGAATCGATAATTTCGGCCTCCAGAAGCATCTTCCGGAATCGGTCAAAAAAACCTATACATAGAATAAAAGCATCTTCCGGAATCGAAAAAAAAAACCTATACATAGAATATTTCCGGCTATCCATTTTGATCAGGGAAAAAAAAAAATCTCAGGTTTTGCTGGATTTCTGCAGCCGCCCGTGATTCAAGCATCACCCGAAATGACCAGTTTCTTTTTATATTGTATTAAAAAAATGAGTTTTTCAGGCTCACCGAAGGGTACCCCCCACGACTGGTGTCGTAGAACGATGAAAAAAAAATATTTTGCAATGAAAACCAATGGAATTCGGTGGTGATCCTCAAAAAAATGATTCATATGTTCACTGGGGACCTATATTCTATGTATGTAGTTCTGCAAGGAATTGGGTCTCTTCCATGTATAAGGGTATGTATCATATCCGTAATTCCCTTTGGCAAGTAGCAACCCTGGATGTCTGAAGTTCCTAAACTACAACGTTTCAACAAAAAAACAGGTCCCCCGAAATGACCAGTTTCTTTTTATATTGTATTAAAAAAATGAGTTTTTCAGGCTCACCGAAGGGTACCCCCCACGACTGGTGTCGTAGAACTATGAAAAAAAAACTATTTTGCAATGAAAACCAATGGAATGGGGTGGTGATACTCAAAAAAATTGATGAATATTTTCACTTGGGACCTGTATTCTATGTATGTAGTTCTGCAAGGAATTGGGTCTCTTTCATGTATAAGGGTATGTATCATATCCGTAATTCCCTTTGGCAAGTAGCAACCCTGGATGTCTGAAGTTCCTAAACTACAACGTTTCAACAAAAAAACAGGTCCCCCGAAATGACCAGTTTCTTTTTATATTGTATTAAAAAAATGAGTTTTTCAGGCTCACCGAAGGGTACCCCCCACGACTGGTGTCGTAGAACTATGAAAAAAAAACTATTTTGCAATGAAAACCAATGGAATTGGGTGGTGATCCTCAAAAAAAATGATGAATATTTTCACTTGGGACCTGTATTCTATGTATGTAGTTCTGCAAGGAATTGGGTCTCTTTCATGTAAAAGGGTATATAATATATGTAATTCCCTTTGGGGAGTAGCAACCCTGGACGTCTGAAGTTCCTAAACTACAACGTTTCAACAAAAAAACAGGTCACCCGAAATGACCAGTTTCTTTTTATATTGTATTTAAAAAATGAGTTTTTCAGGCTCACCAAAGGGTACCCCCCACGACTGGTGTCGTAGAACTATGAAAAAAATTACCCAGAACCCAAAAAATGTTCAATCTGCTGGGTTTCACACATGTTTTCGATATGGGAATATCATTATTCCTATGGTATTTGCTTTGGCACTGTTTATGCACTCCAAAATTCTACCCCAAATATTTCTACCCCAAATATTCTAAGTATTTTTTTTTCTGTCCACACCCGTAGGGTTGAAATCGGGCATATTCTATGTATCCCATCGGGATTATATATATATATATATATGTACGTATATGTTTACATATATATATGTTGTGAATGTGGTGTTCATGTCCATGTCATCCAGCATGCATCATACATGACATTTCGCCTATGCCTTGTTCGTCGCCCTTTTGCCATTTTACCGAGCGGTGGGTGGGACGAGGACTTAGCCAAGGTTGGAAGCTACGGCAACAAAGGATCAGGGCTGACTGGGTCATTGAAAAGGGATATTAGATTGGATAGTGGTTTGGGGGCACACTTGTATTGGATATTGGTGCATGTTCGCATTGGTAGCGGAGCACCTGGGCTGTCGTGGATTGGATAACTAATTTTGCCCGTTGGATCTCCCCTAGCGCAACAGGTCTCCAGGAATAGAGGGTTGCTATAATGTTGTCCAAAACAGTTTTCCATACAGATTGACATAACCTTAATTGGGCGCAAACTCACCCTTCGCGGTGCGACAACTGAGCCATGGAATCCGCGCAAGCGGTTGGATCTGGGATGGTGGGGACCACTGCACCATGGAATCAGATCCCCAAGTTTGTCCCTCTGGTGAGAATGACCTGAAGTCTACACGAGGAAGCTGGAATTCTTGAGGGCTCTGTGGCCTAAGGAGCATGTGGAACACCTTGGTCCAAGGGCGGCACTTTTAGCGGAAGGGGTTGCGTTCCAGAAGGTGTCCCGAAGGGACCCGGAAAAACTGAAAGAACCCAATGGAGTGGAGAACCTAGTGAAATGTCTTGGTGGTCAATGGGGCCGTCTTTGTGAAGAAGACAAACTTCAGCTGTTTCAGAAAGCACTGTATCAAGTGATGCAGAAACCGGATGAAAGTAACCACAGTTACTTAGCTCGAGTCATGATGCTGCTTTCGAGGATCTTCAAGGTCGAAAGATATCGCTGGAGGAGATTAGGGCATATGTTCTGTTGAGACAATCTCTGTTGGCTCCGGAAGATCGCAAAGAGGTGGTCATGGAAGATGGTGGTGCCCTGTCTTATGACAAGGCTCGCAAGCACATCAGGCTCCTGGGATCAAAGTTCGTCCAAGAACTCCAAGGTGGGGTCAACAAGACTTCCAAGTACAAGACTAGACCTATGACATCAACCATGTGGATGATGAGCACACCTGGGCTGATGATGATGAAGAAGAAGATGAAGAAGCCTTCATGTCTTTGATGCTCGAGGCTGGAGATGAAGATGCGAACTTCGTGAACGATTTTGAGGACCAGATCTTGATGGCATGTCAAGAGAGCATGGAGCTCGCCTCATGCTTCACGACCTACCAGAAGGCCAGGAATCGTCTCCGTGAAAAGGCTCGATCTCATGGCTTTTGGCCGTTGGGAAACTCAAAGGGCCGTGGTCGCCATTGAAATTCCCAAGTCTCGTCGAATGACCCCAGAAGAAGGATTGCCCGCTGTAGAAGTGCAACAGCTCACAGGCGTATCCGCGGTAGTCTGCAATTTGCTGCGGTCCACACGCGACCAGATCTTGCAGCAAAGGTTGGAATCTTGCAATCTGTGGTAACAAAAAGGAAAGTTAAGCATCTCATTGAGGCCAATCGTGCTCTTTATGAAGGGAAGCGACACAAGGTTTGCCTCATGATCTTAGCATGTTCGTTCGGTTCGTTTGGACGTTCAGAACGCGCGTTTTGAAAACTCGCGTTCCAGAACGCGCGTTCTGAGTGAATCCTTTTTTCTAATGATATAAAGTCAATTCATTTCCTGGGTTTGAACAGAGAAACCTTTTCCCCCACTAAAAAAAAGGATGTGGAGCTCTGGTGGGCTCAAAGTGGTGTATGAAGCCACCAGAAAGTTGATCTTCCCAACTCCGGATCCTTTTTGGGTGAGGCAAAAAAGGTTCTGGCCGCACCAGGCTTGTGGGGCAAGTTAGGTTTCCTTCCCGGATCCTTTTTTTCTCTGAAAGAAAAAGGTCCTGACCCCTCACAAATTTTATCGTAGTGCTATTAACAGGGGTCTAAGAAGACTTTGAACATTTTCTGAAAAATACTATGTGACACAGCGGATCCTTTTTGCAGGGAGAAGAAAAGGATTCGGACGCTTCTGGGATCCATAAAGCCACTAAAAACACCCCTGCGTTCGGAACACGCGTTCCGGAACGTACGTTTTGCGTTCTGCGTTTTGGTCGTGCTAAGCTCATGATAGTTCCAATAAAGGGTTACCTTTTGTTCTTTTGCAGATGCTTCGTTTTCCACCACAAAGGATCTGTCATCCAGGCAAGGAAGCCTGATTTTTGCGACAGATCACCATCTTGCCCAGAATGAAAGGACAGTGGTTTGCCCCATTACATGGATCCCTCGGAGAATTCCTCGTGTGGTGACATCCACACTGAGGGCGGAATCCATAGCGCTCAGCAGCACATTCGACAGGCTCGGGTATGTTCGAATCTGTTGGGAGTGGATAAAGAATCCTGCAATCGACTGGAGCAATCCGAGTCGGGTTTGGGAGGAAGTTTTAAAGGCCAGCACAGTAACTGGCTAAATCAGTACACGACATAGCCACCAAGACACCCACTCCTAGCTGCAGTGAATATCGGACGACCCTGGAGTGCCTACTAATTAGAGAACCTTTGCAAGACAACATGATCATGCAATGGACTAGCGCACAGGCCATGCTGGCAGACTCTTTGACCAAAACAATGGATTCATATTTACCGAGGGAGTGTCTGTGGACCGGCAAGTACTCATTGTTTGACGGAGACGAGAGTCTGAAGCAGCGTGCGTCCAAACGGGACAAGTTGCGTTGGATCCATAGGGGTTGCCACGGGGACATGAACACACCTGATTTGACCCAGTACAAAGAATAGAAATGTTTTAGATCAGCGTGAATGTGGTGTTCATGTCCATGTCATCCAGAATGCATCATCCATGACACTTCGCCTATGCCTTGCTCGTCGCCCTTTTGCCAATTTGCCGAGCGGTGGGTGGGACGAGGACTTAGCCAAGGTTGGAAGCTACGGCAACAAAGGATCAGGGCTGACTGGGTCATTGAAAAGGGATATTAGATTGGATAGTGGTTTGGACACTGGTGCATATTCGCAAAATGTATAACGTATACATTTATATATATATATATATATTGTTTTAATTTATTTATTTATGTGTGTGTACCAATACTAATCAATGTATCGATATTTTAGAAAAAATGCGTTACACATGCACAAGATTAACATAGACTAACCATGACAGCTATGACATCGCATCACGCTCCAGGGCCGACGCTATTTTCCGATTCCACCCATGATGCGGATCCGCCTTTGACAAGGGTCGAGAAACGAACGGAGAAAACGGTCCTGGTCGGTTTCACCAGTGGGATGAACATCCCAGCATACCCAGATCATCCATGATCATGTATCTATGGATACTACTTAACATGCACATTATAATATATATATATATATATACATATATAGTAGCTGTATAATTGTGGAGATTTGTTTGCCAATGATCTATATTTACGAGTGTTTATGCATATACTACATACAGTATATATAGATCACGATGTACATAGGACAATACACAACGCGTGGACAGTATAGATTTATATTTGTTGGCCATAACCACACGGTTCTCATTGCGTTTATGTCGACCATGGGGCGACTTCCTCCATTCATCTCCTAGTTGTTTTTTACGTTTGCAGTGGTTATATAACTGCGCGATGCTTCACCAAGAAACACCTTCAATGACCTCACATGGCTGATGATGGTCAAAACCAACCAGTACTTGGGAAAGGTTGTTTTGTCATCAACCAATTATCATATATCAATGTGTATATATATATACATATATACATATTAAGTGAATTTAAGTGATATATGATACTTGGTTGATAGTTGATTATATATTGGGGTTTATCGAATCGAATCGACACAATCAAAATCCAGGAGCTGGGGACCCTGAAAATCCAGCTAGTACCCTGATATATCCTGATCCAATCAATATCTTTTGGTTATCGTGGCTGGAAAATCAATGAGCTAAATGGTGTTTGATTGGGAACAACATCGAACTAAATGGGAAATTTTCCAGCTAGCCATGTTTGATTTTAGAGGGTATCCGGGCTGGCTGAGTTCCACTTTTCTAGTACAGGTCAATGAAGTTATGTTTTTTTCCCAAAGGCATATTTATTGGTCCTGCTAAACAGATATTTATGTTTGAAACAAAATGGTCGGGCGTAGGTCGCGGCGAGGCAGGGATGGTCAGAACGGACTGATCAATTAGCCACTCGATAATCTACCAAATATGGAGAGTAACCCACCAATCGGTTTATTTTAGTAGAAGCAAACAACGGTTTCGAGTTTGATTTCAAAACTTTGAAGCAGGGGTTCTGACCATTCTTTGTTGTGTAGTATATCCAGCCCATGGATCTGGAAAGGTGTCGTCATTGCTCACCTCTTGCTGATCGACCATGAACTCCACCTGCCAAGTTCAGATGGGATAGCCCTGACCTGTCGTTTTTAATCTGTATGACATGGATGTTCCCTGTCAAAATGAAGATGTTTCGTAGATTGATTACCAGAGGATTGTACTTGTTTGTGGTCAAACCCACACATTTGTTCGTTGAGCCAGGGTTGAACCATGTTGAACAATCTTAAACCATGTTATATACACCATGTGAAACCATGTTAAACTCCTGTTATGTTGGCTGAACTTGTTGAAAGTCACCGGATCCATGTGCCCCAATTCCCAGTGGCATTCCGACCCCGGTCCTCACCGCGCCGTTGCGCGGGGCGGCCGGAGCTGCATGCTGCTCAGTGTACAAAACTGCTGCGCCCTCGGAGACGGATCAGAAGGCCCAGCCATACCCAACAGAACAACAGAACAATTTCTTGTTCTGGTTGGTGGTTTGGAACATGTTTTATTTTCCATAATATCTGGGATAATCCTTCCCATTGACTTTCATATTTTTCAAGATGGTTAAAACATGTTAAAACCACCAACCAGTGTTGTTTTGTGGTTTGACCAGCAGATGTTGTAATTGAACCATTACTGGTAGGTGGTTTGGAACATGAACTTTATTTATCCATTCAGTTGGGAATGTCATCATCCCAACTGACTAACTCCATCATTTTTCAGAGGGGTTGGTTGAAACCACCAACCAGATGATTACTGTATTCACCATCATTAACCATCATAACCATTAGTATTGACCCATATATTAACAGTATATTAACCAGAGTTAAGTAACTAAGTATGAGAATTAATGGGATCAACCAGATGATGTTTTTTTCTCATGGATTTCATTGCCAGGTCCGTTGCGATCAAAGCCCCTCAGCACCTCTAAAAATGTCGGGGTGTCACCGACGGACGTTGTGATTGGACCACTAGAAATACTTCACTCATCAACTGTGTACCAAGATACATTGGAAATCATCAAAGAATCATGTTTTTTCCTGCCGCAGGAAAAAGGAAGGATCCAAAATTCTAAAAATTGACTTAATAAGATAATATATATATATATATATGCATGTTATATTATATACATACAGTGTATATATATATATAGCAAATCAACCATGCATATTAGTTTCTATTGTGGGAATATGTGGATGAGTCACTATGGGTGGTGCCTTTTGCGGGAATGAACATCCATTGTCCAGTTATTTAAGGGTTGATTCCCCCGTGCCATTTTCTGAGATCAAACAGAAATTGATACTTGAACTTCCAAGAGCAACATCTCAACTAGAGAATCCACCCAAATTTTGGAAAATTAACACGAAACAAACACAGCCCAGTACATCGCAGTACCCTGTAGTCCAAAATGGTCTACAGGATGATGTCCTTTTCTAATGAGAAGCTCATCACTGGATGTTGATGGGATTTCTGAAGGGTCGAACAAGTGGGATCCACAATAGTAAGCTATCCCCGAATACGGTATCAACCACAATAGGGAGCTACAGCTATGAAATCATATGAAATCATCCCAGCTAGAGGTGTGCAAAAATGCATTCACCACAAGTTGGAGCTGATGGTTTATTATTTTGATCCCTAGGCTGAAATCCCCATGTTTGTTGGTCAAGTCGCCATTTTCCATGGAGTATGGATTCCTGGACCCCATAGCAACGACCAAAACCATCAAAAAGCAACAAAAACTGTAACTAATATGGTAACTAACTTACACCTATAATTTCTATCCTAAATTGTGGGTATAACTAACTGATGTTTCTATTTTTTGGGGGGAGGAGTACAAAGACACCACTGCTTCGCCAAGGGATCATCATCCGCGTGACCATGGCATCCATGGCTCAAGACATGCCGTTGGCGGCTGGGAGATGACATGGGTCGCAAGGGCCGACTAGGCATGCTGTTGGAAATATTAATGAAATGAAGGGAAATGAGAGATCATGATGTGAAAAAGATGATATCTTGGGGCTGTGTTTCCTGCAAATTGAGAGAAACACTATGGTTGTCACTAAAATGGTTACCCTGTCTATGAACATGAATTCATTAGAATGGTTTAAGGGGAAAATTTACAGGAAACCGCTTTATTTGGAGAAAACCACCCGGGTTTCGAAGATCTTCCCTTCAATCCAGTGACAAATTTTACACGCGCGAGTCAGCGCTGGCTCACCTTGAGCCATGAAGCAGGGAGGCCAAGACTTCCGGCGTCGCAGCAGATGGCCATGGTACTTGGGAAACTTCGGAGGATTTCAACCAAGGGATTTTTTGGGGGGGGACCATAGTTGCAGAGGCCATGAGTTTGCGGAACTGTCCTTTTCTTGAGAAGTACATGGCCTGTTGGGATCTATTGGGGTTATCATGGATTATTAAATCTATGATGTTGCCAAAAATGGGAGAAGTATATGGTCTATTGTGGTTGCTATGGCTTATTAAAATCTGAAAAAACTATGATGTTCCGAAAATTGAGGCAATGGTTATCACAGATTCTCACAGTATATTATCACATCCAAATAGACACAGCCATGCTTCGATGTTTTCGAACATGGCTCGGCATGGCTCGCGGGCCTCTTGCGAAGCGAGGTTCGGAAAGAGCATCGGGACGCAACAGGAGGCCCGGCGTGATGATGTTCCTGGTTGGAGGGCTATATAAAGGAGGGCTATTTTTTTTTTTGATTTTTTTCCCGTTTTTTTTTGGGATTTTTTCCCGTTTTCTGGTGGAAGGAAGGTGCGAGGAAGGAAGGAAGGAAGGAAGGAAGGCAGGCAGGGAGGGAGGGAAGGAAGGAAGGAAGGAGGGGAAGGGGAAGGGAAGGGAAGGGAAAAGGGAAGGGAAGGGAAGGCCACCAACTGCTACGTCTAGTATTACGGTATTACTGCTACCGCTGTATGCTGTGACAACGCCACAAAGGTGGATGATAAGGCACACCTACATTGCGAATGAATGTATCATGACCATGTGACGCATTGCGTGGGGAGGCGCTGCGCCCTTGTTTTTGTTTTAACTTTAATCCTACATGGGTACTGCATGAGTATTGAGCATATTTATATACGCTGTCAAGGCTCAAGAGAGATATAAAGTAATCCTGTGGACACCACTCATGTGACGCTTTGCGGGGGGAGGCGCTGCGCCCTCCCCCCGCGCCCCACTCCCGCCTTTTTATTTTAAAGCCCCCCCCCGCGGCTTGTGACAACGCGAGAAAGATGGATGATAAGGCCCACTTACATTGCGAATGAATGTATCATGACCATGTGACGCTTTGCGGTGGGAGGCGCTGCGCCCCCCTCCCGCCTTTTTATTTTAAAGCCCCCCCCGCGGCTTGTGACAACGCCAGAAAGGTGGATGATAAGGCCCACTTACATTGCGAATGAATGTATCATGACCATGTGACGCTTTGCGGGGGGAGGCGCTGCGCCCCCTTCCCGCCTTTTTATTTTAAAGCCCCCCCCGCGGCTTGTGACAACGCCAGAAAGGTGGATGATAAGGCCCACTTACATTGCGAATGAATGTATCATGACCATGTGACGCTTTGCGGGGGGAGGCGCTGCGCCCTCCCCCCAATCCCCCCTCCCGCTTCTTTGTATTTAAAATTTAAACCCAAGCTCGTAAATACATTAGTTGGGGTTGGCATGATGATGTGGTGAACATGATGGTGTGAATGCTAGCCATGACCATCGTCCGCAACTTGCATTTTTGCGGTCTAACCTTCTCTGGAAAGCTGACGGATTACATGTGAGAAGAGATGCTTGCATTCTGCTTTGGGGGGTGCCTGCCCTCACAACTCCACAACAGTGCTACACTTCAGGGTGGTAATTTCTGCTTCCCCATTCGTCATGCGTGCTATCGCCAAACTGGTTCAAGTCTTCAAGGTGTGAACACTGCGTTAATTTCTGCTTCCTGTGCTCGCGGTAGGTGGTAACTATGTATGTGTTAACTTCTGCTTCCCGTGCCTGTCTTTGCCATGCCTGCTGTGACAATGCCCCAATGGTGGATGATAAGGCCCGCCAACCAGTCCGCAAGGTAACCCCAACAACAACCAACAACAACCAACAACAACAAACAACAACAAACAACAACAAACAACAACAAACAACAACAAACAACAACCAACAACAACAACCAACAACCAACAACCAACAACCAACAACAACAACAACAACACCAACAACAACAACAACAACAACAACAACAACAACAACAGCAACAGCAACAGCAACAGCAACAACAACCACAACCACAACCACAACCACAACCACAACCACAAACCACAACAACAACCACAACCAACCAACACCAACCAAACCAACCAACCAACCAAGCAAGCAACCAACCAACCAAGCAACCAACCAACCAACCAATTAACTAACCAACCAACCAACCAACCAACCATCCATCCATCCATCCATCCATCCAACCACAACAACAACACCATGCAAATCAGAGAGCAAAACGCTGCAAATACCAATCAAAACCATCAAACCCCAAAAAACGGGAAAAAAACCCAAAAAAAAAACGGGAAAAAAATCCAAAAAAAAAATGCAGCCCCTATATAAACAATAGGTGAGCAGTGGCTGCTAAACCCCTGTTGGTTGATGATTAGTTCGGGCAGTGAAAACTACCCTTCATATTAATTGGGGATTATATATATATATATTATCCAAGAATCGGGGAATCCCGTTCTTAACCAACTAGGATTAAGTGGAATAACAAAGGGGTTTTGAACACTGCTCAGGTGTATCCTAATCGGATTGTAAACCATAATATACCCTAATAACCAAATATGGAATATATTATTGAATATGATAATTGGACCATATTGGACCTATGGTTTATATTGCATGATATGCCATCCAATTGTGAAATTCAAGTTTTGCCTTGAACATTGAGATTGGTAAAACAATGGGCGAAACATTCTCTATAAGAGTGGTACGGAAAGATATGATTGGCTATTGATACATCTGGGTAAATTATAACGACCTCACTACGACCTCACTGTTCTCCCTCACTGGAATCATGGTTAATAAGAGGAATCATCCCAAAATGGCCCAACAATTCAGGTGAGTGAAATATTATGGCCTTTACCCAGGAATACATGTTCCTATGTACATTCTGTCATAAACTATAGGATTTTTTAGAGATTCCCCATTGGTTGATCCAGTCATATCCAGTCCCGCGAATCTCGGAACTGGTTGATCCTAGTGGTTTCGTAGACCAACTGGCCAGGGCATCTACCCTCTGGTTATGACTAACATAGCCATGGTATAGATGGCCCATAGAAATAGATGGTTTACCTATTAATAGCATGGTGGATCTTTCCATGGCTATGTTAGTCATAACCAGATGGTAATCTTAGACGTGGTATGACATGTTATGATATGGTGATATAGTGCATGTAACTTGTGGTAGGCACAATATCTAGATTAAGTCCGTTTAACTTCATTTATTTAGTAGTTCAGAAACACAAACAAAGGGTGCCTCAATAGAATCTATACAATTAAGTTGATACACCCAATACTAACATCATATTCTCCAGGTTCTGACTTGGCAAAAAATCAATCGAGCAAGGTACACTTAGAAAGATATTGTTCAGTATCGAGTTTACCACATCAATTGCGCTTGTGCATTCAAATATATTGGAGTTTATTGATTAGATATCCAATATATATATATGTATATATAGATATCAATAATATATATATATATATATGATATGTGTATATACATGTAAATAAATCAGTGTATATATATAATATATATATATAATGTATATATACTGTATATATATATAGGTAAATGATAACCTAAAAGTATCTGAAGGCCACGGCCACGAGGCAAGTATCTGGGACGCTTAGGACTTTGGCTTCCCTCGGGTGACTGGGTGACCCCTACGTCGTTTCAGGGCCATGCCGACCTTCACTATGTGGAATACAAACTGCTGAAGAAAAAGCCCCTGGGCAGCGTTTCAGATTTCACCCCCCTGAAAAGATGCCTAAAGGTTGTAGAAATCTGGGTTGTTTACCATCAATCCTGGTTTGACATGGTTTGACACATTTCGGCAACTTTCTGGGAGGAGTAGCTGAGAGTTTCAGAGGTGCCATTTCTTGGGCATTGTTTGATGGAACACAGTGTCAGGTTTGGGTTTTGAAAGTGAAGCATGAAATTTGGCCTTTCTGCATTCTGGGACATTCATGAATAGGTGGGTGTCCCAAAACTCTAGAAACGATCACAGTGTTTGCAGCCTGAGATGAATTCATATATCTCATTTTTCAGAGGAATCTAATGCGGGAGTTAATTAATCCAATCTAAACTACCAATCACCTATACAATCTATATAATTGTAAACTACTCTATATTTAGGTACGTATATTTAGTATATTGTGCAAAGCATTGTTTCTTCATCGATTTTGGTAGACTCTTCGCTGCCTGGATTTTTCCATCGCTACCAAAATTGGTGGTGTCTTTTGCCAATAAAAGGGCGGATATTATAAACAAAAACATATCCAAAATTGGGAAATCCTTTGAAGACATGGGCTTTCAACTCTATAGTAATCCCCATAGATAGAAAAAGTGTCTGAAGGATGGGATAGATGGTTCTTCTAACTACCTCATGTTTCCTGGTTTCCAACTGTTCAATCTTTTTCGAGTTTTTGGAGGTTGCTGTAATCTTATTTGTTGAAGCTCCTTCTTTGTCACTTTGGTCACCTTTGGTCCCTAGATGACGAAAAAAGAACCACCAAGCAGTTCAGAACCGGGTTTGTCTGAAATACAGTGCCCCTAAAAATCCGATGGTTCATCATTAATGTTCACATATACATATACCCCTAATAATTTAACATAGCCATGAACAACAACCCACGAGCCTAGATGATTTACCGATTGTGTCCATTATTTCCACAACCAGGTTCAATGACATACTGTTAACACCAGAGGGCAATTGACATTTTTGACATATTCCCATTGTTTCCCCATGAGATAGCCCCATAAATAGATATTAATAGATGATTCTCCCTTAAACTGTTCCATGATTATCCCATTATTACTACACTACTACACGTAAAGGTTCCACAAAAAAAATGGAATCATCGTTATCCCACTATCCCACAGTGATTCCAGTATAATCCCATTATTACCCAATATTGGTCGGTTACAAAAACCATTTATACCCCCTATACCAATCCACCATATCCCATATGAGATTATAGTCGGTATCATCCACCTTATCATTGTGTTTCCATCATTATCCCTAAATAGTTAGGTCATTAATGTGTATATAATTGTATATATGCGTATATATATATATATTAGTTTATTTATTATCCATATATTCTAAAAATCCACCTTGTCGTTCAATTCCACAGTCATCATTATCCATATCAGTCATTACCATTCTCCATGTATTATAACATATACAGATCAACATAACATATACATATGGGGATGGGTCAAAACCCTGGTACCTAGTGAACCCCAAGTCATAGCTGGGATTTATGGATGTTCATCCCCCTAAAAATGGTATGTATAGGTATTGATCCATAGCCATATAAGATAACAGATCATCATTATCCATGTAATATGATATGGATTGACTCATGGTAAATAATCCATTAGCTAATAAGCCATTAGCTAATATTAGTACTTATATCATTATCCATACTGTCGATTGACTCATGCTCATATACAGATTATCGAGTCAATCGACAGTGAGCGGTTCACCGCTCCGCGTTCGTCCCAGGATCAAAGACGTGGTGGCTCGACTCCAGTCCAGCGAGTTAGCCGAGGTGCGGACCGCCACGGGTTTTAAAACACCACGGCTATGAAAGAATAAGCTTAATAAATGGTTCTAACCACTTATCAATGGGTCATAATATATAATAATACATATATATATATAATCACTTATCAATAAAATCCCAATATGTTTTGATGATTTATGGGCTTCACACTATGAAATATCAATGGGAGATCAGGGAGACAAGTCCATGATTAACGGGATACAGGTTTGATCATGGCTCACCTGGATCTGCATCTGAATTATTTTCGGTGCTTGGAAAGCCATGCCTGGAGACCTGGTTATTTACCACTTGCCAACTGAGATGCATCCCGAAGAAAGCACCATAATTACCATTTCATTAAGGACGGTCAAAGCCATGCCATCAGCCGTAGTTCACAAGAAAATTGCTGATCGTTGTGGATGTTCATCCCCCCTCAAATATTGCAGTAGAGATTTTGACCCTGCAAAAACGGTTCAAAACTGGAGGGCTGGAATGGACTACGGACATGGGGAAAATGATACCAATGTGACAATGTGTTTAAAAAAAATGGTGGATTTCTATACTTCCAATTTATGATCATGTGAGAATTTATGACCATGTGAGTAGGGAATGAGATATTATGACGGGATTAGAACAGGGTGAATTTCCGGCTGTCAGACTTGCCATGGTGAGATTTGACAAGGCAAGATGGGCCTGCAGCCCTAACAAAGTGCTACCCCATCGCTGTTTCTGGGTTGATTCACCTATGCCATAACTATCACAGGTTATAACTTCCATATAACTTCCATATAACTTCCATATAACTTCCATAAATCCCAGCTATCCCTATTCAAAAACCATTATGGGTTGTTGTTTGTCCCAGATATCCGATGACATCCCCAGGCATCAAGGCTGACCTTCTGCCGATTCCAAGCATCCCCAAATACTGGGGTTATGGCATTGGGTTTCCCATAGTTTCCCATACCCATAGGATCCATGTATGGTATATGTATGGTATATGTATGGTAAATGGATGGTATATGTATGGTATATGGATGGTATATGTATGGTATATGGATGGTAAATGGGGTATATGTATGGGATATGATGAAATATGACACTATGCGTCTTTGCAGGCTAGTAGACAGGTGAACGGGGATTGAGTGTATCTAGCAAATGATGTGCACTCATGGAGCTGCTCCATGTCCAAGGTTATATAGTGATACGTAATTTTAGTGATATTCACTGCTACATATCATGAACCGTTCTTGTTTTTTACAGTATCGATTCTATACATAGTCAAGGGTCCTCAATAGACGGACATGTAAAACCTAGTGAAAAGAGGAAAGTTGTACAACGTATCTTTCGCTTATTCTCACTGTTTTGGAACCAGACCATATCACGACCAATATGTTTTGGTCGGTGGTTTCAATTCAAATATCGTCAGATTTTAGATATTTATTGCTTGTCCATCCCTGCCTCATGTCTTTCTTTCGGAATTATTAGCTGAGCCCAATCATTGTCACCATCAAAGTGATTACGTAATTCGTGGTTACTTGAACCGTTATAAATTATCCATTTCCATTACATGAAGATCTGTAAATTGACTCAATTTATCCCAGTGATTTTTCATGTGGTCACTCCAGCGAAACTTGGTGCGTGGCATATCACGTCACTGGAATGATGATGGGAATAGGATTGGAGCAACTATCCCCCCATGAATTTGTTGCTGAACCCCCATTTTTGTGGCTTAAAACATCTTTGTTGTTTTTTTGGATGGCAAAGTCATCATTTTTGGTGGCTAAACCATCATTTTTGTTTGCTAAACCATCATATTTATCAATTTTTGGTGGCTAAATGGCTAAACCACCATTTTTGGTGGCTAAACCACAATTTTTGGTGGCTAATCCATCATTTACACGTGACTCAAAGCCCCTGGCCGCCCTGGCCCCTCGCCGCCATCCGTTGACCTCGAAAAAACCGCAACAGAGGCCTTGACCGCCAATAAAGCCTTCGAGGAACAACTGGCGGCCGAAATCGTGAAGGTCAGACCAGTTTTGATGGGACATCTTGAGCCTTGCCATAGAAACTAACCATCAATAGGCCAGAATAATCCGTGGTTAGTTTCATGCCAAAATGATAGAAACTCAGCATCATCAAATAGTGATTTTATGGGCGTTTAGATGATTTAATGAGGAACTGTCCATTTCCAAAATAGATAAGGGATTTTATAAATAATACAATACATAGTTATTTTGTTGTGATTAATAGAATTTTAACCAACAAAAAAGGCAACGGGGATGTAAATTGGAAAATAGAGGAAGGATCATCCCACTTAGAATGTGGTTATTATGCACATTTGTGATTAATCCATAGAATTTTATAGATGGGATAAGCCACTTAGTCACTTACTCCGTGACTTGCTAACCAGGCTTGTTAACCACTAAGTGACATGATCCTCCAAGTACACTCCGGTGTCAAACATGGCTGCAACAAATTCCAACATCAATGGAGATTTGTAGCTGGAAAAGTTATCCATGAATGGATGGTTTCGAAATATATACCATGGTATATGATCGGTATATGTTCATGTATTTGATTGGCTATTTCATGGGATTCTGGTGATTTTATTGTGGATATGGATGGATATGGCTAATTTAGCTAGGCGTTGGTGTGTGTGTGTGTGAAAACTGGGTATCGGTGTCCCAGCAATTTCCGGCAAATCCCAGCGAACATTTTCCAAATTTTGGCGAGCGATTTGGCGGGGAAATGGGGATGGAAAGCAACATGAAGCAACTTGAACTCATGGGGAATCGGAATCATATGATTTTATTGGTTCATATCGGTCCTGTATAGAATTTAAATGGAAATGGACGCAATCAATCTGAGGCGGCTGTGCAGAACTTGGTTCTCAACTTTCATGGGCAATGAGTAATGATGATAAACATTGATGGGAATCTAGGGGTTGAAATGTCCTTCCGCTATGACATGAAAAAAGATGGTTCAAAATGGTTCAAAGGGCTTATAAGATCTTATAAGAGGATGATGGAAAACATACATCCGTTTAAAATCATGAAAGACAGTCTTATTGTGTGGCGACCGTGTAGAAGACATGCCAACATCCATATGAACCTTTTATAAGCTGTGAAAGGATGAGGAGGAACTTCCAGCAAGAAGAGATACTTTTTGAATCTTTTTGATGGACCATAGAGTCTGTTCAGCTACACCTTCCTCTAGCTGTGCCATGGAGTGCAGGCCCCTAAATGGAAAGGCTGAAAGTTCGATTGAACTTGAGGTATCCCTGCCGAGTGGCCGGTGTGAAACCGTCGTGGTCTCGCTGTTTGGCACCGTCGCTGACCTAAAAATCGCCACGCAACAGGCTTTGGGGCAAAGATTCCTGAGACTTGCTGCGCCTGACGGGCGTGTTTTGCATCTGACAGAACCACTCTCCGGGTTTCGACATGGAGACAGCCTTACTGCTATTGCACAGCAGCCAAAGGTAGCTGCAACAAAGAGAGCATTTGCTGTGTGGTGTGACGGATGTGACAGAATTGTGACATGGGGCGAGTCAGCCGATGGTGGTCCATGATCAGCTGAGGAACGTGCAGCAGATCTGTTGCACAGGCTTTGCTTTTGCTGTCATTCTTGAAGATGGAACTGTGGTGACATGGGGCCGTCCAGACTTTGGTGGTGACAGCTCTGGAGTCCAAGATCAGGTGAGGAATGCGCAGCAGATTAGTGCCACTGCCGGTGCCTTTGCTGTAATTTTGGCAGATTGAACCGTGGTGACGTGGGGCCATTCGTACTATGGCGGTGACAGCTCCGGAGTGCAAGACCAGCTCAAGAATGTTCAAAAGATTTGTCGCACAGACGTTGCTTTTGCTGCAATCTTGGCAAACGGAAGCGTGGTGACATGGGGCAATCCATTAGGTGGTGCTGACAGCTCCAGAGTCCAAGATCAGCTGAGGAACGTGCAGCAGATTAGTGGCACATGCAGTACTTTCGCTGCTATTTTGGCAGATGGAACCGTAGTGACCTGTGGCCAGTCGGACTATGGCGGTGACAGCTCCGAAGTGCAAGACCAGCTCAAGAATGTTCAAAAGATTTGTCGCAAAGACGTTGCTTTTGCTGCAATCTTGGCAGATGGAAGCGTGGTGACATGGGGCAATCCATTAGGTGGCCCTGACAGCTCCAGAGTCCAAGATCAGCTGAGGAACGTGCAGCAGATTAGTAGCACATGCCGTGCTTTCGCTGCTATTTTGGCAGATGGAACTGTGGTGACATGGGGCCGTCCAGACTTTGGTGGTCCAATCCAGCGGGTTCACGGCATGACACCACATGAAGCACATTGCAGCTTTTGGCTAATTCGTTTGTTTTCTCGCCTTCCTCTTTTTTTTTGCAGCCATGATGCGCATGGTTCTCTTGAATGCGGCTCTGGCCCTGATCACTCACACTCCAGCCATCCTGCAACTTCTCACACCTTGGGACCTTCATCGGCAGCAGGCTAGATTCTAGATAGGACGGAGCATTTTTGGAGTTGTTGTTTACAAAGGTGGTTCTTTTGACTAAAGCTTTAAAGTGAGTTCAAGAAACGTTTCGGTGTTTTTGTTGTAGCGCCAACCCTGCTTTAGGTGGCGCTTGGCAGCGGATTCCGTCTGCCACAACCATTTCGGTTCATAGCCGACCTTGGTTTTTTCCGAGTTCCGGCTGCAGCCGTGCCTTGGCATGTTTGGTCAAGCTTTCTCCTTTTGGCTTTTTGGCCTTTCGGTAGTTTTTGTTTTTTCGGGAGGGTTTTGATTTTTTATCCCTATGGAAAGATCGTGACAATAAGACATAGTTTTTCGTATTTGTTGATGACGATCATGTTTCTATGCGCGGGAGATGGTTGCACTTCTTGTTGTATGTACAAATATATAGTTGTTTTTTTTTTAAAATTGCTTGCTGCTTCCAAGGTAAGGGTGAGAGGTTGGTATGGAGAAGCATGGGTTTTGGCAGATGGAACCGTAGTGACCTGGGGCAATCCAATCGGTGGTGGCAAAAGCTCCAGCGTCCAAGATCAGCTGAGGAACGTGCAGCAGATTAGTGGCGCAAACAGTGCCTTTGCTGCGATTTCAGCAGATGGAACCATAGTGACATGTGGCCTTCCAAACAGTGGTGGTGACAGCTCGGAGGTCCAAGATCAGTTTATGTACATTTAGACTTAGACGCATGTCTCGGGAGAGAGGAAAAAGTCTTGCCACTTGCCAGTGTATAGAGTCAATGTAGATGTGAAAATTACGCATAGTTCATCGGCCAGAGGTGGCAGTTTTTAATCATATAGGGAAAATCATGATCAATCTCAGTTAATTTCGGTGGTGTTTCCTATTCCACATGTTTCTGATGGCTGGTTCTATGTCCCATTCTACCGCATCATATCCCCAATGATTGCCCCGTGATATAACCATCATATATTATATCAATAAATGTACATATATATATATATATATACGGCAAATGCCTGGGTTTTGCCCGGACCCGCAATGACGACAGGCGACGCATCATCATCATCATCATCATCATCAGAATTAAACCTTTATTGAAGATCTTCAATGAATGTAGAAAATGAACGGGGTGGTGAGAATTAAACCCTTATTGAAGATCTTCAATGAATGTAGAAGTTTAACGGGTCTGGGAGAATTAAACCCTTGTTGAAGATCTTTCATGAATGTAAAGTTTAACGGGGCTGGGAGAATAAAACCCTTATTGAAGATCTTCAATCAATGTAGAAGTTTAACAGGGGTGGGAGAATAAAACCCGTATTGAAGATCTTCAATGAATGTAGAAATGAATGTAGAAGTTTAACGGGGTTGGGAGAATAAAACCCTTATTGAAGATCTTTCATGAATGTAAAGTTTAACGGGGTTGGGAGAATAAAACCCTTATTGAAGATCTTCAATCAATGTAGAAGTTTAACGGGGGTGGGAGAATTAAACCCTTATTGAAGATCTTCAATGAATGTAGAAGTTTAACGGGGGTGGGAGTTTAATTTTCCCTAGTACCTTTGTTGATCTTCCCAATTGAATGTAAATAAAGTTTAACGGGGGTGGGATTTTTATATTCCCTAGTACCTTTGTTGTTTTTTTCCCATAGGAATTGAAGGTTTAACGGGAGTAACTGTTTTATATTCCCTAGTACCTTTGTTGATCTTCCCAATTGAATGTAAAATTTAACGGGGGTGGGAGTTTAAGATTCCCTAGTACCTTTGTTGTTTTTTCCCAAAGGAATTTTGTGAGGTTGCATCAACATTTGTTTGGGAATGGGGAACCTCTACGCTGCAACGCCTGGGCAAAACCCGGGCGTTGCGCGTATATATACATCAATATATATATATATCATTATATCATATATGACCCATTTAGACTAACCATGTCATATTCACTAGAGACTGTATTAGAGAAGCGCCGGGCTCGGGTTCGTGGTGGTTCCTGGTGGTTCCTGGTGGTTCCTGGTCCGCTTGTGCAAGCTTGATCCTGCAGGGCGGGGATGGCCAGGATTTATCGATGTGTTTTGTTCTAAACCCCATAGGTTGGGTTATGGGGCCCCTGTACCTATGGTTCTGGTTATTTTCAGTTAGGTATGTGTATTTATTAATTAATATAATCTAATTATATATATATATAATATTATATATATATATATATATATTTATTTACAGCAAATTACGAGTGGAAGGTGATGCCCCAGTTCGTTAGCTAAGTCGGTTTATCAGTGGGTGAATCGGTGATTTCCATGGGGTTTATGGTAGATATATCGAACCGGTTAGATAGGGTAATATCAACCAACAAACAAAACTGGGAGGGGTAAACCATGTAGGATTCCCATCTGATGGGATTTGATGGTATCTGATGGGATTTGATGGTATCTGATGGGCTTTGATGGGATTGGCTGTCAGGTGAATCAGTGTTTCTCTATGCGGCAACACCAATTGCTGGAGAGGAGACATGACTTCTGATGCTGCAGGCATTTGAGAATCACTAAATCTTATTGAGCCACGTTTGGGACGAACACAAGACTTCTGCTATATGTATACCCTCTGGTAAACATACAGTTATTGCTATTGAAAATTGCCATTTTTAGTGGATTTACCCATTAAAAATAGTGATGTTCCAGTTCGCTATGTTAGTTTACCAGAGGGTATCTCTTTAGCTGAATCATCCACGAACATCCACGGCTCAGCTCAAGTCTGGGGATGTCAGTCGGGTGTTTTTCTGTCTCCCGAGAATCAGTCTCAAAACTGTCTCAAAATTGCCATTGCTTCCAGTACCCATAGGATCCATGTATGCTTTATATGGTAACATTTACCATCAATATACCCCCAATGTTAGCATATATACTATACATGGATCCTATGGGGTACGTTTTTTGCTTCTGAAATCCCGTGAAATTCCAGCGGCTTCTTGTTTGGGGATCTAAGCCACCATCCCAGTTGGCTACCCATTTTTGTCCCCAGGCCCCAGGCTCCAGATGAGTTCCATTGGCTTCTCCGAAAAAATAAGGCGTTGTCGGCCATAATTATAGTGAATAGGCCTATGTTTTGATGGTTTACAGTATACATGTTTATATCACCCATTTATGGTTAATTTGGTGGATGGATCCTATTGCACTACCAACATTACAGAAAATTACTTTAGATGGCTGATCATCATTCCCCTGGTTCAATGGCAATTTTTGGGTAAGCCTTTCATGCAAACAACAACGCTGCAAAAGAGTTTGTGTTTTCGCCCTGCTTGGTGCTCAACGGATGTTCATCTCCAAGTGATGAGCTGTTAGCAAGAGCCCATTCCGTGCCCTGATGACATGTTTTCACCTCAGTTCAATGGCCAAGCATAAACCGTCATAAACATTCATAAACCATCATAAACCATCCTAAACCGTCATCAAAACCATCCTAAAGGTCCTAAACCATCCTAAACGATCATGAAAACCACCATAAAAGCCATCATACATCATAAACCCATCATATATTAAGAAACTGACACCAAAAAAAGGTGCCATTTCTGATTTTTTTCACATCGCAGGACTGCCAAATTGTCGGAAGAGTTGCAAGCACGACAGCTGGCTGGGGTGCCCTGGCCGGCAATGGCTCGATGAGTTTCCCTCGGATATGGCCATTGATATTGTCTACAAAAATGGTTTCCCTAGGAAAATGGAGGTTTTAATGGGAAAACCATAGGAAAACCCTAGGAAAATGGAGGTTTACCCTCTGGTAAACATACAGTTATAGCTATTGAACATGGCTATAGAAATAGTGAATTTTCCCAGTAAACATGATGATTTTCCATAGTTATGTTAGTTTACCAGAGGGTACTGGGTTCATGTCGTTTCTTGTCTCGTCTCCCCTGAAGTTGTCCCAGGTCGGTGTGCCGTGGGGAAGTGTGTATAAAAGATATATATGATATTTTTAACCTATTGGATCATTGCTTATTGTAAGACCACAAAACGCATAGGCACGCTGAATTTCACCAACACGAACCTACAATTTGTAGTCATAAACCTTCTTATTGTTTGTTTTTCCATTGCAGGGTACACAACGCAGGGGCACGCTGGGTCAGGGATGCTTTGCACGACTTATTTGGCACTAGGTGTGCCATTGGGAAACAGATAATTAAACTACCGAAACTACTGGATCGATGTTGTAACAAGTGCCGATGACAAGATCTTGTGCCAAATCGTGGTGTGCCTATGGGGAAAGGCACACATGGGCAGCGCCTATGACTTTAACTTACTGAGGAATTTTTGACACTTCGCATAGGCACACGATGCTTACCTGTCATATCTTTGTGGGTTTACCCACTACACTCCCAAAGATGAAAGTCGTGGCAATTGTGTACTTTTCCTAGATTTAGGTTGGCAGACAAATTTTAGGAAGTCGTTGCGGTCGTGGCGTTTAGGTGGTGATTTGTGAGTTTTGAAATTGGTAACACGTTTAATACGTAAAACATGTGTTTGAGCTGTGTTTTGCTTCAGTTTGGGGCTCAAGTATAGACATTCGAACCATAGGTCATCCTGACCTGCTGCCCTATGCCTGGTGGTTCCTCTGATGGCTTTGCTTTCTCTTCCCCGGACAGTTTTAGCCTTTAGGTATCTTTGGCTATCACGGTTCCTACGTCTCAACCAGCCTGTGCCCGCTCAAATTTCTCACCGCCGCCTTGTTTGCCAAGCTTGCGTCCCTTTGTCTCCCCTTTGTCTCCCTTACTCGCCCTTTGTCTCCTCTTCTGTCTCCTTGCTCTTGCCTGCAGCTGCTGCTTGGCTTGGTTTCCTCTTCTGCTCCACCGCTGAAAGCTCTTGAGTTTTACTGTTCTGAAAGCGTGTGGCTACCAAAGACTTTGTCAAGAGACTTAGGGGGTCAGTCTCCCAAAATTTGATTTCGGACCTCGTTCGGACATCGTTCGCACCTCGTTCGGACCTCGTTAAGATTGCAGCCAGTCAAAACCCAGCCCGGAGAGGTTTTGGAAAGGCTTTGCAATGGTCTGCTGCTTGGTCTGCTGCTGCTGCTGCTGCTGTTGTTGCTTGTGCTGCTGCTTCTGGGCAAGGCGCGGTTTTTGGGCAGAGAACCAAGAGATTTGTGAAAGGGCTGGAAGCTGTGCGGAAGAAACCAAAAGCATAAGAAGATGACCTGAAAAAAGAAAGTCGATCCGATCAGAGGTGTGCCATGGGGAAGTGGATGAAAGGGTTGATTGGCATGAAGTAGAATTTATTATAGGAACCATGGGAATGTAGCGGCGATCACATCCAAGTTTGTATATGTTGAAAATGCCATGAAACTTGGTGTGCCATGCGGAGGATGATCGTTCTGACTGTTCAAACAGGCGGAAAATTATTGATGTCTGGCATAAGCGGTGTGCCATGCGGCTGGCGCAAGTTCTAGCAAATGGCGCAGGATCACGCCGGGGCTCGTACGGAAATCAAACGAATCCATGACCAGAGTCATGACAAGAGAATGGGGCGTGTGCTGCAGAATTGGTTACTTTTCTCATTTGGATGGAAGGCAGCTGTTTTGCTGTCAATGCGTGTGTGCCAATGGCGGTTGCCCACTTTCAACTTGTTTTTATCACCAAAGGAGATGGTATTAAATATGCGGGTCGCAATGGCACAGACACATTTTACATATTTTGTTTGCCAAACCAACGGAGGCGTGGTACTAGTGTGCCAATAGGATTTGGTCCCTGGGGTAACTTCCGGATGGCCTGGGGTAACCCTGTGTGTCATTGGGATGGGGTAACTTCTGGGTGCCTGGGGTAAGAAACAACGTCCGCCCAGTATATGTTACAAAACAAATGTTTACAACTGATGTTTCAAAATCTGAATACCTGATGAGTCACACTGGCTCATGGATCAATGGCTGCTCTGTTATTGATCAAGCAGTGATGCTGGTGGGATGCTATGGCGATAGGTGTACCCTTTTTAGGTGTACATGAGCAATTACACACTAGTCACTAATCATTCATACTCAGTGCGAAAAAAAGAAACATTACAAGCAAACTTCACATCTTTGTAAATTTCAAATAAGCCATTTCAAAGTTGTTGATAATATATATATATATATTATTTATATGGATATAAACCATTGTAAATCCAAGTTTTCAAAGTTATCAGGGCAAAATTCGTTGCTTTTCTCCCAGCTTTTTGATCCCCGTCATCCCTGAAAGCTGCCATCCTTGAGGATTCGGGCAGAAGTTGCCCTGCTGGAGGCGGGATCGGTCGGGGTGACGTGGGCTGACTTAAACCAATCGTGGTTTTCCGCAACGATGTACTGTTCATGAAAAATATTACTTAACAATCATGTGGTGGGTAAGTAAGTAATTACCATCATGGAAGCGATATAATTGTATATAATTCAGATTGTTCACCAACTGAACCAGTTTGATGAGCGTTAAGTTATCATCCCATCCCCCTAATATATCCTAATATTAGTCACACCCCCCATAAACCACCGGTTGAGTAGGGGATGAATCCACATCTTGGCGGCCATCCTCTGATCATCCTCGTAAAATCGCGAGAGTAAGTCTTATTGTGTGGCGATCGGGTTTTTAAAGACATGTTAACACCATAGAATAAACCTTAATCTGTGAAAAGATGCTTCATATCTTCATTGAATCTCCAGCCTTTGGTGGCTGCAATCGAATGGGACAATGATTAGGGCAATTCAAGGATGACAAGTATTTTCAACCCGAAGATATATGATGTTTTCTGTAGCCGTGCCATGGAGTGCAAGGCCCCGAATGGACAGGCTGAAAGTTCGATCGAACTGGAGGTCTCCCTGCCGAGTGGACGGTTGTGAAACCGTAGTTGTCTCGCAGGCTGGCACCGTCTCTGACTTAAAAATCGCCGCGCAACAGGCTTTGGGGCAAAGATTCCTGAGACTTGCTGCGCCTGACGGGCGTGTTTTGCATCTGACAGAACCACTCTCCGGGTTTCGACATGTAGACAGCCTTACTGCTATTGCACAGCAGCCACAGATAGCTTCAACATTCAATGCGTTTGTTTTTTGGTGTGTTGGAGGTGATAGAATTATCACGTGGAGCAATCCAGACTGAACCGTGGTGACCTGGGGCCATCCGAACTATGGGGGTGACAGCTCCAAAGTGCAAGACCAGCTCAAGAATGTTCAGCAGGTTTGTGGCACGGTTGTTGGTGCTTTTGCTGCGATCTTGGCAGATGAAAGTGTGGTGACAGGGGGAGATATAGAATATGGTGGTGACAGCTCCAGAGTCCAAGATCAGTTCCAGAATGTTTAGATGGAACCGTGGTGACCTGGGGCAATCCAACCATGGTGGTGACAGCTCCAGAGTCCAGGATCAGCTGAGGAATGTTCGGCAGATTTGTGCCACATGCGATGCTTTTGCTGCCATTTTGGCAGATGGAAGCGTGGTGACATGGGGCGCTCCAGACTGCGGTGGTGACAGCTCCAGAGTCCAAGATCAGCTGAGGAATGTGCAGCAGATTAGTGCCGCAAGCCGTGCTTTTGCTGCTGTTTGCGCAGATGGCCATCAAGACTATGGTGGTGACAGCTCCAAGGTCCAAGAGCAGCTAAGGAATGTTCAGCAGATATGTGGCCCAAGCTCCGCTTTTGCTGCCTTGTTGGCAGATGGGATTGTGGTGACATGGGGCCATGACTTCTGCGGTGGTGACAGCGGAGTCCAAGATCAGCTGAGGAATGTGCAGCAGATTTGTGCCACTGCCGGTGCCTTTGCTGCGATTTCAGCAGATGTTAAGGCAACCCTAAAGAAACGCAACATCATCCCTCAAAAAACATAAAGCAAGCAGAAGCAAGCCTTATTTTAACCCTAAAAGACACTAAACCAACCTGAACACCAAACCAACCTCAAATAAACCGTATATCAGCACGAAGCAAACCCTAGAGCAACCCTAAACATCATCACCATCCTAAGTGTACCCCAATCCACACCTAAACAAAAACAAAACCAACCCTTCATGAACACTAAGCCAACCCTAAATAATAAGAAAGAACAAACAAACCAACCCTAAGCCCTTGATCATCTATCAATTAACACTAAGTAACCCCGAAACCTACCCTAAACCTACCCTCAATGAAACCAAAATCAAAAACCACATAAACCTTAAACCAACCTTCAATAACCCTGAAGCAATCTTCAATAAACCCAGCCAATCCTTAAAAAGCCCTAAGTCAACCGTAGTAGTAAATAAATCCTAAACCAACCTTAAATAAACCCTAAACTTCCCTAAACCAATCCTAAATAAGCCATAAACCAAGCTTAAGAGAACCCCAAACCAACCCTAGATCAACTCTAAACCAACCTGAAAAAAAATCAGCCAACCCTAATGAATCCCAGACCAATACTGGATAAACCCTAAAGCAACAGTAAACCTTCAACATCCTTCAACAAGCATCAAACCAACCCTGAATAGACCTTTAACCAAGCTGAAATCAATTGTAAACCAAGCCTAGATAAACCTAAGTCTACCACCAGCAGCAGCATTTGTAGCGCAAACTGTCGACAACATGGCCCTTGCGCGACATATCAAACAGAATCCTAGCCCCAGATAAAGCAGGAAAAAAAACAAATGGAATAGACAAGAATTGCCCAAACAATTTGGAATCCGTGTAATATTGCGGGTGTGGGATTAGAAGTGGTGACTTGACCAGCACAGATGATGGTATAGTGTGATATGTGGGAATATAATGGACAATAATCTAGGCACATTATGTTGCGACCTTACTGCAATGTCACTGGAAATGATGGATAGAGTACTACACACCCAGTTTACAAAGAAGGTTGCACAGGATCAAATTGCAGAAACAGAATCTGGATCGAATTTGTTTTCGCTTTCTTGGCATGGTTAGATATGGTTGTTCAAGTTGCTTCCATCCATTTATATAATCAGCCTTGCTCCAACCGGATGGTGCCCCCCAGTTATAAGTTGGTTTATAACCCCATCTAAATATAAGTATAAGTACCATACACTATTGTTATTATAGTTATAAATGTTATAAACCAACTTAGCATACTATGGGCCCCATCCTGAACCACTTGCAGGTAAATGATTCCCACAAAGGGGTTTTCTCCCCTTGTATCTGGGCGTTGGAAGCAACAACGCAACAGCCTGTTGTTTTTGAGTTAATACCATCTCTGAAGGTTGCAGCCGGTTCCAGAACCTGTTTCTGTCACATGGCTTAGTACAGGAAGATTGAGGACAAGACTTCGAAATCCATCGAAATCCACTAGGTGATCATGTTTTCAAAACAAAATTGGGGTATACCCGATTTTGAGACACCCGATTTTGAGACACCCATGACTCCCCCTGACATGAGCGGATATATTGGATTAAATCGGCCAAAAACCATCCAGATATCGAAATCACGGGCACGCTTTTCCATGCAACATTTTCACACAATATGAATCAGTTGTCAAAACAAAATGCACCAAAAAGGGTCCGGCAGTGTATTACGCCTCTGGACGTGCCAATAACATATAGGGTAATCGCGCTTCTGGAAAGCTAGTAGTTCTGAGAGTCAGGCCCACATTTCCGAAACATCCTGTGCATTCTTATCAATTTGCTAGTGAAAAAAATCGAGGGAGGGGGCTGAATCTGCTGTTTTTCTTTGTCAAATGTTGTAAGCCCAATAGATTTTAAATATTAAACCATCCCCACTGTGTCCATGGATGGGTCAGTGCCAGTCTCCAAATTGGTAGCTTTATGGCCTTAGGTTTTCCACGTGATTTCACACTCCCATGATCCACATGAATATATCATGACCATGAAATATCCCCAAATCATGGATGATTCAAAACTACATGTTCCACATGAAATGTGCCATATTGACAGATAAATTAAATCATGCTGAATCCAGTTTCTTTTAATGTTTCTTTTCAGGCAGTGCAACCGCCACACGTGCCGATGCATTGAGGATTCGGGCTGGGCGGCCGTGTGGGTACAAACGCTTTTTAGAGGCCTGTGTGATACGGTAAGGTCATGGAGTTCCTATAGTCTTTATATGAATTTATTGGTATTTAGTGAGAAAGAATCAACAATATAGGGATCCAAGGGATTCCAAGGGGAGATATACTGGGGTGTAATGGTGACAATGATCTCTTCCAAACATAACATGTTCCACCATTATTGTGAATCAATGTTGCTGAAATTCGGTCCATATAGGAGGTGTCAATTCTAAATAAGCTGCTTGTAGGGCGATATTCGTAGGAGGCTATTCTACCTTTCTACATCTTGGTAATTCGTAATCAATGGAAACCCAACAAAACCCAATCAAGAATTCATGAATGTAACTATAATGTAACTACCAAACTTATTACAAAGCACTTTCCAATAAGTATTTCGACAAATTTGGTAAATTTGACGTTTTGCCCATTGTGAATGATGGCTCCAGCTGCCGTCGCAGGCAATTGGTGGACATTCTTCAAGAGGCCTCGTCCCAACAGGGGGTACATGATGTGTACCCTCTGGTAAAAGTACAAAAAACGATGGAAAATCACCATTTTTAATGGGAAAACTCACTATTTCTATGGCTATGTTCAAGTTCGCAAACTGTAAACGTTTACCAGAGGGCTTGGAAGATGGGGGAAATAATGGAAGGAACTATGATTTATCTTACTTCGAGTGATCTCTAGCCTGACACACTATTCTGTAGTTGCTGAGATATCATCTAGAAGTATATGGCATATATTCAGACATTCTATGCATTCTTTTCTGGCATCTATTCTGACATGCTTTCTGGCATAATATATTCTGACATTTTTTCTGGCATTCTATCTTTCTGGCATTCTATCTGGCATTTTTTCTGACACTTTTTCTGGCATCTATTCTGGCGTTCTATTGGGCATCTTTTCAGGCATTCATTCCAGCAATTATCTGGCAGAATCTGGCATCTTTTCTGACATTCTATCTAGCATTCTATTTGGCATCGATTCTGAGATTATTTCTAGCATTCTATCTGGCATATGTTCTGACATTCTGTCTGGCAGCCTTTCTGGCATTCTCTATGACTCTATGGCATGTGTTCAGGTCCAGGCGTGCCCAGCTGCATCCAGAGCTGACGATATGGCTCGGATCCGTTCATGTCCACAGTGACGACGAGGAGAAGGAGGAGGAGAAGAAGAAGACGAAGAAGGAGGAACTGCACCTTTGTTAAAATCTACCTAGAAAACTCAGCTCTGCAAAATTTAAGGCGTGTGCTGATTTTCGGTGAAAAATGTATATAATTTTCTGACCAAAAACCCTCATCACGAGTGACAATGCTGGGTTTTCAATGTTGTGGTGAGCAGCCCGTGCTAATCCCAAAAAACATCTATAAATGTCGTTTTTGAGTGTTTGCTTGGGCACCCAATTTCATTGTTGAACAAACAAACGCATCAGGTGATTAATGTGAAATCTCACAGTCATCCGGCCCTTAATACAAGCAACATTTATCAAACTTGAGTGGCTGCGTTCGGCCAGCAATTTGTTAGAAGAATCCCAAATTGAGTTGGTAGGTCATGTTGCAATGCCGTGCCAGTCATTTCAGGTTCCCGTGCGGGGTCGGTATCCCCACACAAGCCCTATATTGGTGGTTTGTTATGCAATCAACAAACTAAATCCCAACCTGAACCCCATGTAATGTGCTTTGTGTTTTACTATTGAAGATGACTTCGACACACCACTCAAAAATCCTTCCAGTCAACTGTTTAGCAGCCCCTAAGCCAACTGCAACTGGGCATATGTCGAAGTTATTCCATTATCATCATTCCATATCATTCCTCTCCTATTCCACCATGATATTCCATGATATTCCCAGTATATCCCCATCATACTGTTGATGGAGGAAATCCTGCACCACCTTGGATGTTTGAAACCCTATAAATAATGGGATAAACCACCTATCAACTGGTGCAGGATTTCTTCCATCCACAGTATTACCATTCAACGACCGGCTTCTTGGGCCATCACCAGGTGGATCAGCTGCGGAAATACGCTGTGTGGAACGCTGTGGGTGTAGTCTGGGGCCGAGCGTTGACGTCCACGGCTGGGACGGCTGGCAGATCTATCTACGGCTGTATTTTTCATTATCTTTTAATGGAAAACATAATCATACAATATATATATATATATATATATATATAACATGCAGCTCTAAAGAATTGTAGAATTATATGCACAATATAATTATCTATCTAACTGTTTGTGTGTTTGTCTATCTATCTATCTATCTATCTACCTATCTATCTATCTATCTATCTTTTGATATTTATTTATCATCTAAATCTATCTAAACCCTCTGGTAGTCAAACGTGGCTAGCTGGAGAATAGCCTATTTAGTTCAATGCTGTTCCCAGTAAACTCTCCATTTCATTCGGCGGGTCCCAGCCACATTTGTCTACCGGAGGATATGTGTTTCATGGGAGATCATCTGAATCTGCAATCATGGCGCAGAGATGCTCTGAGATTGAAAGAAAAGGCAGGTGAACTGGTAATATGGTTTTGATGATTATGATCATCATCATCACCATCATCATGATCATGATTATCACCATCATCATGATCATCATGATCATCATGATCATCATCATGATTATGATCACCATCATGATCATGATTGCGATGACGATGACGTTGACGATGACGATGACGATGGCAGTGATGATAATGGAGATGATGACGATGATGAAAATGATAAATATCATGGTAAATGTGAGGAATGTGATGATTGTGATTGTGGTGATTGTGGTGATGATGGTGATGATGACGATTTATTGTTGCGATCACTATTACTGGACCAGTTTGTTTTAAACTGCATAAATATATTTGGTAGTAATGGTAGTAAGATTGTTTTATCATGATTAACCATCATCCAATGAAACCGGTGTTGTTTCTTTTGGTTCAGTCGCCATTGAAAACAGTTCATCACTATCATGAATATCATGAATCATGATCCAGGCATGATGGGTCCCACAACTTACTGGGTGCCCATGTGGCCCCCAAGAGATAACCCACCCACAACGGAGTCGACGATTGGGATATGATGAATCCATACCGATTGGTATCCGATTAGTATGTGTTTCTGAGTTGTTTTTTTCTGAATCTGGTTTCCATGGGTGAAATATGAAATCAACCAACTATAGTCAGCGTTTCATATCCAAATCCCATACATTCTAAAGGCGTAGTATGGTTACTTACGAAGTGTTTGGTCATAAATTGGGATCCAGCATGATCCAACGCAACGGCGTGCTGCTTTCATTCAAATTGGATTTGTCTGGGCCTAGACGATTTTGGGACCCCAGTCACTGCACAGTTTTGTGCAGGGTGTGTTCAAATCACCATCCAGCTGTTCTTCATGAAAACAGAGTAAAAACCGTCCTAATATTTGGTGCGTTTGTTTCTAGCCACCGACTGAGTTACAATTACAGGAACTGGGCAGAACTGAAGAAACATCATGTGCATCCCTTCCGATTCCATGCCGCTTGTTCAGGTCAAGATCCTCAAGAAGCGGCGTAAACAGACCAGTCACTTGAGTTCAACAACAGAGTCGAGTCGATGGAAGCGACTCCACAACGTGCACTATGAAATCCAACATAAGTAGTAGAACTTGGGATAGCATCGGAAGATACTCAGCAGACACCCCTTGGAGTCGATTTAAGAGTTAATGTTTTTATGATTCTACTATGTTTCAAGCACATGTTCTATGAAATCATTTCAAGAATGGGTTCGCTAGAGGGCGAAGTTCCTCACCCAGCTGTTGAACTCACAAGTTGGACCAGTTGGGTACCTGCCGCTCCATCGATGAACTGAATGAATTTGATACCAAAGTCATCGTCAAAACTGGAGTGATTGGAATCATATTTGGAGAATCAATTTTGTGAAGTATGAAATAATTCAGCCATATAATCCGTTGTAAACCAATGTTGGAGCAAAGCCATTTGTGGTTTAGCACATGCGAAAGGAACCCACTGATTGCTTGGTGGCGTTTGTTCGAGATATATAGAGTATATACTAGTTTAGTATATTATATTATATTATATTATACAGTATTATATTATTTCATATTATATTATAATATAATATTATAGTATACTATACTATATTATACTATACTATATATATTATATTGTATTATATTAGATTATATTCTATTATATCATATCATATCATATTATACTATATTGTTTTCTATTATATTATATTATAGTATATTATAGTATACTATAGTTTTGTACTATACTATATTGTATTATATTGAATTATATTGTATTATATTGTATTATATTGTATTATATTATATTTTATTCCCCACCTGCCAGGTGAGGGTTGTTAGATTTTATGTCAGTTGCCTCCTCCTCCTCCTTCTCCTCCTCCTCCTCCGCCTCCTCCTGCCTCGTCCTCCTCTCCTCCTCCTCCTCGTCCTCCTTGTCATCCTTGTCGTCCTTGTCGTCCTCGTCGTCCTCGTCGTCCTCGTCCAACTGCGACCCGCGATCCACAGTGTTCTCTGCTGCCGGACCTCAACCACGACCATCCACGCCCAGTGTTCCCTGCCGGACCTCAACCACGACCATCCACGCCCACGTGTTCCCTGCCGGACCTCAACCGCGAGTATCCACGCCAAGTGTTCCCTGCCGGACCTCATGTAGGAAGATATGGGACAAAGAATGTGCAGAAGAAAGTTAGAATGCCAGAATGCCGGAAAAATGTCAGAAGATATGCCAGAAGATATGCCAGATAGAATGCCAAATAGAATGCCAGATAGAATGCCAGAAGATATGTCAGATATGCAGAAGAATGCCAGATAATATGCCAGATAGAATGCCAGAAGATTTGCCAGATAGAATGCCAGAAAATATGCCAGAAGATATGCCAGATAGATATGCCAGAAGATATGCCAGAAGATATGCCAGCAGATATGTATGTCAGAATATATGCCAGAAGATATGTCAGATAGAATGCCAGAAGATATGTCAGAATATATGCCAGAAGATATTAGCCAATGAATGCCAGAAGATATGTCCAGATAGAATGCCATTTGAATGCCAGAAGATATGCCAGATCATTGCCAGTAAGAAAATGTATAAATGTCATGGTGGGGATCACACGAAGTAAAGTAATTATTTTTATATTATATATATAATTATATTGTATTGTATTGTGTTGTATTGTATTACATTATATTATGTTATATCACGTTATATGATATTAATATATGTTCCCCTCTGCAATTCTTGGGATGCCAATCCACCGAGCCCCAAACATCTACTGTAGACCAGTTGTTGCTTGGTGATCATGGTGAGTTCCCTTGAAATTGCAGATGAAAGGTTTCCCCTGCTGCATAAACATATGTCTATATACAAAACAAGTGCATCGTATTACATATAATGTGCATATATATATATATATGTATATATGTTGTTGTGTCTTTAAATCTACATCTATTCATTGTGTTTGCACTTGTATATGATATACATATATATATATATATTATGCATAGGGGTGTAGAATGGGGAATCCCCAAAGCAATTGGTTTCAATACTAGAATGCCCTAATTCTGGATAATTTGGGGGTACCCCCACTTAGGAAATCCCCATAGATCGATTGACAGATAGATAGACAGATAGATAGACAGATGCAACTAGATGGACACATAAAAATTAGATCAGTCTATCTATCTATTCATAAATAGGATGGACACCAATATTTATCCAACATGGTGTCAGATCAGTCAGATTTTTATAGGACAGAAAAACGCGCCAATGTTGCCATGTTGTCTGCCAGTCATGACTAGTTGGTGGTGACTGGAACATGGCTGTTATGACTTTCCATATATATGGGAATGTCATCCCAACTGACTTGAACTCCAGAATTTTTTTCAGAGGGGTAGGTAGGTTGAGACCACCAACCAGATGATTATTCACCATCATGAAAACCATTATCATAACCATTAATATTAACCATATATATATATATATTAACAGTATATTAACCACAATGGTAGGTATACCACCAACCAGCACCAGGGACCCCAGTCGAAAGATCGAATGAAATCGAGGCTTTGGGATCGAAGATTCAGCTGCGGAGCGGGCCGGCTGGCTGTCTCGCCAGGGTCCCCAGTGCAACCATGGAACGTTTGGAAGGGGTGAGACATCGCTGATATCTGGGTGAAGCTACAAAAAAAATCAAAAAGAAAACCCTACCCCTGTTGGTTGATGATTAGATTGATTAGATCAAGGAGTTGTAGTAACCAGAATATGGGGGATTATCACAATACATGAACGGAGAATCCCGTTCTCAACCAGGATCCTCTAAGGGACGTTACTTCGGGTGTTAGTGTTTTGAACACTGCTTCTCTAGCCATGATTGAGCATTACAGTAATAATCACTACTAATCGTTATGAACTACAGTTATCCTATTCAATGTATGTACAATTACGATCAATTACGTATATACTGTATATAGTATATAATTACGTACATACTGTATATACGTCCATGAAAGTCAAATCGCCCATTTCCCCACCACAAGAATGATAACCCACACTTACCCCAGTGGTACAAATTAATCATTGAGATTGTTGCACGCCAATTTGTCACCAAATATCCAAACCCGCTTCTTGTATCTTGGTCTGAGCACAAATGTTTTTTTCGTTAGCCAGGTTTATAGTGACAAATGATTTCTGGGAATGGTAAACATACCACCTATAAAAATGCTGATGACTGGGGGATGATTTATGGCAGTGGCATTGTTTTACCGAAACATTCGATGATTTCGATGCCAAGATCTTCGCCAAGCCCAGCGAGCCAGGACAGAGCTTCTTCAGTGGCTCCGACTTTGCAGAATTGCACGTCTCCATCGAATCCCTGGGGCACATGTCGGGGCAGCGATGGGCGGGTTGTTGGGGCGAGTTCTTCGGCTTGGGGCTAAGATGACGGTCTATCATTCAACATTCATAACATTTATATATTGATCTATGTTTTAGTTATATAATGTTATATATATATATATACATGTTTATATATGCGATTATATGTCGATCTATATTGAATTCAATATGGTTTGTTCCGGTACGTTCATGATGTTTCATGACTGGGTTCTATGATTGGGATCTATGCAGCTGGGTGTTGATGGTGAACAGAATGCTTTGCATAAAACAAATATTGGGCAGATGGGCAGAGTCTAAGATACCAATTGACAAGTCAGTATGGGCGCTGTATTGTCTTTATACCTCCTGGTCATGTAGAGATTGCTGTAAACTCATTATGGTTGTTGCATGAGTTTGGCAGAAAATTGGGTATGCCTAAATCACTGGTTAATAAGTTTAGCATCTTATATATAAAAAAAAATACATGTTTCTCCCTATTGAATTGCCATGGTAGTGGTAATTTCCCCATTTTCAGACACACCCATATCATATTTATGCTGCTGGTATTTAGTTAATGCTTACCCATGATTTTGATCTTGGCTGCAAGTGACCACCTTTGACAGTCCAGGATGGTCTTGTCCGAAGTGCTTCCAGAGGCGGGTCAACATGGGGGACGGTGTTGGGTGACTGGTAGGGTTTCTAAGGTTCTCAACCAAAAAACACATGCTGAATGTCAAAGTCAAGAGTCAAGATTCAAGATGTGTGGATGATGCAATTGCGTACTTGAAATATATGTAGCCTGCAAAACCTTGCCAAAGTATGTGTTTTTCTAGGTCTCAGAATTTGTTTAATTGTCCAACGTTTGAAGAGCCTCCGACACCTGACATGTCTCAGACTTATGGAACCGACAAGCAGATAAGTCGCAATTCCCTTAGAGCAAGTTGAAACACCTGAAATGTTCATTCTTGTATATGGTAAACCCAATGATAAACCATCAAGAATTGGGTTCAACACTAGTCATTGGCAAGTTGCAACACTAGTCATGTTGATGGTATATGGTAAACCCAATGATAAACCATCAACATGACCATGAGATTACCATGTAGAAACCAGTTGTTGAACCATCCCGGGGTGGAAGTTGGGGGCACGGGACCAAGGGCGAACATGAGGGTGGACGACTACGATCCCAGTCCCATCAGGACGGGGATGCAGGGGATGCAGTGGAGAAACGGATGCTGGCTTCCAGCAGAAATGTGGGAAATATGGGGATGGATCAAAATGATCAAAAGCTATTGTCCACCCAGCCAACCATCCATCCACTCTATTTGCTAAAAGCAATGTGGATTCATTGATTATTCTGATCTATTCTGTAAACTCTATTAATTCTATAGCATTTTCTGGGAAATACCTGGACAAGAACTTGACCCACTTGGCTGGGATGCCATGGATGCCATGGATGTGACCCTGTCACATGACCCTGCAGGAGCTTCAGCAGTGCCCCATTTGTTTGGACACCATCACTGACATGGTGGAGTTATCCTGCCAACACAGGCGGTTGATCCCGGATCATCCCTACATTTTGATGGACGATTAAGCATCAACACATGATTTTGATGGCAGTGGTTGACTATTGCTTTACAGACATTTCTTACTGGTGCTTTTATTCGGGAATGGATGGGACTGCTTAATGGTTTCAAACATGACTTTTATGACTTTCCATAAATTGGGAAGAATCCTCCCAACTGACTAATATTTTTCAGAGGGGTTGAAACCACCAACCAGTGATAGAGTAGGAAAAAACTACGATATAAAGTACGATATACAATATACTCTGTGATACTGTGTATATATAATATACAGGAGTCCCTCAGATAATGATTGGTCTCTGGTCGTAGGTGTAGAAACCCAGTCCGGGTGTCTGGACTCTATCAGAGATGATGAGGAAGGCACTGTCTACCAGTGATTGAACGATCCCAAATTGGGGGCATATAATTGTGTGGTTTGATCATTTGATCATACTGTAGATCATTTGTGGGATAATCATAAGCAGCAATCTAGTCTATCATCTAGTGATGTTTTTTGGGGCATATTATTGTGGACCTATATAGATCATCGTAGAATCATAGATAATCATAGATCATTCTTGTTTGCGTACGTTACATCGATGCAATATGATGCACAAACTCAGACCTTTTTGCCCTGTTCTGCATCCTTTCACTGCAGAGGTTTTGCTGGAAATGCTTTGTGCTAGGTGGGCGCAACTGCAGAGTTTCGGGGTGTGATGGGTGTGAGTGAGGCTGGTTGGAGTCCTTGTTGCACTACTTACTCTTCTTGGTGCACAAGCTGACATTATTCCAGCCTGTGTTTGTTGTCCATGTTTCCTATCAACGGAACGGCAATCAACTTGACTTTTCATTGGTGTGGAAGGGAAAAAATAACTGCTTTGAACACCAATTGTTTCATGTTGTTTCTTGCAAGAGATGTATATACTGCTGTATATGCCAATCTATTTCAGAGCTTGTTGGTAACGTCCCCAAGTCCAAACGTCTCCAAAAAAAATGTTCTAATTTCAAATGTGTCCCAAAAGTATCCAGATTTCATCAGAGTTCATCAGTCATCCCCCCTTACCAATCGCTTATAGCAACCGGTTTTGCAAGTCGGTGACCAGGTTGCAAATGAGATATTAACCAGAATGGGACCATTTACAGTTACAACCATGATGGTTGCAAATTATAACGGTTCTACATGGTCACTAATTATGGGATATTAACCATTTATAATGGTTGTAAATGGTGGCCAATTATGGGACTTAACCAGGGTTATGAATTAATTAAATAATTGCGATCTGTAACAATCCATTCCCATATTTTTCTCTCGAAAATCACCATAAACTAATGTAGAATCCATGAACTCATATTAAACCTCATATTAAGCCTTATGAAACCACCGTACAAATCGTCAAAAACCCATTAAAATCCCATCAAGTTGATGTTTGTTGCTGAATCTTCACCGATGATCCACCTCTCCAGGTCCTATTGCATTTCAGCCGGGCGAGTACCGCATCACCCAGTGCCACTTGGCGCGACGGTTTTCGTTTGACCCGCTTGGCCACGGTCATGGTATATTCGAAACAGGTTGACTATAGCTGTCAAGATCTGCTGTACATAGTTTATATATGTTTATATATATATATAGATACGTGGATCATTCCGCAAATCCGACGAATTATCAAGATGTAGTTGAGTACGTGGATCATTCCACAAATCCATGGGATCATTCCTCAAATCTATGATCAACCCCATGTATCAATCATGAAAGGATGGGCTTCCAATCAGCTGCCTACCTCTCCATGGTCGAGGCCCCATTTGTCGACGGGAGACCAGCCAGAATGAGGTGCAAAACCGGGTTGAGTTGGTGGTTTACCTCCCATGAATGTTATTTAATGTTACTGGAACATCAGCATTTTGGGGATATCTTAGGGGATACCTTGCATGTACTGGATATCCCAATATCTTAGAACATTCTCCAAGAGTTCGATCAGAGAACGACCAAAATTTTGTAGCTCCATTCGTAGCATCATTTTGAGCCAGCCATATCAGATCATATCAATATCACTTTCACTAAACATACAAAGCTAGAAGAAGATGTGGGACAACTGGGAAAACTCATGGCTGGTTGGTGGTTTGGAACATGAATTTTATTTGTCCATATAGGAATAGTAATCCCAACTGACTTTCATATTTTTCAGAGGGGTTGAAACCACCAACCAGCTGGTTTCCCGTTCGGAACATGATCCACAAACGTTTGGTTTTCCACAGGCCCGTGCAGGGACCTGCCCGTGCCAGGAGGGTGATGAGGAGGGGAACAAAGTTGCTGCCTCAGGTGTCTGAATATGGGAGATGTTCACCGATATAATGAATTAATACATATATATATATAATTATATATATACACTGTATATATATATATACATATACATATACATATATATATATATGTATACATATATATATATACACATGTGTGTAGGAGGTATAACTGTGTAACCAACAATATGTTTGTTTTTTTTTTTATGGGATGATTTATGGGATATATATACATATATTCACCGATTCGATATTTGGATTTGTCTGGAAACAGTGTTGAATTTACTCTCGTTATGACCATGTTAAGAGGGAACATGAGGTTCTCAACCAGGACGGTTGGTCATGCTGTTGCCATGTCCACCAAACAGGTTTGCCATAGACTTTTGCATTTACCCTCTGGTAAATTAACATAACTATGGAAAAACATCACCATTTTTAATGGGAACACTCACTGTAAATGGTTATTTTCCATACTTATGTTAGTTTACTAGAGGGTACTTGAAATCCATGGCCACAGTTTTACAGACATACCGTCGACCCTAGATAGGCCCTATAGGTGTCATGGTCAAATGTTGGATTCATAGCCACATTGAGGGATGCTATTCTATTCTAGCGTTCCTTAATAGTGAGTTGTATACCATTCTGTTTGGATTCTCATTGTGTCATTGGATAGGTTTAAGGGAACATTTACAGGTTTTTGTCCCTATATCTCATGATAAAAGACAGGGTTTCCGGTTAAGCTTTTCCCTTAAACCAATCCATTGCTTGTGGGATGACCATGTCCCTCCAACAAAGTAGCCGTGACTCGACCGTTTTGATGATGTCCTGAGGCAAGAACTGCACCCTTGGAGGCGTGACAACAGGTTTTTATATGGTACCATCCGAAAACATCGGATGGTTATCACTGTTATCACACATAAAATCACCTATAAAATAAAGTCACCTATAAAATCACTGGTTGGTGGTGACTGAACATGGCTTTTCTGACTTTCCATGAACACTTTGGAATGTCATCATCCCAACTAACGAACTCCATCATTTTTTAGAAGGGTAGGTCAACCACCAACCAGTGAATGTTATTTTTATCATGACTTGATTCTCCGGTGTTATCAAGCATCTAGGTTTCACATTCCCATGGTTATGATTACCAGATGGGAAAAGGAACTGAGCTAACCGGTGGGGAATACCAGTTCTGCGTGGGTTTACATGGCATACACATTGACCTCATTGCCATGCCCAATGCCTGTCAGTGTAAAAAACATCCAGCGATGGGCTTTAATTCGGGCTGGGGATTTTCTTATTTATCCAGCAACATAGTTTTGTTTCGATGCCCCGATAGATTCTCCAGGTTGGTTGGTTGGATGCCTCCTTTTGTTCTTTAAAGTCCAAATTTCCTGTTTAATTGATCTATTTTGTTTGTTGGATGTGATGATGTGTTAAATCATGCTAGATGGTTTTGCCCCAAAAAATGCAACAATGCAGATTAAATGATTCACGGTTTTATTTAAACCCAAATTGCGCAATGCTGAAAAACCATGTTGGTTGATGATTCTCTCCAGGATATTGTACTAGCCACCGTATTGGACGTTGTCATCCAAGAACTCTGCTTTTGAAGAACCAGCATCAGGGTTTGGTAAATGTCCCATGGCTTGGGGATTTTGTTGAACATCACTTGAAAAAATATCTGTTAGAGATCATATCCCCACCTATGTGAAAAAGCAGGACATTTACCAAGCCCTGAGCCCTTCATGCCCTTCATGGAATGGCTGAGGGTAGTAAAAAACTGCTCAGATCACCTCAGGGTGCAGCTTGCGCGCAGGGGACGTGTCTTGACAGCAGTTTTTGTAGAAGCAAAAGAGAAAATGGAAGAGATAAGAGGGATGAGGATGAGCCATGAACCATGGAAGATTGATTGAAATTCGGATGCCCTATTTTCAGTCACCCATGTCACAATGTTTGGTATGTTTTTTTTTAGACCCAGGGTACTAGAGCGCTTTGATCATGATTTTCATCATCCAAATGTTGGGTAAAGTACTGAATCCTGACAAATACCCACATAGCAGACAATTGCATGCTTGGATCCTGACTGAATAACAACTAGAGACTCCGAAGGAATCGTGAAGTTGGAATCAATGATTGGTGTTTGGCTTTTACAACAATGCGAATGAAAAAAACGACGTTGTTGAGGCCCAAATTTACCTCCGAGTCAAGCACAAATCCCAGATTTGCCGGTGATGTTCCATTTCCCCAATCTCCAATGTGTTTTGATCTCCTCCTTGCTATATTTTTGCAAAGGTTGTAAGAGGTTACCTGCTTGGTGGTTTCATACACCTTTTATTGTCCATTTCATATATGGGATAATCCTTCCCATTGACTCATATTTTTCAAGATGGTTAAAACCACCAACCAGATTACTATTAATATAATAACCATATTAACAGTATATATCAACCACAATGGTAGGTTAAAACCACCAACCAGTTATAATATCACATTTTATAACATGTTATAACCCAGTTACTAAGCAGTTAACTATCTCCCGTAGCCCATCTCAGAGCCACTGAGGCCGCAACCTTCACACGAGGGTCTTTTGACACGTTTCCTGCACACCTACTTCCCCGACAAGGTATGGAAGCTGCTGGAGATTGCGCCTAATTTGTCCATATGATTATGTTTCCAAGCATTTGCATTGGATAAAGATACCAACATTGGTCAGCGGAAATGTTTTTTTTCCTGCATGATAGGATTAATTGGATAGAATATTATAGATTTTTTCAATGGGTCAAAGCCACCATCAACATTTTTTTGTTAATCATATATTATACAAATGGGCAAAACAAATACGGAAGCAAATTTACGGTATTTCAATGTATTTCACTACACCATTCTTTCCCAATCATGTATACCATTTCAGATGTTAGACGATTTGGGGGGTTACACCATGTCAAAAAACCACCCGTTGAAGTGATTGTTGAATCCTCAGTTGTGATTTGATGGATTCGAGTGATTCAATCGCCATGCCTTTTCAATCGAAATGTCATGGTAAAAAAAGAGAATCAAGGACCCGAAGATCATTCCCATGGTACCCTCTGGTAAATAAAGTTGGACCTGAACATAGCCAGTTTTTAATGGAAACTAGTCTTCCAAGCCCTATCTGCCAGGGTCTATGTTAATTTGCCAGAGGGTAACCATAAATATATTATATATATATATATATATACATAATAATAATAATAAAAAATAATGATGTCCCATGCTGGTCCCAAATCCTTAAAGGGTGACATCAACTCTCGGTCCAGGCTGCCGATGGGGACAAGGCCAGCCCTTCGGTGCTATGGTGTACATGATGAATGACTTCCCTGGTTTACTAATGGGGGGTGAGATTATTAATCATTAAGATATTACTATTAATTACTAATGGTTTACTAATGTATATTCCCTACTACTACTATATAACCGTGGTTTACTAATCCATATTAATCCTGTGACTAGTCATTAACATGGTTGATTTCAGGTGTGAAAATGAAAACACATGCCCAGATGGCTGAGAGTTCTATGCGAAAAGAAACAGTGTTCAGCCCGATTGTGACTTTCAGAGAGGAAAAGCAGTGCACGATTGAAACATGTTGATGAGGTTTTTTCAAAACCATGGGATGTTGGTTCCCTATTTTCAGACAACGCCATGTACTATGTACCGCACAGTGCCGTACATGATTATATATATACTAAGTCTATATATATATATATTATATACATATTGTACTTCGTAATTCTTCTGGTGGAAATGTGATGCCATGTTGTTTTTGGTTGGTCAAATACCCATTTATAGATGATGTGTATTTAAGATCGAGCAAGTTTGCACTGACGTAAGTCTAAGACCTGCAGGCAGACATCAACACTTTGGACGTCGAGGCCGGTTTCACCCGGGAGTTTTGATCAACTCATCCACCGGAAAATTGCAACACACCTCAACAATGGCCATGAGGACATGAGAACCGGTTCTCTCTGATGATGAATGGTTCTTGGCAAATGTATCAAACATATGCCTTGTGAATTGAAGCGTTAAAATATGGTTATATATATATATATATCATATAATGGTGTATATACTAATCATATTATTGCCAATCTGCCAATGTTTCTTGTTCATATGCCTTGTGAATTGAAGTGGTTTTTCAAATAGTCATTCATAACATGGTCCAGAGTCGATCCAATATCGACTAGGAAGAGGATGTGGGAGAGTTGGTCAAGGCACGTCAGGGTTTCGCCGATGGTTCTGCCGTTTCTGGTGCATCTGACCTGCTGTTGATGCTCCGTGGGTTGATGCGTAACATATTCAATCATGTTTTCAAAATCCAATACAGTCGCAGATTTGATAAACATTGATATACATAATATATATATATATATATCCCATATGCCTCCATGCATGGAATATTTACCTACACTTGGGCCATTTTTGGGGGTAAATGTAGGATAATGTAGGTAAATATTCCATACATGGAGCATATGGGATATGTTGATGTCACTGTGTTTGTTTTCGTTTCTGATTTTGGCTCAGGCCTGTATGGCCAGGATCATGTGAAAGTCCGATGATTCCCCTCGCTTCTGGGTGGTTTAAGATGAAAGGCAACACTAAAATGTGGTTAATACCTTGATATACTTTGCAATGTTTTCACAAATTGCTTATATAATTCTGAATATATATAATATATATATATATATATCTGGTTGGTGGTTTGGAACATGTTGTTTTTTTTCCCATATATTGGGAATAATCATCCCAACTGACTTTCATATTTTTTCAGAGGGGTTGAAACCACCAACCACAATAAAATTCAATAAACACCATACAACATAGAAAAAACATACAATGTCAATGAATGTCATATGAAAACCTCTTGCATATTTGGCTGTTGTATTGCGCCACATTTCAGTCGCTTTGAATCCCCATTCTTGTTGCAGATCCAACTTTCATGTCCTTGAATTGATCAGGTGCTGCTTGCAGATTGTGGGGCCGCCGAGTTCTTTGATTTGCTGGAGGATACAACAACCGACCAACCGACCAAAGCTAATTGATGCTGAGAAAACACACTGTCACTAGATCACTAGATGTGTAGTTATTAGATGTTATTATATAGTTATTGGTGACAATGATTACCTCCGTATTGGCTCCCAAAATGAATGGATCGTCTACAAACCAGTGGTTCTAGGCTACTATTTAGTGTTAATCATTTGCTTTTGCCATTTTGATGGACTTATCATCGGGATATATACTCATTACATAACCGCTTAGAAATAAAATTCCATTGTTGTTTCCCTAGGCACATCATCTACTACTTTATAGTAAGGTTGATAGATGCTTTTGCTTAATGTATAAAGGATGGGTGAACAATCAAACATGTTGAGATGTGTCAGAAATCTTCACAAAGAAAATATCAGATGGTTAATACCTGGAGTGTCAAAGGATGTGTCATATGGGTCAAATATGTTCTCTCCAGAGGCCCTGGGAGGCCACAGGGGTCCAACCATTTCAACCATCGAACTCCTGAGAATATGACTGGACGTGTTCAAAGAGGGTTATTTTTTTGGCCCACCCCAGACTTAGAACAAAAACGCCGGACACCAAAAAATCATATAGAACAAAACAGAATGCATTGTTGTTTCAAGTGTGCGTTTAAAAAATTGTTTGTACGTTTGGAAAGTAATGTTCTAAGTGTATGTCCGGTGCTAAAAATCCCAAGTGAAATTTCCCGCGTTTTTTTTTTCCTGTGATTCACCAGACATTTGTTTAAGGACAAACAAACATGCATATCCAATGATATCCAGTATTCATGACCTGTAGTCACTGATTGTACGCCGACTACCCTCTGGTAATCTAACATAACTTTGGAAATTTATCATTTTTCAAGAACGGGAAATCATCATGGTTATCATCATCATCTATTTCTATGGGCCATCTATTCCATAGCAAACTGTTTATATAATAATAATGAAAGTGTAATTATTCAAGAACTCCCATGAACAATCTCCGTTAATACCCATTATATCGTTATTATATCACCATTATATATCTCCATGTATTATTTTTTTTTAAATAGACCCCGTATATTATATATTGATATATTATGCTGATTTTCCCATTATATCCCCATTATATTCCCATTATATTCCATAAAATTATGGGATAAAACAAAAAGTTCAATCTCACACAAATTCCATGAAATTTCCATATACCGATGACTTTCCTGTGATTTTCCCATGGTTTTCCCGTGATTTTCTCCGCACAGCCCTGAGGCAACCTGCAGCGCCCAAGCGGAAGCAGCGACGACCTGAGGATCACATAGTGACAGCCAGCAACAAAGGATAGACTATGTCTATATAACACTTATATGGTTATGGGTCAAAACCCTGGCACCTAGTGAACCCAAAAATAGCTGGTAAATGGAAGTTCAATGATGTTCATTCCACTAAAATTGATAATAATAGGTTTTGACCCACCCCTATATGGATAGTAAATATATATTTATACAATTATCCATGTGTACTACATTATATGTATTGGAGATGATAGAGTTATATCGATAGTATATGAATATGATATGGATATTATATGGATACAAAGGATACTAAGTAAAGATGAAAATTGTACTATAGCTAGTAAATATACGTAGTTATATGATTATATTGTATGATTATATGGATAGTAAATGTCCAGTTATATGGACAGTAAACCATGGTGTATGACTATAGATAGTACTATGGAAAATAGACCATGGTTATTTCAAAGTACTAGGATAGTAAATAGAGTTATATGGTCTATCCTTTGATAATTCTATGGATAGTAGACCAATTATAGAGTTATATGGATAGTAGATTTCCAATTATAGGTTATAAGTTATGTGATGTTATATGGCATTACATGTCCATAGTTATAGGTTGAGTAGGTTTGTAAATCTCCACATATTCTAGTGGTAAACAATGGCACACATATGGTTGGTTCTTTTTTTTTGGGTGTTACTGTACTATATGTTCACTTATTTTAGTGGTAACTAATATTAAAGAACCTGTCTGATTTTTACGGTTTTACTGAAATACCTTGCTTATCAAACTATGCGTAGCTTGAAGGTAGATTTTGATAATGGATATATATATATATATAACTATATATATATACATGGATGTATCATCATATATCTCTACATATAATTCGACATACTTCATGCAGTTTATAAACCCACCAACACCCCTGGGGGGTCATCACTTCTGGTCGCCGAGGTGGTGGGGATGCCGCTGTTTCCAGCGATTTTTTTGATACCTTGCCACAGCCCATGCGGCAGGCTTGGTCGTTCAAACAAGTCATACCCAACTGTTTTCAATATATTGGAGCATATATGGATGCCAAATAAAAAGAAAACGGGAACAACAAAACCAACAAACGCGTTGTTCTAGGCAAATGTCTATACCGCTTCAACAGCCCGTGGTGTTTGATTGTTGGCCGGTTTTTTGGACGGTCCAGGAAAAGCCATTGAGAGCTGCTCAGAAGCTGTTTCTCGGCGGAAAGAAGCGAGTTTCAATATGCTTCAATTGGATTTGTCTGAAAACAGGCTACCTCAATACCTCATAATTGTTCTAATTTTCTTCTCCATTAGAGTTGACCTTACTTACTTGTCATTGAAAAATCTGCCCCCAAATGGCCATTGATGCCATTGATCACCATTGATGCCCAAATGGCCGGGAGAAAAAAACACCCAGCGATCCAGGAAAGATGATCTGAACTCTGCGGAATGCGATATATCACCAAGCATATCTGGTTGGTGGTTTGGAATCTGGAACATGAATTTTATTTTTCCATATATTATAATTATTGGGAAGAATCATCCCAACTGACTTTCATATTTTTCAGAGGGGTTGAAACCACCAACCAGATATATGTTCAATGAGTTGTGCAGTGATTTTTGCAACAAAGATTGATGTTTGGAGTCAAAGTTTCAAAAATGGTGCTTTAATCAAATAACAGTGCTATTCTATATTTATGGAATATAGAAATTTTGTTTTGGCGGGAATTGATGGAGTATACAAGAAACCATATGGGGGTGCCCCATGTTTGGATCAAGAATAGAAATTGAGGCCCCGGAAGTCACATAGGTTGGTTGATTTATGTTTATATTCGTTCTAACCAGCGCACGATTTGGACCCATAGGAAATGCCGAAAGCAATGGGCTTGGGGTACCATCCCCCAAAACTCATATATAGCTATATTATATATATAGATGGCCCGTTTATTGATGATTTACCAATTGGAAATGATGATGTTCCACAACTAGGTTCAATTAACAGAGTAGATGCTGAACATCTTGGCCCCTTTAAGGCGGGACGGACTGTAGGAGAAGAACAGCATGAATTTCAAGGACGAAATCGATCCACCTGGTTTTTTCATCAGTATTCCCGGTGAGATTCACCCCAACACTTCTGGTTGGGTTGAATTTCCTAGTGTATTCCCAATATTAATGTCCATTATGTTTAACTATATTCCCATGATATGCCTAATAATTATTTCACATTATACTCCCACTATATTCCTAATCAAAGTTACCATTATTATTTCACCATTATGTTTCCATGAAGCCTGTGTATTCTCATTCTTGGTTCCATTATTCCAGTGTATTCCCATGATGTTTCTATTATTACATTATATTATATTACAGTAGATGTGCCCATTATTATTCCAGTATATTCCCGTTGTGATTCCAGCATATTCCCATCATATTCCCAATATATCCCGTTATATATACGATATTATACTCCCATTATAATTATTCAAGTGTAGTGAAATATACTCCAATATATTCTCATTACAATCCCACAATATTTCAATATATATATATATACACCCAAATAAATTCCCATTGTACTCCCATTGTTCTAGCATATTCCAAGTATATTCCCATTCTTCCAGTGTATTCCCAGCATATTCCCAGTCGTCAATTCCATATTCAGACATCTGTAGAAATACCGGATGCATAGCGTATCATTCAATGGGACTACAATTTGTACATTCAATATACATTCACCCATAGGATCCATGGTGCTGGTATATATGCTAACATTTGGGGTATAATGATGGGATCCATGTTACTATATAATATATATATATATATAGAAGCACCATGAATCCTATGGGTATAGCAGTAATATAGCATCAATTGAGATTGGGGCTAGGAAACATATGCAACTACCTGGGATGCAAAAAAGGACATATTCCGACACCGTCTCCCGCACCGATCTGACGAGGCAATGGCTGCAGTTGGCCTCGTCAGGGGATCCGTTCGCCCTGGACGACAACATGTGCGACGACCAACCGGCGTCGCGGTGTCGATGGAGATCTCGAGTGGGGGTCACGGGTGGATTTAGCCTCTGGTAAACATAGAAAAAACGATGGAAAATCACCATTTTTAATGGGTGAATCAACTATGTCTATGGCTATTTTCAATAGCAATGTTTGTTTACCAGAGGGTAACTACATGTCACTAGTGGATGAGCTGAGCCAGCTGATTTGGAGCTGATGTTAGTGTTTGGTTAGCGAGGTTGATAGATTCAAACGGGAACGTTTTAACATGTTTTGACATGTTTTAACGTTAGATTTAAGAGTTACTGCTTGATGATCTTGATGAGTTTGTTTTGGTTGGAATGAGGGCCCCAGTGATGATCTCGACTAAAAATCAGGCCAGCTGGCTATGACCCAGCTGTGTTTACGATTGTTTTTCCATAAATGCCCATTGTTGATTGTGTGTATGGTCAGTAGTTGTTTTTTTTTTAACATTGATCGTTTCACCAATTTTCCAACCATAATTTTCCCATGTTGGTTCCCAAAAGCCAATTCTAAAACGCATATCCGCGGAATGCTGCAGTAGTATGTTTCTTAGTATGTGCAGTTTCCTTTAAAGCCTTTAAACATACCCCATCTTAGATGCTGGAAATTATGAATATCGATCGGATACATATTTCAGCAAATATTTACCAAGCATAAATCCATGTCTCCTTCTCTATCCTACCCTTTACCATGGGAGAACAATGATCTTCCGTGAAATCCCATCGGGTAAACTAACATAGATAGTGGGTAAATCGGTAAATCAGTTAAATCAACTATAAATGGGCCATCTATACCATAGCTATATGGGTATGGGTCAATACCTATAAGTACCATTTTTAGTGGGATGAACATCCATAAATCCCAGCTATTTTGGGGTTCACCAGGGGTACCAGGGTTTTGACCCATCCCCATATGTTACTCTACGAGAGTATGTCTCTCAGATTTGTTGCACCGCGAAACAGGTACTGCTCATTATGCTCAGAGCCCCTGATGATGGAGGCTGTCGTAACCACGCCTTGTGAGGGCACCCAGTTTCGCTGGCGAAGACCCCGTTGCAATGGCAGATTACAAGGGAAACTAAGCTTCAACTAAGGGACACCAAGGGAAACTATATACTTTTTTACATTGTGTTTACCGGAAAGCAATGGACACCAAAATTAAATCCAATTGAATAGATAGAGGTTTTTTCTGTTTGGCCATCAGTGGGAAAACATGGACTCTATTGCAAGAATACGTCTTGCAGGAATCTAAGGTTAGACATGCAAACATGATGGGTTAAATGGCTGGGTTCACCAGCAACTGTTCGGGGATGCAATAGGGAACTTGAAGACCTAGAATACTTGGGTGGTTAAGCCGCTTAATGGGTGACGCAAGCCACTAAGTCATGGGTAAGTGATTTGCGGGCAAGCTGAAAACTTATACTGTGGTTAAAACAATAATAAACCATCCCCAAAATCACCATTTTTATAGGTGGTATAAACCATCAAAATGTGGTGGTTTATGGCATTGTTTTACCCACATTACTGTAATTTTGACATTGGATAAATCCGCAGCTGGAACTTGATTCTCTGCAGCGTATCTTGGCCCGTTCACCATGATAACGAACGCAAAACAACTCCGATCTAAGGCAAGCATCACTTCCATAGGCCTGGACGGAGTCGAAGGGACGTGAACTTCAACCCAAATTGGGGGGACTTGTTGGGTGTTACCATAGGCCATAGTACCCTCTGGTAAATTCACACAGCTATGGAAAATCATCCTCAAAAAGATAAATCAATCATTGTACTATTATATTCATCCTAAGATCATCATGGGATATATCAATCATCTCTTGGGATAAATCATCCTAAAAAGCTCTATTGTTTTAGCCATCGCTATTTAACAAACTACCCTTAAGAGAGAATCAGTGAGAAAATCCCATGATTTAGATGTCATGAAATCTTCAAGAAGCCATTCATTAATCATTAAATCCTCAGTTAAGGACCCATGATAGTTTAAATTTAAATGATGATATAGATATCATGCATCTTCAAATCTCCATGATTTAGATATCAACCATATTCCATGTTTGTAATGATGACTGGATTATACTGGATTAATAAACATGTGATATGGATTATACTGGATTAATATGACTGGATTATACTGGATTATACTGGATTATACTGAACCCATAAGTTTTGATGTCCTCACCATGGCAGGGTCTGTATCAACCGCGTTGACAGTCCCCAGTGCGGACACCCGGTGGTATAAGGTGCCCCCCCAGTTGAGTGTGTTGGTTCATATGATGGGAATTCGATGGGAATACAATGGGAATACGACGATGGGAATATGATGATGGGAATATGATGATGCGAATATGATGCGAATATGATGCGAATATGATGGGAATATGATGGGAATATGATGGGAATATGATGGAAATATGATGGGAATATGTGATATCTTTCAGTAAAGTAACAGTTTGCTATGGAAAATTGCTATTTTCAGTAGGTAAATCATCCGTAAATGTGCTATGTGCCATAGCTATGTTACTTGGCTAGCTGGATGCATATATATATAGCACAGTATAGCTACAACTACCATATTAACCGCACCAGCTGTGGGATCCCCTTGAGCTTAAACGTTAGCGAATCGTTGGTTACAGCTTTCATATGAATACGGCAGTACATATATCTCTAGTATTCTCTAGTCAATGTGGTTTCTTAGATTGTCTCAATGTGGGCAAGGGTTGAGTGGGGGCATAGCCCACACTGGTTGATTTCAGTGCAGCGCTTTTTCAGTGAGGTGCCGGCACTAGATGTATACTTCAGTTCCTAAATATGTTCAACAGTGTACAGTGTATGTATATACTTATATATATGGATACCCTCTGGTGAACTAACATAGCAATGGAAAATCACCATTTTTAATGGGAAAATCCACTATTTCTATGGCCATTTTCCATTGCTATGTTAGTTCACCAGAGGGTATACATTATATATACATTATATATAGGGATACGGGATACATTAATGATTTACACCTCCATTCCGTCAACCAAAACTTCTCCAGACAACGAGGTGTGTCTCCCATCGTCGCGACCAAGGTGTCCCCTGTGCAACACCGCCTTACCCTTCTCGTTTGGGGCCCCCGGGCGGCCATGGGCCCAGCGTGGGAAAAATGGCTGGAAAAATCTGTAGACATCTCGAAAATCGGACGCCATATGAATATATGTTATCCCAAGAAATATAGAACAAAGACTGAGAGACTCTCTTACTTCTGTGGAACATGGCCCATAGAAATAGATTATTTATGATGATCGACCTATTCAACATGGTGAATGTTCCAAAAATGCTATTTTATATGACCAGAGGGTACATATGTATCTTTTTTATCAGAGATTGATCCACACAACATGGACGTTCCCCAGAACAAGATGCCTGAAAATCATCAGCTTTTGCAAGCTAAAACCACCTTTCAGTTGTTACCCTCTGCATATGACTAACAATTTGCCATGGTATAGATGGCCCTAATCGAAATAGATGGTTTACCTGGGTTTACCTATAAAAAAAATGTGATTTTCCATGGCAAAGTGGCAATGTCATAACCAGATGCTATGACCCAGCGTGAAGCAAATGACTCAGCTCCCATGGATTGGTTTGGGGAAAATCGCTGGCCCGGTTTTCCCATGGATTTTCCCATGTTTTATCATGCCCTATGGATCCATGGCCACTGTCTGAGAAGGTACTTAACCCTCCAAATTATCGTAAATTATACCCCAGTCCCACTTCCTAAGAAGATACGACTGGATCCTATGGGTCATGGGGTTTTCTTGTAAAATGTTCCCTTAAACCAATCCATTGACAGTTGGGTTGGTCCAATACCGGGTTTTTTTTCTTCCTCCCAAGAAGGCCATCAGAACGGGGAAACCTGTCCCTGGGGCAGGCCAAAGGTTACAACGTGTTGTTTTTTTTCGGACTTTGACCCCCGGTCAGTTGGTATATGAATGTATATTATGGTTATAATATGACCATAACTAAACTATGGTATAATCATAACTATGTCCATGTTTAGTTAAGGTCATATTATAACCATAGTTTAGTTGGTAAATATGGTATACTATGGCTTTTTATATGAACATAATATGACCATAACTATGTCCATGTTTTCCGGTTCTCAAATTTGACCACCTATAACTATACTATGGTTATTTCATCCCATCCATAAATTGAGATTAAACACCCCCCTTGTATGGGCCCAAATCGTATGTCGTTTCGTCCCCTTCTTCTTATGGTTTCTGGCGGGTGTTTAAGATGAACTGGGGAAGGAGATGTATCCATAATTTATAACTGCACTTCCAAGTCGAGCGGTCTTTCTTGAAAGACGCGTAGAATTGTGGAATATCGTTTGCATGATATCTGTGAAGCTAGCTACATAGCATATATAGATGTCGAGTTTATGAGTTGTACCTCAATATCTATTATATAAACACAAATGAAGACATGTGGTTTAATGATTTAACCAAGCAAAATGGTGATTTAATGGGAAATATTGGGATAACATATAATATATATTATATATACGAATGATGATATTACAGGTATATACTCTCTGGTACTTCTAACATAGCCATCTATAGCAATCGCAAATCACCATTTGGAATAGGTAAATCATCTATAAATGAGCAATCTATACCATAGCTATGTTAAATGACGGGACGGTATCCCCACTGGAAAGTTTTGAGTTGGTTCCTAAGCACATAATTATCCTAGTTCCCCTCTGGTAATCAAACGTGGCAGCGGACAATTCCCATAGAAATTGGGAGCTTAATGATGAAATTAATCTATAACTGTGGGATTTTCCACAATTTTCCATTACTATGTTTGATTATTGGAGGGTATAAATAATTACTATCAGAATAACCCAGGTACCCTAGCTACAAAACGCGAACTTACCAAGGTTCCTAAACAGTTTACTAAGAGATATCCCCGGCATTTATTGACTTCATTGGTTCGGTTTACCTCATTTCTAACTTCATTGGTAGAATCGAATGATCCGCAGAATCCACAGTCTGCAAACCAAGACCCTCCAAATACCCTAAGAAATCGGTAAGAGTACCAAGATTATGAAGAAAACAACACTGTTTGAAGGGTACAAACGGAGGGTCTCGGGTCTAGGCAAATGTTGTTGATTGTTTTCTTCAGCCCATGAAATCCATTCACATCGCTAGGACTTTTCTTGCTGGAACCAGTGCTAGGTGGTTCCTGCCTGCCGACCACCCCTGTGCGGAGCACGGCTTCCGCACGGTAAGCCCTCAGAGCTATCAGCCGGGCGTCCCGGTGGCAGGTGGCAGGTGTAGCAGCCCATCCTGGGATTTCAATAGTCTATTTCTTTCTCCTTCCCTTCTTCTTGCTCTTCCCCCCTTCTAGGTAAAAGGGTCTATGAGATCCATATCTGGAATGGAGTCCATTCAAATAAAGTTATTATTGACAGGGTCTGTGTTAGTGGGGTAAAGCGAGAATGCAATTTATAGGGTCCATTGTATCCCCAGGGTCTATGTTATCCCCATTGTTGAGTTTTGCAGGCACCCAAATCTTTATTACAAGAAACCATAGACCCTGATACCAGTCCAGGGTCTGTGTTATCCCTACTTGCAATGCTACTGCACAGAAGGTCCATGTTAGTGAGTAAAACAAGGTTAAAAATGCATGCAACATGTGGGGTCTATGTTATGCCAGTTTTCCATTGTTGTTCATGGTATCCCCAGGGTCTATGTTATCCACACTTTTTGACTTGCAGGTTTTTTTTACATGTTTTGATAAGAAAAGATAGACCCTGGATCAGCAAATTTGCTCACCGGGGTCTACGTTTAAACGTAGGTTTAATGTAATTAGGGTCTACGTTTGTTTTCGTTAGAGTAACATAATCCCATTAGAAAACCATAGGAAAACCATAGGAAAATGATGGTTTAATGGGATTTAATGGGATTTAATGGGATATACCATCTGGTTATGACTAACATAGCCATGGTATAGATGGCCCTAATCGAAATAGATGGTTTACCGTTTTTAATAGCATGGTGATTTTCCATGGCTATGTCAAATAACCAGATGGTAATGTAAGATGAATAAAACGTGGTCTATTGGTCTATAAATATGGATTTCATGGGAACTAAATATGGTTTCATAAATGGTTTTATTGGGATTTCAATGGATTTCATGGGATTTAATCAATTTGGGAGATACATCCCATTCTCATAGTAAACATCACTACTGTATGTAACAAATCTGCGTAAATCCCCTGCCAAGCCGCGGTGTTAGTTTTGGAGGAAGGGATTAATTTACCATTTCGAACCATTTGGGAATCTTGTTGACATATGTATATATATATATGTTTTTTTTCCTGGAGCTTCTTAACCAATTCAAGTGGTTGTAATTTGCACTCTAATTTAGTTCAACAAGTGATACAACAAGTGTCAAACGACGCCCTCCAAAAATAGTGTTTTCACCAAAATTGGGTGTATACAAAGTATTGGTCATTGATGACAGCACCAGCATTGAAAGAAAAACTCTTCCTTTTTTGTTCCGAGATTCGCCACTGGGGGCTGTTTGAGATTCCCTAAGGCGATAGTATGGCGAAAGTCCATCTTCCAAAGCCGGTTGGGGGCTTTCATGCCAGTGTTCAATGTTTCAAGGTTCTATGTACACAATTTTTTAGGCCATATCTTTATGTTCAACGCCTAAAAATCACTAATTACTGTAATAAACTATCTTTATGTTCAACGCCTAAAAAACGCTGCTGCTCCGATTGAAATTGCCCTAAAAAAATGTGGGGTTGAATTTTCTATCACAGGCAGCCGTCTATCATGCCATATTTCTTGTTGGATGAACATCCGGAAGTACCAGCTATTTTGTGGTGTAAAACAATGTTGCATCATGTTTTTCAACATCTTGAATCATGTTAGTCCATGTTAATCCGATAAAGAAAAACCATATTATATCATACATATATACATATATATATATATATATACATATTCTCAAATTCTATCCATTAAACCCTTGTGGATCTGTGGATCTCTTGGGCATCGACTGAGGCCTTGCTTTGCAGGTGGCCCGAGCAAAGGGAGCTGTGGCCCCTTGGCAATGCGTGCAACGGCAATGCGTTTCGGAGGTAGGTCCCCGAGGCACGAGGTGAGGTGAAACATATGTGAAATCCATGCGTAACCATATTATTATGGATATTTATGGATCATAAACAAATGTAACATATAAAATATATAACATATATGAAACATATTATAACATCATATAACTATCATATAACATAAATTGTATTAATGATCATAATATTTGGATAATAATGATATAATACATAAATGATGTTAATGATGGTACTACAACATGATAATAATATAAATTAATCATTATTGATGTTAGGTGATTACAATAAAAAATGGTAATAATCATTCTACATGTAGCATGTTTAATCATAGTTATAAACATAATTGTCCATGTTCCATGCTACACATTTTCAATGAGGGGCACGAGATAAACCATTCTACATGTACCATATATGGGAAACATTGGGAAACCTGTTCCAATAATATGATCCCTGACAATAGAGCACTATTATCCATGTATATAATACCGTACTAAGCCGTACTACCACCAAAACTCGTTGCCTTCCCAAGAGCAGCTGAAAACCTCCTTGGGAGTTCACCAACCCCTGTGGGTTCGGTGATATTCAGACATGGTTTTTAGCCATATAAAACTCTACCACCAAATCCCATAGGATCCAGTCGTATCTTCTTAGGAAGTGGGACTGGGGTATAATTTACTATAATTTGGAGGGTTTTTTGTACCTTCTCAGACAGTGGCCATGGATCCATAGGGAATTTGTCATCCCTTCTTTCAGGATTTCAACGGGATGTCCAGGGCACTCCTTGGCTTCAGCCGGCCCTGAGGCTATCCGTTGCAACGGCCCCCGCCGGCGCAGCTCTACGGAGCCAACGGGAGCATGAGGCGCGGCGAGATGAAACACTGGGAGAGTCACCAGTAGTTGTTTTCTATTGATCCCATGAGAATCCCATTAGAAAACCATAGGAAAACCATAGGAAAATGATGGTTTAATGGGATTTAATGGGATTTAATGGGATTTAATGGGATATACCCCCCTTATTTAACAGTTTGCCATGGTATAGATGGCCCCAATCGAAATAGATGGTTTACCGTTCTTAATAGCATGGTGATTTTCCATGGCTATGTTAGTCATAGCCAGATTGTATAGTAAATATGATGAATTTTTATAGTACTATTAATCCCAGTATTTCATAGTTGCCATGAGTTGTATATAATAATTCCTATTAAACACACCGGGACTATGATGGGAGTATCAATCATAGGAGTCTAATGCGAGAATGATGAAATAATGGGTATTAATTATAAAGGAATATATTATGATGGGATCAATCAGTTGGGACATGGAAAGCCTGATAGTAAGTTACCAACTACACTGGAAACACTGGGACTATAGTGGGATTATCATGGTATCGTCTACCAGCTGCAGGATTTCTTAAGCCTCAGTAGCTATGGAAAAGCACATGTTTTTTCATGGGCTAAAATCATCTAGAAACGGGCAATGATTATCCATTTTTCCGGTAGCAAACTATTAGATTGCCAGAAGCTTTTTGTTCAATGATCTCTATTTGTGAAGTGGGTTCGCCCCCACAAAGAAAGATCAATCACATGATAGTTGACGTTTTCATGCGGTGAAATCCAGCCCCAATCATGGCGGATCCATGCCCTCAATGTTGGATCCCTCCCAGATGATAAATGGAGACCTCCAGTGGCCTGTGCTCACGGGAACAGAATTTCGCAGATGGATGTAACATTCTGTAACCATCCTTAAATTCCCCAAAGAAATGAAGTAAACGCGGTAAAACACCATGTTCAAGGCTATTTGGAGGTTCTGACTAAGCATCTAATCAAGGATTTGTTCTGACCGATACTGCGTTGACAACTGCTCTCCATGCAGAAGCACGAGTTCCCAGCCAGAAGCAGATGAACGGCAAACTTCTGGTTTGTAGAGGCAAGAAATGATAGATACATTACTTTACTTCGAGTGATCCCGACCCTGGCACACTATTCTGAAATATCATCTGGAAGTAATACATCTACATATATATATATATATATTCTGACATTATATCTGACATTCTTTCTGGCATATACTCTGACATTCTATCTGACATTCTGACATTCTTTCTGGCATTCTCTCTGGCATGTGTTCGGGTCCACTCATGGCCCGCCCGACGAGCTGGCAGAGGTGAGGACAAGCAGTAGGATGCGAGGGTGAAGGAAGGAAGGAAGGAAGGAAGGAAGGAAGGAAGGAAGGAGGAAAGGAGTTGCACCTGGCAGGTGGGAAAAAAAATCAACATTAAATATTATCATTATATTAGGACCTATTAGGATGTTCCCCATGAACTAAACATCTAAATGCTGTAAAGTTGATTTTTTCAGCATTCCGCCTTGCCAGATCCTACCTGCACCGGCTGATTCCCACCGGCAGTGGTGTGGAGAGCCATGAGGTTCCAGGGGTTCCCGGGGATGCCGCGGCTTGTTCAGCGGAAGCAGCCAAGATGTGGTGATAATTCGGCAGCAAAGATGTGGGACTTATGCTAGTCTTATGGTAGTTTGATTGGTAAAACAAACATATCATGACCGTTTTTCATGACATATAGTATGAATTAATATGAGATATGTGAAGAAACACATGACATTTCAGCAAGAATGTTTATGACATGGGGATGCAAGCCCTTAATGATGATGTCATAAACATGGAAATCCAGAAGCGTCACCTTGTGACATCACTGACGAACCCCCTCACTGCCGGAGGTGCTGGAGACCTTACTGTACTGAAATCGGTTTTGAGTTTGTAGAAACCAGACGCAAAAACTCGGAGCAACTCAAAATTTACAGTATATACCATGTTGACATATGTTGACCATGTTGTTTGATTTTTTGTTTTTGCTGTTCCATTTTGGGTTGCCAGAATTGTTAGCAAATTTGGCATAGCAATTTCTACCTCCAAGATCCGAGACGTGGAATTGTCTGCCAGGATGAGGACAACTCTCCAAACCATGCCTTGCAGGTGGGGAATTGGGCTGGCCATGGGGGGCTATCCAAAAGAAAACTCTTTGGGTTATCGTTTCATTATGTTCGTTCATTGGATTTTGGAACATTTTCAGGAAACCGTGGAAACCTCTAATGTGATGGGAAATTCCACGGTTTCCGATTCATATGTCAAACATCGTCAAACCAAGATAAGGTTTGGGTTGTTTGGTCAGCGATGTTGGTTTTGCTATGAATGGAGAAAAGCCACACCACTTTGAACATGAACTTTGCTGTTAGGTCCAACTTTGCATCGAATCAAGGCTTGTTAATCCACGTTTTACATTGCAAGGGTTGCTCGAACCTTTCATAGTTGTATGATTGCCGCAAGGGAGTAAATTTGGGGTGCTCAAAGCAGCCCTGAAAAGGGAGATGGCTATGGTCAATATGGATCAATATGGATCAATATGGATCAATATGGATCAATAGACCTAGAAATAAATAGAAATCCCAGAGTTTAGGGGGATGAACATCCCATTGTCATTTCATTGACATTCCGGCGACCAACTATTTTTAGACTTCACCATGGGGTGGCACGGTGGCACTCTCAGGCTTCAAGTCATGCCAAGATGGAGGCGGGGGGCGAATTGGTGAAAATGGTTCTTCAACGGCCCCTTGCGTTTGGATGAGGAATCTATATCTATATCTCTATAATATATATATATATACAATATATATATATACTATATATATATATATAGATATATCATATCTATATACTATACAGTGTATGTATATATATATATACATATGATCACGCAACCCCCCATGATCTACGCGAGATCATAGCAACCCCAACTAATATAATTAGAAACTTTGAAAGTCTGGAAACTGCTTAGATACGGGGGGCAAATATATACATATCTACACCATCCATGTTTCTTTAACAAAAAGAACATTTTTTGGGGTTGCTATAATGGCTCAAAAGGACTCACACTTGAATCACTTGAATTGATGTGACGTATTCAAAAGGTTTTTTTTCCAAGGTTGGGATGTGGAAAGTGGAAAGTGATAAGGAACCCACTGGTGGATGTCTGTTCTTGTGGGATATCACCGACTTCAAGTCATGAATATGGAGATTTGATGGGTACCTACAGGGACTCTCCAATTGACTTTGAGACTTGAACATGAGTATGAAATGAGCATAATTACCCGTATATGACGATAGTGATACAACAAGTGCGCCATTTTGGGATTTGCACTACTGCACTGCCACTAGATCTAGATAGATCAAGATTCAAACACAGGCTGCAACATGTATACAGGAGGTACAACCAAGATAAGTTGGTGGGCCCTTGAAGTTTGGAGATAGATCATGTCGTGATAGGATAAGTCTAAGTTGCAAGACCATCTTGAAGCTGACTAGCACAGCACCAAGAAGTCAGTTTCACTACTGGAGCTGCGGTGAACATGGAAGTTTGGATCCATGTTCTATAAGAACAAGCCATGAAGAAGCCTCCAATAATCAAAGATGCATGCCAATACGGAAAGCCAACACATTTTTGGTTTGGAGAAACGATACCATTCACAAATTGATTTTCCATGTGGGTTAAACAGTTAATTTAATTGTTGCATCCCCCAGTCATCAGCATTTTTATAGGTTGCATGTTTAGGTTGTATGTTTACCATTCCCAAATTCAAATAGATGGTTTATGGCATTGTCTTACCATGGGCTCAATTGTGCGTTTCTTGTGACAAATGTGGATCACTTGTCCAGATATAATATATATATATATATTTATTTATATATATATACAATGTATCTACAAGTGCCTAGAAACATTGGCAAAACATACATCATATAATATATATATATATACATTGATCAGATTGATCATATTTTCCCAACTTAAGTTGCCATGACAGATCATAAGATTACCTTTTTCATGATTGACTTGCCCATTCATTACCAGAGTTCTTCCCTGTGTCCAGGACCCCCATGAGGAGGAAGACGAATCCTCCGAGAGCGACTCCAATAGCGAGGACGAACTGAGAACGGGAATCCCGAGCGCCCCCAATGGTGATTCAGTGGGATTTATAGTGGATTTAGCCAAGGACAATGGTGATTTCATGGAATATCATGGTGATTTATCCATATATTTATCCATGATAAATGTGACAGACGTGTTTTTTTTAATGTTTGTTTCAGGGATTTGACCGGCCTTTTTTTCTTGCAGAGATATGGTGGATGTAGGGAATGTCCACATCGTCGGGAGCATTTAGAGTTTTCGGGGCTGTTTAATGTGAACGACGGATGGCATTAATCTCTCCACTTGTACAAGGTGGTGCCCCCAAGATAGCTAAGTTGGTTTATAACTCCAATAACTATGGTTTATGGTACTTATAACTATAGTTAATGGGGTTTATAAACCAACTTATAACTGGGGGGCCCCACCTTGTAGAACATGTTGACTTTATCCAAACGACAAAGTCATACTGCTGGCACCAAAATCAATGTCCGTCACTATACATGATTCTAAAATATTCTAAATACCTCCCAAACGAGCCACCCTGGTTTCGCATTTCGGCGCATTCCTGGAAAGGTATCAATGATATCTACTGGGGTGACATTGCTTGGGGAATCATCCCAAAAGCATCCAAAAGCCACCAGAGTTATTTGGAGGTGTCCGAAGCAATGGGGGGTACCTCTAAATCAGCGATTTACTCATTGGATTGGTTTTCGGGAAAATTTTCTCCGGAAACCATGGTTTTTACACGGTTTTTACCATTCAATATAGGGATTTCCGGTGAAAAAAAATCCCTGAAACCAATCCAATGATTTACCAACCGGATCTTCATGGATTTTCCCTGACACCATCCAGCCATTTGGGATCCATGGAACTCCCCCCATGAGCGCGCCTGAGGAGGAGGTCCAAGAGGCCAGATGACCCCGAGAGCAACGGGCGCAATTTTTGGTGGCTAAATCCCTCTTTTTTGTGTTTATTCAACGCTGAAAGTTTTTTGGGCGGTTGCAGTCCCACAACTTTTGGTGCTAAACAACCATCCAATTTGATGAAATCCCCGCTGCCATGGAGGTTTTTGATGGGAAAAGCCATCGAAGGATTGATGGGGGATGAACTAGCTACGTTTGAGTAAGATTGATCAAGTATGTTCTGACTCTAGATGATACCTATCCCTGTTTGGTGCTTTGTAACATGAATTTTATGACTTTCCATTCAGTTGGGAATGATCATCCCAACTGACTTTCATATTTTTCAGAGGGGTTGAAACCACCAACCAGTATCCCATCGCATGTTGGATCTACTTCCCAAAGTCTGCAATCGCAAATCAAGTCTCGTGAAGTGGATTTTTGGTTCCCAAAGTCTGCAAATGGCAAATCAAGCCTGAGAATGATATAAGAGATGTACGTATATATATATATATACCAGGCAGTTACTTCTGCCCTCTAATGGAAGCCACTTAGACCCAAAGTGCCAAACGGTCACTTAGAAGATCAATCATGCATAAGTGACCTCGTTTCATGAATCCTTAAGTGACCTCTTTGCCTGGCTGATCTCATGATTTCTGCGTGTCACTGCGTGTCACTTGCGTGTCACTGGGGTTTCGAGGTGGGATGAAACGAGGTCACTTAGGACCCTGAAAAGGTCACTTAAGCCTTGAAAAGGTCACTTAAGGATTGGCTGTCTGCGTGTCACCTGCGTGTCACTTGCGTGTCACTGATAGGCCACTGTTTGGTTCGTTTCCTTAAGTGACCTCTTTCTACGTTTTCCTTAACTGACCTCTTTCTAAAGGCCACTTAGCAGAAAACACAAACAAGGTCACAAGGAATCGTCTGGTACATATATATATACATATAATATATATATAATTCCTTTTAGGACAAGCAGAGACACTACCAAAGACTTCAGGGAGCCGGTGTGGCCTAAGCATTGAGAGCCCCGAAGCGGACTGAGAGCTGGGCTATGGAAAATGACAATTTTGGGGCAAATGATCTATAAATCGCCATGGTCCCCATAGCTGCATCAGCTGTTAGTACACTGGGTTTGGAAGGTATCAGATGTTGTGCATGGTTGATGTTGACTTACGGCAGGCTGAGCCGTTTAAACGCCATTCGAGGCCGGCAACCCCATGGGTCGGGATCATGGGTTTAGATTAGTGCAGTCACATAGGATATAATGGGGATAGAATTGCATATTTTTTGACTGTAATTGGATCATAACCAAACTGGAGATGTAACCCAGCAAAGATTGCTATTTTGTCAATGGATCCTCACTGGAGATGCCATAAGATTCGCCCAATGGGGTCCTTGTTTTGAGAATTTTCAGAGGGCCTTCGGTCCGGTGCTGCCATGAAGATGGGCCCTATCTAAGACAGTGCGTGTTGATCAAGGGATATACATGATATATGACCAACCAACGGCACCCTCCTCGGAACCCCCTCAATTGAGCAGTGTTCAAAATCCCCGGTTGCTGTAGCTGTAGTTGACGACTCATGTGCAACCAGGAAAAAAGAGTGAACAGTGTTTGGTAGGTGGATGATGCAGTCCTGGAAAGTCATCTCCAATTTACTCTGGCCCTTTTATGGTCCAACTTTCTTGTGCTTTTTCTTGTGGTTCAAATTGTGGTGTTTGTTACTGGACTGGGGGGGTGGTCAAAATTATACTACCCAATACATGAGGAATCCTCCTCATCACCATCGCCATCACCATCACCATCATCACCATCACCATCATCACCATCATCACCATCATCACCATCATCATCATCATCATCATCCATGAACTGTCAATGAACTGGAAATCCCGTTCTCAACCAAGCAATATTTCATGGAACCTTGTAAACGAACATAGATGTGGAGTCTGCCCAGCATTGTGGATCATTTTTGTACGGTAAACCATCGGTTTTCCCATGGGTTTCCACATTTGTTTGTAGCTTTCCAGGGTTTGAGCTGCGCTGCTCGAGTGGTGAGTTGTCCATCACCCAAGGCATGGAAGCAAGCCACCGGCCGTCTACTTGTATAGTGCTGTAGGCGGGGCTGCGTTGTGCGGCGGATGTTTGATGCGCTGCGAAGTTCTCGTAGCTGAGAGATTGGTGGTAGAAAGAAATATCAATACCATATATATATATACTGTATATACATACATACATAAACCATTGGTACCAGTTATAAATGGGACAGGTTTCCTAACCTGAAAGTAACAGCGACTAGACTCGCAAAACTTGGGCAACACTGTCGACTCAAATCAGCTCCAAAAGAAGCCAACGGAACACTGGAAGCTGCAGCTTGGAATACCTATCGTAAGCCTAAAAAGATAGAAATTCCATCAGTTAATCAATAGTGGTTAATGTGTGTTAATTAATACTGTAATGGTTAATAGTTGTTAATATAGAGCAGTTATTAAGCCTATAGAGCAGTTTCTTTGGAAATGATACTTCCGAGCTGGGAAAGACCGGCGATGAAACCACCAAGCTGTTGTGTAACTTGTGACAACCCAGGATTTTTTTTGGACCCCTGGTCTATGGGAAGAAATCTGGTAAACTTCCCAAACAAAACGGGTAAACCCAATAACAAACCTAGAACTTGGGAATTCTTCCAATTATTTATGGTCAGTCATTGGGGACAGAAAGTAGGTCATGCATTAAATATCATTAAATCAATGTATTTTCCAAGAATGGGGAAGTCCTCCATTTGTTTTCGGAAAGGCATAAATCCAGCTGTTTTGGGTGTCACACCTCCTGGCTGGTGATTTGGGCAGGCCGCATGAAGCATTTGGGCCGAGGACGAGGCAAGTGCGGCAAGCGGCAGACAGGGCCGTTTCTAGAATTCATGGTTATCAAAGGATGGAGAGAATGATGATTCAGTGGATTTTGAGTATACCCTCTGGTAATTTAACATAGCTATTGAAAATTGCCATTTATAGTGAGTTGTTAGTTTACCAGATGGTATTCCATTTTTGGAGACACCCGGGTAGATAGGCATTGTATTTGTTTACATGATTATATCGGAACAGAAAAAACAGCATGTCAATAGACATGTTGCACATTGGACTAGGCCGGTATGCGCCAACATTTCCAAAGCCCTGGAAAAACCCACACCATTTGGCCAATGCCGGCATCAATCATCCCGTGCTGAGTCTATATCCTCATGTTTGATAGGTTAAAATTAAATACACTGTTTACCTGCTTAGCTTCTTCATCCTGTTCTTGTGGTGCCCAAAGTTTGGGCTGTAGTACAGCACTCCTCAGAATTTGAGGAAGGAAACATTTACGGGAATCTCCTATAATTCGTGTAATTCATGAGAAAAGCCATGGTTTCCTTTTCTAGTTCTCATCCCTTAAACTAATCCAAAGAAGATGCGAGTTGGGTTTGTCTGAAAATAGAATAGAGCAACATTAAGGATGGCTTAAACATCTTAAAACAGCAAATGTGTTCATCATTTGATTGCCATTCTCAGGCATCCGTTATTTTGAGATAGACCCACGTATCATAGTCTTGCGTGTACATCCCATCATTTCGCATAAAGTATCACTATGTAGTTTTTTTTTCCCAAGATATCCCCGTTATTTGCCCATTAAACCTTGAATTCATGGCCCGCGACAAATTCGAATCAGGTCCTAGTGAACCTCAGCCGGTACGTCAAAAGGTGGGGATGGGTTTGTTTCTGAATCATCCATCAACGTGCGTATGTTCCCCTAATTATTCGGTGAAAGTTCTGCAAAAGCCATTTCTTCTAAGTCTATATAAAGATCACCGAAAGCCACTGTTGCATGTGCGAAAGGCTCGGCGAACGTGCTTTATCAATATACTCGTACTGTACACAAAGGGAGGGCTATTTTCTTTTTATTTTTATTTTTTTTCCAGCCTGGCATTGTGGCTTTTGTGGGTGTGTGGCTCTTGTGGCTTTACCATGCTTTATCTATCTATCTATCTAATCTAACCTAATCTAACCTAATCTAACCTAATCTAACCTAATCTAACCCAATCTAACCTAATCTAACCTAATCTAACCTAATCTATCTATTCCAATCTAATCGAATCTAATCTAATTTTATTTTATCCTACCTAATCCTATCTTATCTATCTAGCCGATCTCATCTATCTAAACTATCTATCTAATATATCTAATATATCTAATAAATCTAATATATATATATATAATCTATCGATCTAATCTATCTAATCTATCGATTCTAATCTAATCGAATCTAAGCTCATCTAATCTAATCTATCTATCTACCTATTTATTTAATCTATCTATCTATCTATCTATCTATCTATCTATCTAATCTATCTATCTACCTATTTATCTAATCTATCTAAACTATCGAATCTATCTAATCTATGTAATATATCTAATCTATCTAATCTATCTAATATATCTAATCTATCTAATCTATCTAATTAACCTAATCGTTCTAATTATCTTTCTAATTATCTGTCTAATTTTCTATCTAATTATCTATCTAATTATCTATCTAATTATCTATCCATCTATCTATCTATCTATCTACCTAACTACCTATCTATCTATCTATCTATCTATCTTTATATACACAGTTTGTATCCCTACATGTACCTTAATCCAACCCTCAACAGACTTTAAGTAAACCCTAAACCAACCCTACTTTTTTAGGCTTTACGGCACTGTGCGCCTACGAAGTGTTTTTTTTTTTATGAGGGTGTTGCTTGGTGTACTTAAGTGTGTTGCTCATCGTTGTTAGATATGAGTTGTGTTAGAAGAAGTATCACTTCTGCTTAGGTATGCGACCATCTAAAAGAGCAGACATTGTTAGACGCAAGCTCTATTAGATGTGAGCTGTGTTAAGTGAAAGTCAACTTCTGCTTAGGTGTTGTGTCGTTAAGTAAAAGCTATGTCAAGTTGTTGAACTGTTCACTTAAAATAAGCCTTGCCTGTGTAAGTTAATGTTGCTATGTTCTTCTTGTTCTCAATGCTGCAGAGGTCGAAGGCCCGGTCGAGCCAGCGGTATCTTGTGGCCAAGACCCATGCAGGGTGTTATACATCACACGCACGGTGACGGCTATTGCAATGTAGAAGATTAGAAAACAAAAAAAGCAAGAGCTCGGCCGTGAACATTTTTTGCATAAAATAGATTTCTGCTGCCTGCATGAAAGCGTCAAATGTATTCAAATGTATGGTTGTTTGAAAGCAGCTAACTGCATCTAGTCCAATCAAGGCCAAGCGCCATTCTAGGTGACCGTGCGCATATGTCTCGATTGGTGTGTTCTATTTCTGCTTTGGGGTCTGACATATAAGTGAAATCATGTGGTGCAACCTTTGTGCTCCAATGACTGACCATTGACGCGTGTCTTTGATTGCGACCTTTGCGGTTTATGCAAGAGTTTGATCGAAAACTTGACTTTCGTTTTTCACTTGCACTACTTTATTTTTAGAAAGCGTCGTTTCTGAGTCGCCTCTGGCAAACAATTTGAAAGATATCATGGCTGTTTGCGCGTGTTGCTGATAGGATGATGACCATTGCCGCAGAGCAGCGCGCCGCAGCAGCAATGTAAGCTTCACAAAAGATGCACCTGTGTTTCTTTTTTCAGGTGGCCTGGAGGCTTGGTCTGGCCTACCGACCTGGTCAATGAACAGGTCGCTGCCGCCACCGGCCATCACCGATGAGGACAACGATCACCACCTATCATATCTGCGCACACGTGAGCAACTGTAGTTATTTGGCAGGCAATCGCAGAGCTGCAGTCCGCCGCCAAGACCCGGGAAATCGAGTCCCGGAGCTGGCGGGGACTTGCAAGCCTGGCACGGTTTGAGGTATGCGTTGCGGTGGTGTTTGTTGGTTCCGACCCACATGCATGCGGTCATGTTCAGGATGGCAAACTCTTCCTTTGGTTAGAGTTTGCCGACGAGGTCATAGATATCATGTGGAACGTGAAAGCTGCTGCACATTGATGAAATCAAGTCTTGCCAGGTGCCGATCGTCACGCCTCCATCAGCAATTGAAGGAACCATGTGGGAAACCATGCCGTATCACGTGACGTTGGGCTGGCTTCCCAACGAGAAATGGTCATCCTTTGGAGCGCGCCATATCTTTGAGGTTCGTTGCGCTAAGCAATTTCTTGCACATGCACTTGTGTCAAGGATCTGGCCTCGCCGTATTTGACACCAATTGAATTTGACCTTCAGTTGGTCAAGTGGAGCAAGGACAGTTTGTCGTGGTTCGTGTATGATCAGTGCGGCATTTTTTTTTCTGATCAAAGGACCCTGCAAAAACTGCCTACTTAGTGGCAGGCGGCTCCTTGAAATCAATTGATGCCAACCTCGAGCAAAGCCTCGGGGTGGCCCCAAGGGGCAAATGGCATGTGTCATTATGATGACGGCGCTTTGGCTATTGTGACATCTGTTTTGCTGTACTGTATGCCATGCAACTATGCAATATAATGATTGTGTGTGCAGTGCGCGTGCTTTAACCACCCGAAAAATAAGTTGACCCGCGTCAAGCTTGATATCAAGGATCATATGCAGAAGGTAGTGTGTTTAAAGAAATATATCTACTGCTTAGGTGTGTGTGTGTGCATTGAAAGGACGCAGTGGTGTAAGGTGGTGAGCCATGTTGAGTTGGAGTCAGCGTTTGACTAAACACTACTGTTGAGTGAAAGCTGTGACAGGTTGATAGTCTGCATCGCTTAAGTGGCGCTTGCTTGTGTAGGTTGCTGTTGTTGTGTTCTTCTTGTTTTCTTTGCTGCACAGGTAGAAGGTACAGTTGACAGTGTGCCTTCGTGCTTACATGTCCTGCCTTCCCTGTTGAAAAAAGGTACGCTGATGCAATGAGTGAGTGGCTTGGATAGATTGAAGTCAATCGGAATAGGTTATATACAGCTTGCGCATGGGTTAGTGGCTGCATGATGCTTGAATGTGTAAGTTTGCGTCGGCTAAATGCAAGTTGTACAAATGCTGGTATCAAGCATGCGGGTGAAAGTTAGTAGCTTGTGGTGGCACCTGCATTGCTGCATAATCTGTTGGGAGTGTGGATTCAAAGACAATGCGCTGCTATGTATGAGATGTCAGGCACTGCATCATATGCATTCATATGCTCGATATCGTGATATTTGCTTGCATTGCTTGTGTTTCGCCAGTCGTGATTGACCAACTTTGTGTGATACTGCTTGGATTTGGGTGTATATACCGCCTTTTGTTCTTACTTTTGGTTGAAATGACGACTGATACGCCAGCCGAGATTTACCAGGCATAGGAATTTGCGCAAGGGCGCGACCAGCTGCTTTCTATATCGTTGATCCGTGAAGGCTATGACGCCTTTCTTGGATGTGGATTGTCTCTCCAAGTCTTGACCCGTTCAATTGATTCTTATTCAGCACATGCCAAGCCTATCTTGGAAGATGCCAAAAAGCCAGGCGCAATAATATATGCATCACATTCCTTTCTGTTTTTTTGCGTGTAGCGCGGATAGGGTCGTGCTTTCTTTGGCGGTGACGAGTGCCACCTCAGCGAAAAGGGCCTGCGTGCCATCGCACAAGCGCTGTGCCCACTAATGGGGGCCTTCCCTTGTGGTACTATTTGTCACCGTATCACTGCTGTATGCATGTGTATATGCCGCGCGTAGGAACTGAAGCCCGACTTGATTGTGTCGGATAGTTCTTTGTGCTGTATTGATCAGGTGCTCATTCCATGGGGTGAGGCTTGAAAGCGCGCAAACGAAACATGCTGGGTTTGACACAGGCCGGTTGGAAACATAAGGATGGGCATTTGGCTGGGAAACTGCTCCCTGTGCCTGCAAAGCCTGCGTGGGGAAAGAGTTTCATAAATGGCAGCTTCAAGCAACATTTAATGTCTCTCTGGGATGCTTTTCTCGGCCCGAATACTACAGCCGTAGTGGTATGTGCAGGTACAAGGACTTTGCTATTTCTCTCGCCAATGAGATACTTGCTTTGAAGGAGGTGAGCCCTGTGCTAAATTTGTGAGTGCCAGCCAGCTTTGTAACTTAAGCCTGATCGTGGGCCTGAAGCCTATGCTGCCTGGGGCTGTGACCTTATTTGTATAGACATTGTGCCGTGGAGCGACGGCGGGGTATGGCATGACCCAGCTCAGGAGTTTGTATATCTGAAGAGTGTATGATGTTGTTATTTACGGATACCTGTCCCACCACGCAGTGCGCTAAACATATAGATTTGGATGTGCATGCGTGCTGTGATCACCATTCGTGGTTATTTGACAGGCGCCATTCATTCGTGACCCAAAGCGGCGGGTTTTCTGGTCGGCAAGACAGGTATAGGTGCATGTATGTTGTTGAAGATTTTGTGTGCAACTGTGCGACCTAGATTATTATTCCTAACGTGTATAGGCTTGAAGGATTACGTGCTATGTGCTTGATACACTTCTTTGAGATCTTGACCCCAAAAAAGTCAGGCCCGTGAGAACCTGCCGTTAGACAACGCCTTTCATCTAAAGAAAAGGCTGTTTTAGATAGAGCTGGAAAGCTGTTAGATGACACCAGCATCTAACTGGTGAAAATTATCATCTAAGAAGCGCGCGGGGGCAAAAATGAGTTTTTCGTTAGATGAAAGCCAAAACGGGTTCGATGTAAGGCCATCCGGTTAAATGAAAAGGGGTTTTCGTTAGATAAAGCGGGTTTTCGGTTAGGTTGTTTGGCAACCGGTTAGATAAACAGAGATAAATTATCTAATCCATGACCTTAGGGCGTGCTCTATAAGGGGGGAAAAAAGAGGGTTAATTCTGAAAAGAATTTTGTTTGGGCGACCACTTCGTAGTCGGATAAACCTTAAATAAACCCTAAACCAAACCTAAATGACCTAAACCAACCATAAACCAACACTAAATAAACCTTAAACCAACCCTAAACCAACCCCAAATAAACTCTAAACCAAACCTAAATGACCTGAACCAACCATAAACCAACACTAAATAAACCTTAAACCAACCCCAAATAAACCCCAAATAAACCCTAAACCAACCCTAAACCAATCCTAAAAGACCTTAAACCAACCCTAAATAAACCCTAAACGAACCAACGCTATGATAGCATCCAATGCCACTATTTAGTGTTTCAACAATCGGTGAACAGTGCAAATGGCAAATTTAAGTTCCAAAATTCAGCAAAGTATACGTAGGTTTTTGCTCCAAAATGTAGCGAATAGCAAGGACAAGTGCCCCAGACTGAAAAAAAACAAATCTGCGCCCTATACAAAATATACAGCCACGAAACAAGAGTGTGCACATCGGTAATACGGTATTAGTAGTTATTAGTGTGGGTTACGTCATCGGATGTCATGGGTTAATTACCCCAGGATTCATTGGTTGCAATTTGCTAAAAAATTGTTGTCTATACTCCCCGCAAATAAAAATTCTAATTCACAATCCAAGCTACACTCGCATGATTGTTTGGAGATAGAATACCAGAATTACTTCTTGGTAAATTTGCAGGACCTTTCCCCCAGATTTGATTAACCAGACTGAGTTTCCTGCAAGTGTTCCACGGAAGCAACCAAGGGATGCTAGTTACTCCTTTTTGTTGGTGAAGTCACACCCAGATATTCAAGTACTTAAGAAAATTATTGCAGTTACTGATGGCACAATGCCAAACAAGGTGGTGACCCAAATGTTTCTTGGTTTATAAAATTTGATATTATCCCCATGAACTAGTTCCATATATCTACCATAAACCTTAAATAATTATTGCAATTATGTTCACCAACTTAGCTATCCAACAACTCGATGCCGCTGACAGGTCACACCTGAGAATTCCCCGCCTGAGATGGCGTACGGAAGCTCAGGGGATGGGGGTTTCTCCAACCCCCCCCAAAAAAGGGGGTGTAACATGGTACAACAATGAGGTTGAAGCATTTTTCTGTGGGAGTTCTATGAGTTGTCGATTTCTGACAAAAAAACTTTCTTTTGGAGGTCTGAAGTGGCAGCCAATCAGGGGGTGTTGTTGAAGCCAAGAAGCATAAGGGGGCATGAAAATAGACAATAATACTCTACATAATAGTTATAATAGTATTTATATAATGCCTGCATGGCAATTAAATTGGGGTCTCCTAAAATGGTGGTACCCCCAAATCATACATTTTAATAGGATTTTCCATTATAAACCATCCAGCTATGGGGGTACCCCCATTTATGGAACCCCTCATGTATGTACCAAAAATTAGGGACCACGCGGGAATCTCTTCGATTCAAAGTTAAACACCAAGCGTTCATGGTTTGACTAACCGTTGGTTTTGGATTGTGTCCATGTGCAACGTGTTACTACGCAGCTGCAAACCTAACTAGGCCAGTGGTATATGTAGAAAAAGAACCCACTCAATGATTGATGAATGCATTTACAGAAAAACGTCATACCGTTGTGGCAATACCACGCTGATTTTGTGTAACATGTTGATGGTGCCAATCTATTGATGAGGATAACTGACAGATTTTATCCCTCATTTCGCTGGTTTAATTCATGTTTTTGTTGGTTGGATAAAACTAAATTTGTCCGCAAAACAGAACACCATGATCATGATGATGATGATGGTGATTATGGTTATTATTTTTCATTACTATAATATATTGTTATTGTTATTGTTATTGTTTTTGTTATTATTAGTGTTATTTTTGTTTTTATTATTATTTTATTATTGTTATTATTATTATTTATATTTTAAATAATAGCAATAATTATTATGTTTATTGTTATTACTATTTTTATTGTTATTGTTGTTTTACATTTCTCATTTTGGTCCGCGATCTTGTGTTTGGTTTTCCGAAACTCCACTCACATTAAATCCTTATTTTTTTCGATAAAATATATTATGTTTTAATCGCAGTCTCCGTATCAACGTGTGTGCCCTTAACAAAACTTGGATAACAAATGGCCGTATGGCTACCAATTCGTTGTCATAGCGATTATGACACCCATAAATTAAAAAAAAAACAAAACAAAACCTGGTTGGTGGTTTGGAACATTTTTATTTTTCCATATATTGGGAACAATAATCCCAACTGACTATATAATATGCTTCAACATGGTTAAAACCACCAACCAGATTATTATCATGTGGTTGATAATAGGGATTATGAAAGGAGTGTGTTTTTTTTTGGATATAAAACGCATTAAACCCATTACGATTCACATGATGATAGGATAAGAATAGATAACATCATAATGCTGACGATGATATTACCTGCAATTATAATGATGAGTCCCAACAATGACTCAGATTATTAATGACATTTAGTTACTTATTATTATAAATATAATTCCCAATCATGATTCATGATTATACTACTCCTACTTACTTTTTATATCTGATTATTCTCAAGATTCAAAATGGTAAGATCATAATTCCCAGGTGGTATGAAACTTGATTCTTGAGTTTTTGTTGAATAAGACATATGTTTTATACTACCTGGGAAATATTATCAGTATCAACTCTTTTACATCAACTGTCAAGATCCAAGTATCTTGACATTAGCAGTTGAATATTACCTGGAAATCTTGAGTTTTGTTTAACTGTTAAGATCCAAACAAACAGTCACTGTGACGTTACAAAAAAAAATGAGGCGTTCCAGGTCGACGACTGCCAGCCAGGAGGTTGGTCTTTTTTATTGGCCCGGGGGGGGGAAGTTGGGTGGTGGAATCAATGTCAATATCAATGTTGAAAATCAATGGTTAAACAACGGTTAATATGAATCAAAAATAAAAACTGATGGTTAAAACCAATGGTAAAAGTCAATGGTGAACCATCGTTTTCTCAGACTTTCTCCCAGCAATTTTATGTTGTTTTTTTTGTTTCGCCGGCTAAGGCCCATTTTCAGACGCAGCCATTTGTTGGATGGTTCTGGCAAAACGTCCGACAAATGCTCGAATTCACGAAGAACTATATAAGGGCCTTTATAAGGGGATCATGGATAATGAACATGCAATTGTATAGGGATGTATAGGGAATATAGCATAATATAGCCATTTACAAGGAATTGGATGCTTGGTTTTATATAGAAATGATGCTCGAACTCTTCAGGTTGGCAAAGAGTTTTGCCTTTACCCATGAATCTAGTATGAATTACAACCACAGATGGGGAATGATGGGGATTGTACTATCTATATCATATTATAATGATAGATTATGGATATTTATGGATTATTACTATGCAATGCATGTGTTATCAACAGATTTAAGGGAGGGGAGTTGATCACATTTTTTTTTTTACGGGGATATAATATAGCTGACAAAACGTCGGAAACCGACTAGATTGTATGGATCAATACCTTATTAATACCATTTTTGGGGGATGAACATCCATTTACCAGCTATTTTGATGTTCACCAGGGGTACAAGGTTTTGACACACTGCCATATTTATATATATATACACAGTATATTTTGGTCTCTTGTCATAAATGTAATTATACATGTAATTACTAATCACAATATGTAAATGCAAGCTGCCAACATTTGCGAGCTGAGCATCAACATATCTTAGGTAAACATACGTAGGTGAACCAACTGAACTGGTGTACTGTGAGTTTCATTGAATCTTCATAGCTGGTTTACCCCGCACCAGTTTGTCTAGCAGGAGTTTGGCCCCATACGGGGAACATGGTCGATATGGCTTTGTCAATAGGGAATACTCAGAATACTCATAGCCTCATTACCATTTTAATAGGGAAAATGATGATAATCCATTCGTACCATGGGGGTAGCCTGACATGGCACACTGATCATTTCGATGGGTTCCCCTGTGTAGCCCTGTGTGAAATCAATGCTTTTTTTGTCGTTTTCTGCTGATTGACTTTGAGCGATCTTTTTGGGAACTAGAACGGTTGGTTAAATCTTCATATCATTTCATATCGTATCATATCATATCATATCAATTTCATGTCATTTCATATCATATCATATCATATCCATATTATTCCATAGACATATTCCCATTATGCACCAATTTCATTGTTATTATCGGTTATAGTATCTTATAGTCGTACATGTTTCATTCCAATTTTCCATCTCACCGCAGTATATATAGAATGCATATCATGTTCACTCATTAAACACGTTCATTGCCTTAAACCAGTATATATATATATAATATATGATATGTTTTTCCTGGTGAAACCACCATTTCTACTGCGTGTTTTTTCCAAACGCGCCCCATTTGGGGGTAGTTTGGGGGTTGGGCAGTTTTTTTTCCGTGTCGCCAGGCGAACGGCAGCAGCCTCAGCAGATTTTTTTTGGATTTCATTGGGGCTTTCTGGAAAAATCAATGGGAGATCTTCAGGATCCAACAAATGGAGCTACGTTAGTACCATATAAGACCATATGAATTGTGGGGATATTCCCTGAAATTTAGGCCTAAAAAAAAAATAGGCCAAAAATGTATGGAATCGGTACCTCTAATAATCAATCGGTTCCAGTTCGTCATGGCCATTGACATGACTTGCTATGAAAACCCATGGTGCCATGGGGATGCACCATGACTTCGGACATCTCTGCGGAAAACGAGGAGTATCAAACATGCCGAGAATCAAACATGGCTTGCTGGATCATCCGCTATTTAGTTCATCACCAGCTGGGTTCACAAATCCGGAAATTTTTGGTGGGAAAAACAGGATCCTAGTAGCCTCTGGTAATTTAACATAACTATAGAAAATCACCGTTTTCAATGGGAAAATCCACTATTTCTATGGCCATGTTCAATAGCTGAATTTTTTTTGGCATCCTGCTGGATCATCCCAGCTGGACACCATCCAAGGCGATGACCGGGCTCCGAAGGCCGAACGCAGCAAGATTTTTTTCAGATTCATTGGGATTTTATATGATAGGAATTGATAAGATATGAACATTTAAATCAAGATATATATATAATATAAATATACGTATATATATATAGTATATATATATATTTATACGTGTATATATATATACATATATATATATTTATTGGGATTCATGATAGGTTGATAGGTACCACGTGATTGTGAGTTTAATTATCTGGATTGAAGGCAGCAACATGCTAATATGATATGATAGGTGTGTGTTTATGTTTTCGACACTAGAATTTGTTTAAACTATATCTGGCAACTGTTGGATTTATGCTGGCTATATCGGCTATATCATGACATATCTATAGATAAATAGAATATAATCGAGGCATAAACCAGCAAGAATAGCTGGGGCCGCTTCCGATAGACCTTTTCAACCTTTCTACCCTCTGGTTGTGACTAACATAGCCATGGAAAGATCCACCATTTTTAATAGGTAAACATAGGTAAACCATCTATTTCTATGGGCCATTTTCCATGGTTATGTTAAATAACCAGAGGGTATCTCTTTTGGGTTTTCTGCACATTTCCCATTGTTCTGTCTTTAATGTTTGGGAGTTCCTACAGTCAATGATGCAACATGATGAAACCAATTCTTGAACGGGATCAAACTCACTGCGAAATGGATATTATATTTAATATATGACGTAATGTTGACCCCATGTTATTTTTTCCCGATGTTGTTCATTTTGTTTTTCAGATTTCACTAGTCAAGTAGCAAAAGTGTACAGCTCCAGAATGGACATGTATGACTATCATTGACTATCCGTGGGTGGAGAGAAAGGTAAAAAGCAGGAGGCCATGAAAATCTGAGCCAAGTGATACCCCAAAGAAAACACACTCTATTTTTCACAACTTGCCTTCAGACCACCAGGGATGTTTTCAACATGATGATCAGTCAGTCAGTTTAGCTGAGCTTCGGCGGGTATTTATATATTATTATAGTTTATTATAGATATAGACATAGATAATATATATTTACTGTATTATTATTATTGTTGTTATTATTTATTATTAATATGTCCTTTCAAGACAACGCTGGCCTTGCCAGCCAAGCAAGTTTCATTTCTAGATTCCGGGAAAAGCTCCATAGAGAAATATTCAAAATGCCCATCAAACATATGAATCGGAGTTTCCTAGTTTCATATACATAGTGTCAACCCTGGATCAATAAAAGGTGTTTTAGGGGATTACTGTACTCCCTTACATAGGTAGCCCCCCAATTAGACAGCCGTAAACGGGGTTTACTCATCCAGGGTTGACATTCGCCTGATTTGGGATGGCGATCCTACCACGGAGCCAGGTGCAGCTCTTTACAGCTTTGTTTGGACAAGAGGTGTCGCTGTTCCGGTGATTTTTCGCGGAGGATGTTCGATGATCTTCGGGTGATTTGGATGTTTTCTTAAGGCCCATTTCGAAGTATGTTTTTCCAGATGACTTTGAGTCGAAATGGCATTTCCTGATGTTCAAAAAAAGAGGTTTCCATAGTCATGGGGGGTAGCCCTAAATCATGCATTTTGAGAGGGTTTTCCATTATAAACCAACTACTTTGGGGATCCCCCATCGACGCCCTGCAACCGAAGCTCTTCAGCATTTCTCAGTGATGATCTCCCAAGTTAAAGGGTATCAATAGTGATCAGTAAATAAAAAGAACATGTCATAATGAACATGTTTAGATCTTTTTATAATTATATTTACATACATATATTATATATAATATGTATAATTATATATATATATATATAATTAGGGGGTTCACCAAATCTCGCTCTTTCCTTGTGAGGGGTACGGGTACAGTTACAATAACATCTGAGGATTGTGAGTATTTCGGTAGAGTGAATTGATGGACGAAGAGGAGTGAGTCATGAAAAATATCAACTCCGGAGCTTTTTTTTGCTTCTGTTCCAGTCAAGAAGTCCCATTGTTTGCATGATTTGAGAAATCCCTAATCGCATCCAGCATCACCCAACAAGTCATAAACTTGGTGCTGGTTCAGCCACCAGCCCAACGCGGATCATAACACCCGTTGATCCTTGGGACAGCGACCATTCCAAATGTCGACAGAAGATTTATTGATGGCTGGGAGATCTTCAGCCGAGTAACTATACATTGATATATAACTCAGAACGAGGAACACCCTAAACTCGGATGGAAAAAAAAGAACGAATGGAACATCACAGGTGTTAAATATAGGTAAATCATCAGAATCCATATTTTTCTATGGGCCATGTTGATCCAGTTTGTCCATAGCTATGTGAAATAACGAGACATTACTTAGATCTCATCCATCGCCGGAAACGTTCTCCGCTTGAGGGCTGATGTCTTCACGGTGAGCAGTCCCGGACGTCCCGGACCCCATCGATGATGGAGAAGCTAAGGGGAATCATCCCCTTATGTTGATGAGAATCGTTTCCATATGTGTGAAATTGTGTGAATTGTAATATGTTGTATAGTCAATATCTTCGAAGTTAAGTGTTGTTCAGTGTTTAACTACTGTTTCTACATGTTATATGACGTATTTTGAGATATTTTATATCATTTTATGCAGTTATGTACGCTATATAGATTTCCCTGAGATCCTATAGATTGTTGGGATGTTTTGATCCACAGCCACACGGCTCTCATTGCGCCTATGTCGACCATGCTGCGACTTCCTTCCATTGGTCTCCTAGTTGTTGTTGGCATCTGCAGTGGTGAACTTTGTGCGATGCTTCACCAAGGGAACACAAACACGTTGGAACTTGGGGTGGTTGATGGTTGTCAAAACCAACCGTTACTTCGGGAGGTTGTTTTATCATCAAAAACTATGGGATATATTGGGATATCATCATATAATATATATATAGTATTAATCTTAATATAATTATTGGGATATCATCATAATATATATATATATGTATAATTATAATGATCATATATAATTATTGGGACATCATAATAATATATATATATACAGTATATATATTATAAGTGATAGATGGTTGCTGGTTGGCTTTTTTCCTTTGATATATCGAAACAATCAAAATCCAGGAGCTGGAAATTTTCCGATCCGAAAAGCAAGGAGCTGGGGATATTTCCCAAATAGCTTAAGTACCCTCTGGTAAACGTTTACATAACTATGGATAATCATCATTTTTAATGGGAAAATCCACTATGCCTATGGTCATTTTCAATAGCTATGTTAAATTACCACAGGGTAATGTCAACCCTGGATTAATAAACCCCTAGATTGTCTTATTGGGGTGGTACCATTTAAGTATTGGATTGTGACTATTGGAGGAGTGCCCCCCTAATTAATAAACCATGGTTTATTAATCCGGGGTTGACATTAATGATTTAATGATCCTTTGGTAATCGTGGCTAGCTGAAAAATCACCTATTTTCTGGAGGTTTGAATGGAAACATCGTAGCCATATATGGAAAAACAAAAAAGGCCAAACCACCGTCAATGGAGGTTTGGAATTGGAAAATCATCGAATTAAATGGGATATTCTCTAGCAAACCATGTTTGGTCATATACAAGAAGTTATCCGCGCTGGCCGACTTGTTTTTTGCAGAGAAGATTGCTGGTACCTTCCCCATCCCCTTTTTTCCTGTACAGGTCAGTGAATCATGAATCTATGAATGGCATGCCAAACTTGCCCTCTACAGTATATTTTTTTCCCAAAGGCATATCTATTGGTCCTGCTTGGAAACGGACAGTTCTCTTCGAACCAACATGGTCGGGCATAGGTCGTGGCGAGGTTTAGAAACAGCAAGTCAGAAAGTCCATGTTTTCCAATAACGAGCTGATCAATTAGCCAGCACTATGACTAGAATGCACAAAATATATCAAAATATGGGGAAGAACCCACCAATACATTCAATATAGTTAGTTGATTTTAGTAGGTGCAACCAATGGTGTCGTGCATGGTTTCGAGCGCGAGTTGGAGCTTCGAAGCATCTGACCATTCCTTTTTGTGTAGTATTTCAATCCCATGGATCTGGAGATTCTTTGTCATTCTTCACCTCTTGCTGATCGACCAGGAGCTCCACCCGCCAAGTTCAGATGGGATAGCCATCACCTTTGTTTTATTCCTATGACATGGATATATGGATGTTCCCAGTCAAAATGAGAATGTTTCCTCTTCATCTTAGTTTACCAGAGGGTGTAAATCATCTTCACATATATTCAAATCCTCTTTTTGTTTATGACCTCCCCACTTTTGCTTGTGGTCAAACCCATATTTGTTGGTTTTAAAATAGGGTTGAAACCCTATTTTCTTTTCCAAAGTTGTCGAAAACTATTGTTAAACCCTGTTGACCATGTTGAACCATGTTAAACCACTGTTAAACTCCTGTTATTGTTGGCTGAACTTGTCGAAAGTCACCAGATCCATGTGCTGTGGAATTCCGAAGCCGCACGCGGCGCCTCACGCGGCCTCTCCTCAGCGCGTCCATGCGCGGGGCGGCAAGCGGAGCTGCATGCTGCTGCTCAGTGTGCAAAAGCTGGGGCACCTTCACAAAAGGCCCAGCCATAGCCCACAGAGCAGCTTATTGATTTCTGATTTAACCACCAGATGTCGACATTTTAACATTGTGAAACACAACTCAAGAAGGTTAAAACAAAAAGGATTTTCCCACCAGAAGTTGTGATCGAAGCACTATAGAAATAGAACCATGGGGTTTGAGCTCCACAAGTTGTTATTTTCATTTATTTTCTACTATGGTTATGGCATGTTATGGCACTTGATCAGGTGAACTATCATGATTTGCCTGCGTGTATTACACTGTGTAACATTGTAGATATAACCCATCTGTATAACATTGTATAACCCATATACCGTATAGCATTCTATGGTGCTGCTATTTGTTAGACCTGGATGATCTTCATGGGTGTCCATGGTTTTTCGTTCCTGTCCCAGACAAAGCGGCCAGGTCGAGAGACGTCCGTCATTGGGTAACTGTAGGCTCTACACATTGACCCCTGGAGGGATCTCTTCCCTAATATCAAGTACCCAAATAAAACCCTGGTGGAACGTGTTGGGATCTATTGATTCCCGAAAATATGGGTCCCAATTTGGGTCCGAGTATTCCATTTATAGACCAGCTCTTCTATAATCTATAGGACTCTATAGGCATGTATCTATAACATGCCTATATCCATCTATATCCCAATTCCTGGATGGTTAAACCACGTCGAACCCCTTTTTTGGTGGTTCTTATTTTGGGAAGGCAGCCGATGCCAATCTTCCAATCCCTGGCGGACTTGTCACCACGTCCGCCCAACTTCGGACCTCGATCGAGTGCTGAAAAAAAGGTCCGGTCCTGGCGCCCTTTTGGATCCTGGGAGGTGTCCATTTTGTCGTCGGATGACCAGGGCTTCGTATTGAAACCCTTAAGGAGTTTGGGGACCCAATGATTTACCATGGGGATACCATGGGGTAATGATGGTTAATGATGGTTAATGATGGTTAATAAATAATTAAGACCCCCCGAAAATTTCCAAATTTTCTGAGAATTCCGGTGATTTTCTCGACGACCCACGACGTTCCACTCGACATGGCGTTTCCATTATGGCTCCCCATATTTTTACAAACTGGTAGCTGACCCCCGACTTGATTACCCCCACCAGCACTGCCTTGTCCATCACAGCGTGATGTCTCGAAACAAAATTTGACGATACGGCGTCGACGCAGAAACTCAACAAAGATGCGAATTTCGATCGTACGGTACGGTAAATCGGGTGTACCATCGGCAACCAGCGTTTTTTTTTGGGACTCATAGCGTCCTGTTCCTTCCAATGGTGCCATTGCAACAAAATTACAAGACCCAATATTTGCATAACTTTGATGTTAAATAACCTTGAACTTTGCTGGAGATCATGAACAGTTTCTGGCCATTGAAACAACTCCTAAGAGTTCTGCTTCGGGATCTCCCCTGCCCACATTGAAGCCGAATCAGCAGAATCAGCAGCCCCATGATCATCATCACCGTCATCATGGGCATGATCATGGGTATCCTTATCATCATTCATCGTCATCATCAGTTTTTGGAAATTGTTTTGCTGATGATTCTTTGTCACGTTCAAATTGTTGAGGCTTGGAAACTGTCGTCGATCCTAGGGGAAGCCAAGAAACGTGGCAGTGCCATGCAATGACGTTGAACTTGCAATGTAACACACCCACTGATGAGTAGGGTTGATAGCACCAACATCACCATCTCCAAGCAAATCAGCAAACATAAACAAGAAACACCTGTACCACCACTCCCACCGTCACCACCGCAACAACAACAACAACGACAACGACAACGACAACGACAATGATAACCGCAACCACAACAACAGCCACAATCACAATCACAACATATCACAACCACAAAAGCCACCCCAACAACCACGACAACAACCATCACAACAACCACAGCAGACAAAGACAAACAAATTCAAGCAAAGCAACAAACATACAATCAGAGGGACAGCAACAACCAGGACCACAACCACAAACTCAACCACAGCCACAACCATTATCAGAACTACAGCCACAACTACTGCCGCAATCACAACCAAAACATACTAAAACCACAATCACAATCACAAATATGGCCAACAAAGACACCCCAAAAAATTGGGACGTGACATATCTTTACTTAATGTTCCTGTACAAAACTGTATACCGCTTTTCGGGGACCAGGTGATTGCGTCAAGTCCTCCGGGTTAGCGTGTCGTACCATGGATCCATGGGGCCTCTGATGGCGAAAGCTCGCACAGGGATCGCGCGGCTGTCGAAACTTCCAGTGCTATGCAAAGTTTGGCAAAGCTAGTCAAATTAGGTCAACAAAACTTCACGTAAACACTATTTTACGATAAATTGTAATAGAATTAGTGCAATTTACTCAATATTGAGAGTAAAATTGACCGAGCCACTACGTGTTTGAAATTATGATTTCCTAAGGGGTGCCGCTGTGCCACCCCTTAGCGTTGCGTTGCATTGCGCCCGTTCGAGTCGAAGTGAAACTTCTACTACTATCCTATACAGACACGGGGAATGAAAAAGAAGCAGGAATAAAAATGAACGCATCCGCTCACACGTCATCAATCTCTTCTTGAAAATTTGTGAAATAAATCTAGTTACTGTAAGGGTGGAGGCCGCCTCATTCCAGGAAAGGCATCGGTCATCCCATTTGAAGAAATACGACGAACCCGCCGTCAATTAGGTGTAGCTAAGGTCAGGTCCACATTTTTCACTGGACACAGCCCAGTCACTGTAAAACGATAAGGAAGAAAAGAAACGATGACCATAAGTAAAATAGAACGTGTATTTTAACTGTCAACATACATTAAATTTAACATCATGTCACTGATACTGCATGGTGATCCTAGATCCGGCTTTGAATGCAGCTGCTGATGATCAGCCTCTAGCATTTGTATGAAGA